CTCGCTATTTCTAGCGCCTCTTGTACTGATATTGCCTTCGGAGTTCTGCTTTGAGTACTGAATCTAAGCGTAGCTCCTCTAAATGGTGAGAAGTTGCTCCTAGTGCGTATTTCTGGCGAGAAGTTTGCCTGCCGTTTATTTGGTGGGAGGATTGGTATTTCAACTACGCTAGGTATAGTAGTCTGCGTAGGCGTCGCTGGTTCCGTGGTTTCCATATCTATCTCATTCTGGATCTGAGCTTCGATTTCTGCTCTCGCCTGGGTGCCTGGCACGTGTACGTCGATAGTATCACTATCGGGTGGCATTTTGATTACTAATCCACCTGGTCTGTGTGTTTTTCGGTGAAAAATAAGACGTGTCTAAAGTGATCACTTTAACAGCCTATAGCTCCACAGCGCGTGGCGTGCACGCTTTAAAGGTGATTGTAATCGATTTCTCGCGAGGGGTTTATATATATTTGACTAAAATTACACCTATTCTAGAAAACTCGAAGTTGTCTGTGCTGCGGTTGAACACACATAAAAGCTTAGTTAGTTAGTTATGTATAGCTTATATTCTAAAAGCAAAGTAGTTTCGTGTATTTACATCGTACATACTAGATTGGCTACTCTAGCAAGTATTTCATTCTAAATTAGCAACATAACCTATGGCAAAGCCACCACTAAGTCGTAAGATGTACAGGCTATATGGTCAGCTTAGTTAGCAGTGCGTCCGTTCGTGGCGGAGTTGGCCTTTGCTTACCTGAAGAGCAGTCGAACTGCGGGTACTTTGCCTTGAGTTCTTTGCTAAGCTTCCACTCAGTATCCGCGCAGATATTATCGTTTCCGGAAGATGCTGTGACGCTAGCCCTGTGATGAGTAAGTCAACTGACTTTCTGGCCGCTGTCACAGCCTACCGCTAATACTTTTTGTCTCCTCAAGGTGCTGTAGCATGGTGGAATGAATAGAAGCAGAATGACTATAATCAGCTGACAGGATCACTGCTTGCTGGCCGTAAATAAATCTTCTGGTCCATCATCTGGGGCCGCCGGGTAGCTGAGCTAACGACCAGACCAGATGTTATCGAGTATGGTTGTTATGCCACTGGCGGCAACTTCTCTGGCTTCAAGTCTATTCCTCAGAACTGGAACCAGGGATTCCCAGTGGCAGGATCAAGGCAAGCGAAGACTTTGATATCACACTTCACGATGGGGCGCGTGGCCTGGTGAGTCGGGACCCCATCACGGCACAGCTCGTATACGAGGTTCAGGGTCCCTTCTACTTCGACCTCGACGTTGTTGCCGAAATCATCAATGTTCAATTATTACCCAATGACAAGGGCATGGTCTCTGTCACCGCTTTTACGCGCGCTCCCCCGCCACCCACGACGAAGCTGGCCGTCTGCATGCAAGGCGGTTTCCAGATTGAGTACTATCTTTTTGCCACGAGGCTTGACATCGCAGAGAAGCTCGCAGACATTCAGGGCTGTCTCAATGAAATGATTACAAACCGTGTCGACTATAGCGTCCTTACAGTAGATCAATACGGCACTCCCGGCCAAAATCCAGCCAGCCAGGCTCTCGCGACTTGCATGTTCCGAGTCTTTGCCCAAGCACCCACGGTCGAGACTCTGCTTACATTGCCAAAAACGATTGGAGGCTATGGACTGGGGGGCTATTGCGGGAGCACGCCTGCATGGATTTTCGCATGGTTACTACGCTCTTTCCGGTACCCTGTGCATCCTCAACTCTGACATGCGTTCCAGTTGGCCCTACGTCCATTTATCGCTTACGAAACATTCCTCATACGGTATGATAGTGTCAACTTGCGTGTCATAATGGATCATGAGCAGAAAGCTGTACCACTGCCTACAAAGACCCAGCCATTTGCTGGACAAGTCAGCTACGATAGCAGCGAAACTCATGACCAGGCCAAATACGGCGCGAATTGCCGAGCACCGCTTGGTACGATAGTTCATGCAAGATCCGGAGACAAGGGGTCAATGCCAACGTCGGTTTCTGGGTGCTGGAAGACGACGAGTATGACTGGCTGCGCTCATTTCTCTCAATCAATCGCATCAAGCAGCTGCTCGGGGATGACTACCTCGAGGGCTATGAGATTGAACACTTAGAGTTGAGGAACCTCCGCTGCGTTCATTTCCTTGTTAAGGGGGTCCTTGAGGGCGAAATCAGCTCGACTTATTGACTTGATGGGTTGGCCAAAAGCTCTGGTGAATTCCTTAGTGAGTTAGCCTCTTCAGCGCTTTGTGTGCATTGTGCTGCTGTATGTTTATGCTAATTAGTTTCAGGAGCAAGAGAGGTTGAGATGCCACTTGAATTCTTTCAGAGAGAAATGATTTGAAGACGGGTGGTAATGGATCGCGACGTTTATGATTATTTGTTTTTCACTAGAGAACAATTGTGGCTGCTGGTGGCACATACAGAGTGATCTTCACTGGGTATAATTGAGGGCCCCAGACGTCTCATCAATCAAGGGTAGCGAGTGACCTTCGGATGTTTCCCACGGCAGATGGTTTATATATAACGAATACAGGTAACTAGACTTTTGTTCCATGAATACCCCCAGACATCTATCACCGCCTTGAGAGTCCAAGAATGTGCAAAGTCAATCTCTGCCTTCTCTCTTCTCTCTTTCTTCATTTACCTTGAGTTTTTAGATATAGAAGTAAAAAATGACAAAGAAAGAGGGATGTTGATTTTTCTCTCTGGTCGTATCATGTTGCATTCCTAACGTTGGGAGTATATATGTAGTTAACTCTTACGCATGGCCGGGACCTCCGCTTACTGAGTGACTGGAAAACATCTCATTGCGTGGTCGTTTAATCCTTGCCGGATTAAGGCAAAGATGGCTGAAACTCTATGTAATGTGTGTTAGAAAAATGTGACACGCGCTAGCTCCCACCAAAGACAAATGACTACTAAAGCTAACGAGGCCTGGATTGAGATAATACATTACTCTAGAAGAAGTATAAAGACAAGATTCTAGGCAGGAAAATAAGTGACAACTGTATAACTCAAGAGCATGAGATTGAGAATACGCAAGACAAAATGAACTCTTTAAGTATCAATGAAAACTCCCAAGCGGGCGAGGGACATAGCAGCCTCAGACAGATTTACACCCCAAAGCAAACGCTCTCGGTCATTGGAATCGGCGCAGGTGCATCAGGTCTCCTGTTGGCATACAAGGTTCAACGTCACTTTGATGATTTTACTTTGGAAATATTCGAGAAGAACCCAGAAGTATCTGGGACTTCGTACGAGAACAGATATCTAGGGTATTTACACTTTGCGCGCCTGTTCGGGTCGACGCTAACATGATTGCTGCGTTAGATGTGCCTGCGACGTCCCAAGTCACAATTATACATGGAGCTTCGAGCCAACAACAGACTGGAGCGCGGACTACGCCACATCCTAGGAAATCCTGGCTTATTTCAGAGGCTTCAGCAACAAGTATGGGCTTGCTGAGTATGTAAAGCTCTCAAGTGAAGTCATTGGGGCTCGATGGGATGACCATGAGGCGTTGTGGCATGTCAAGGTTCAGAACCTTGTCACAAGAGACGCGCTCGATCGCACAGCCCACGTTCTTGTCAACGCAGGCGGCATTCTCAACTCGTGGCGGTTCCCTCCAATCCACAGAATCCGAAGCTTCAAGGGACTTCTCGTCCACTCGGCTGCATGGCCTAAGGAAGGCCTTGAACTCGAAGGTAATACTGTTGGTCTCATCGGCAACGGCTCATCTGAGATCCAGATTCTGCCTGCCATCAAGGACAAAGTTGATAAGCTCGTGACGTTTGTACGAGAAGCAACCTGGGTAGCACCGCCACTCGGCGGTAAGTATCACGCATACTCGAAAAGCGAAAATCAGCAGTTTTCCAAGATAAAGAGGTCCACCTTGACATGCGCAAGAAGACTGAGGCTGCTTCTAACAGCATGTTTGCCATCTTCCACCGGGGCTCCGAGCAGCAACAAAATATGCGCCAGTACATGGAAAGTCTCATGCGACAGCGTCTTGAGAACCCCGAGCTTGAGAAGGTGCTGATTCCGGAGTGGTCCGTCGGGTGCCGCAGGCTAACGCCCGGGACGGACTACCTTGAATCCCTAAGAGACGATAATGTGTAAACAGTTTTTGGAGAGATTACCGAAACAACACCAACCGGCATCGTGTGTAGCGACGGCAAGGGCGATTACCCGGTCAATGTCCTCATCTGCGCCACTGGTTTTAACACGACGTTAAAGCCCCGATTTCCTGTGCAAGGTGCTCGAGGTTGTAAGCTCGAGAACATGTGGAGAGGTAATTGTTGATCTCTGCGCGCGCCATTTATCATCCACTCAAGTATGATTTCAACTTGTTAACATAGCTGTCAGATGAGCCTCGGGTACGTATACCTCAGGAACGCGGTTGATCACTGCCCGGATTACTTCTTCACGCTCGGTCCCAATTGCCCCATCGGTAACGGGCCGGTCCTCATCAGCATCGAGGCGGAGATTGAATATTTTATCTAAACGCTTTCCAAGTTCCAGAAGGAGAACCTTCCATCTTTCGAAGTTCGTCGCAGTGCAGTCGCCGAATTTAGTTCGTGGAAAGATAAATGGATGAAGGATACCATCTGGTTCGAGTCTTGACGCTCGTGGTACAAGGGCGGGTCAGCTTCTGGTAAGGTCCTCGCTTTGTGGCCTGGATCTACTCTGCACACCGCGAGACCCCTAGTGGTGATCTTGGACAAGGTTGATGCGCTCATCGATCCTGTACTCAAGAGATCTACATAAATACGAATACGCATACGCATACGTATACGCATACACATAAGTTCGGATTGCGTCCGCAAGCAGACCAGTCGCCGATGCGAAGCTAACGAGCTAGGCTTTGTTTGGCATCACGCGTTGCGTCACTCTACGCATTGCAGGGATTCATTACGAATCTGAACAGGGGGCACGGCGCGATATAGAGGAAGAAAACAGAACAAAGCCTATACCGAGACTTCATTCCAGGAAAGAGATGCACCGAACTAATAGTAAAGCATACTTCACCCCAGATCTTACTGGCCTTGCGGAAAGCCACTACAAAAGTTACCACATGTGTCCCACCAAATCTTATGGAATTCTACAATGTACAAAACATGGGACAATATAGAACAACGTTGCATAGTAGGGTCTTTACTAGGTATATAGTAGTAGATGTCGATCCCTTACGGCTTGATATAATTTCCTGAAGTTACTTACCTGGTTACCTATTTATGACACCTTACCTTCTGCTCGGGAAATCTAACACCGAAACCTTGACAACGGGAGCTTAATGTTATCCCGATTAGAGATCCGTATTCTTAACAGGATTCCAGCACAGTGCTTGGTTACGCCAGGCCATCTGAACTAGCACCATGCGAGTCACCAACCCTGTCCTCCATTCTCTCCCCGAATTGCAAGCAAGGTCTTTACTAAAATAGTGGATATGCTGATAATCTGGGGTACGCACACTCTGTGTCGGAAGAGTATTATTGTTTATTCAGCTTAGTTTGATAAATAAATCTGGGGCGGATTCAGTGCGGGGGCGGACCCTGGACGTGGTCACAAGTCGTGCCTTTGAAGTTACCATTTAAATGGCCCGATATCCGGCGACAGCCAAGCGACCGAGTATCACCTCCTCGCCTTCTGTGAACAATGAAGCCTGTGCTTCTATCTGCGTTGTTGTTACCTACAGCTCGAGGGCTTTCAGTGCATAGCTCTGCGCCAAGTAATATGACTGCTCAATTCAGCAACCCTCCAAACCAATACCGGCCGAAATTCCGTTACTGGTCTGTGTTCCCCAATACCCCCGCTGTCCATTTGCTTTGCTAATAGCGGTAGGTTACCTGACGCATCCGTCACACACGATTCCGTTCAAAACGATGTTCGTCAAATCGCCGCTGTGGGAGGCGGTGGCCTTGAGTTCCTACCTTTCTACAACTATGGGTTGGGGCCTGCGTTGACCGACTGGTCTATATATGGATTTGGCACCGACGCTTTTAACAAACTGTTCCAGGCAGCCCTGGATACCGCTTCTACGCTTCGGCTAGCCTTCGATTTTGCCTTAGGTCCTAACCAAGGCGCTGGAGTGCCGTCAGAGGTTGAGACTCCCGGCCTAGCCAAGACGCTTGTGTACGGGAGTACCAAGATTGAATCAGGGGCTAATTTCTCCGGTGAGATCCCCGAGCCTGTTGTCAACTACAACTTTCTTCCGGGGTTCATGAACCCACCAGAGCCGTGGGGATCAAACGAGCTGTTGGCCGTCGTTGCTGGAAGAATCGCCTCAGAAGGTGGTTTCGCGGACGGTCCGTATGGCTCTAAGATTCCCTACACGTTTTTGGACCATGACTCTTTAGTTGAGTTGACTAACATCACGAACCACGGCACTTTGACATGGACAGCTCCAGATGGCAATGGAACATGGGTCCTATTTGCCGTGTATGAGCGTTATACAAATCAGCGAACCTGTGTATCAATTGCGAATGCCACGACTGCACTAGGCAATGGTTCCTGGGTGGTAGATCATTGGAGTGTAAGCGGCGCAAAGAAGACGACAGACTTTTGGGATCAGCACATTCTGTCTGTCCCTGAGATAGCTAGGCTCGTGGGAGAAGTTATGAGCTACGGTGAGTGTTGCAATAATCCACCTTTACACTTGAACTGACATTTTCTCCAAGCCTGGGAGGATAGTATGGAGATCCAAGCCGCTCTTCCATGGACACCAAATCTTTCCTCGCGTTTCGAACAGCTTCACGGATATAGTATCAACAAGTACCTCCCAATTCTATTCCACGGGACGAACGCATGGCAGGCATTGTGGCCCGCTTACAATATGACCTACACGGTTGGAGAGTATTTCACAGATGGTGGCCCCTACGTTCAAGACTACAAGCTTGCTCTTAGTGAAGGCTATGTAAATTACATTGACCACTACGCCAAATGGGCAACAAGCAAGGGACTTCAGTTGTCCAATCAACCTAGTTATAACCAGCCTGTTGACATGGTAAGTCATTTTGGCATGTCCTCGCGTTACAGTCTTCTTCACCCAATAGAGACGGGCTCTGATGATCAATAGGCGGAAGCTATACCACATGTGCAAGTACCTGAGCTCGAGTCCCTTGGCTTGGAGGAAGACATAGATCTCTACCGGCAGTTCGCAGGCCCGGCTCATCTATCGGGTCGAAATGTTATCTCAACGGAAATTGGCGCAATCAACGGAGCAGCATACAGTCTTCGAGTCCCAAAACTGAAAAACCTATTTGACCAATCCTACGCAGCGGGGGTTAACACGATGGTTGTTCATGGCTATGCATATAGTGGTGAATATTTCAAGACCACATGGCCTGGATATACACCTTTTCAATATTCGTACACTGAAATGTGGAATCAAAGACAGCCAGCGTGGCAGCATCTTGATGATCTGTTTACGTATTCAGCGAGGAACAGTTTGATCATGCAATCCGGCACACCCAAGGTGGACCTCGCTCTGTACTACTATCAGGCTCCCTACAAGTTTGCAGATTTGTATTCCACGTCCGACGCAAACGCATATGGTGAGATGAACAAATCAAGAACTAGAAGGCTGGACTAACACATAGAAGGATACACATACGAGTACTTAGGGCCAAAGAACTTGGTTTCTGAGCATGCTGTGGTTGTTGATGGGGTTCTTGCTCCCGAGGGACCAGCCTACAAGGCTCTACTCATCTACAACCAGACAAAGATTACGCTGGATGCGTCTGCGGCGTTGTTAGAGTTTGCACAGAATGGACTGCCCATATACATCGTAGGTACAGTCCCAAATACCACGATTGGATCTACCGGACAGGAACAGGTCTCAGCAAATATCAACGAGCTACTGCAGTATAAGGATGTGCGCGTTTTCGATGCCAAGGACTTTTCCACATCCAAGCTTGCTGCAGATGGGGTACATGCTCGCGCTCAGGTTGACGGTACTACCACTGCGTCGGACCTCTTCACGTTTTGGACGGCTGATGTCGGGTCGCGCTCTGAGTACGTCTATTTATACAACCAAGGAGTAATAGGAGTATTTAACATCACCTTCAATGTCGGAAAAGATCTAGTGCCCTACATCTTGGATCCATGGACTGGTTCCGAGATCTCATCGGCAGTTTTTGAAAGAAGTTCTTCTTCCGTCCGGATGGCCATCCAACTGCAATCCCATCAAACAACTATAGTCGCGTTCAAAGCTGCTGCCTCTGCACGAAGAGAAAAAAACGTAGTTAATCATTCTTCAAATGTGAAGAACGTCTATTTCACAGAAGACAACCACCTGGAGGCATTGATTTCCGACAGCTTGCCAGCGTCGTTGTGCCTGAGTAACGGTAAAAACATTAATCTTCCCGAAGTCAACACGCAAACTCTAGTAGTCACCACCTTAGGTCCCTGGAATCTTACAGTCCAAGCTTATGGGCCTATGCTCGACCATACTACTGTTGATTCCAACATCACAACGATCAACGTAGGCATGCTTCCTCAACTAGCACCATGGACGAAAATTCCGGGAATCGAACATGTCAGTGGTATCGGAACATATAGCACAAACTTCACTATCTCAACAGACAACTCCACATCTATCATGGTAGACTTCGGACCTGTTCTACACACTATCAAGGCATGGCTGAATGGCAAACAAGTCCCCGCCATCGATCCTACGAATTCCATCGTTGAAATTTCCAAGCTGGTCAAAAGTGGCAACAATGTCATGAAGGTGGAAGTAACAACATCCCTATTCAATGCTGTCAAAGAAAACATCGATAATGTATTGAGCATTGGAGTTGGTCCGACGAACAAAACTGTCTATACTAGCCAGGATTGGCATGAATTCGGACTTGTGGGACCTGTGCAGCTGAGACCTTACTGGAAGGTTAGAGTCGAGCTATCGTAGTTAGATCTTGTAGTTTCTAGAATACTATGACTGTAACAAACGCAAGAAAGCGTTTCCGGAATGATGTACTACGGTCGCATTAGCTACCCTAATTTCTATAATACTTGATCGTGTCACTTAAACCCTGGTGAATCGCCATTCCAGAGACTACCAACAAGCTACTTACTCTGACTCGTATACAGCGCGAATTTGGGTCCAATTAGTACCACAACGGATTCAGCATTGACGTTTCAACCCTTGTTGAGCTGACGCGTACCTGTGGCGGGCGGGGGGATCACTGAGCCGAGCGTACGACTATGTACGCCATCGAGGATCAATTCAAAAGATGATAAACAAATAAATAGTCTGAAACATCGCTACGGACTTCCACACCTATCAGATGACCTTGTTATTGTATGCAGAATGTCTTTTCTGCGAGTTCTTCCTGCTCCAGAATAGAGCCATCCATACAGCCATCAAGGAAACATTCACCCACAAAAATGAAATCATCGCTGTCACCAAGCTTTCGTAGCAGGACAGGAACGCTACAGCCATAGAGAATACAGACCAGATCACCCTTCATCGCTTTCTCTCCAACCATGCCAATGCGGCCAGAGTTTGTTGTAGTAAGACGCGTGGAGAGTCTGATGATTGTATCGAAAAACCTTCCAATAAAGGAGTCTTGAGTGTATTCGTCATCGTTTGGAGGCGGACCAGAGAAGTCGACACCTGTTTGGCTACTGTCACGTAGAATGCTTTCAAGGGATCTTCCGCAAATTTGAAGAGAAGCTGTCCGCTTGAACCATTCCTTTAATTCAGGAAGGATGGCTGATTGTGATTTGGGGTCTGTGAGCGGTGCGCTGAGGCGTATGAAGTCATAGAAGAACTCTTCAGTAGGCATTTCGAACTTCAAGAAGCGATCTTTGCGGTCCCACACTAAGGCTTTGCATACGCTCTTCAGTATGTCAGTTGATGACAGCGGCTTTGCGGTTTTTTCTGATGTTTGGATGGAATTGTTTGAACTTTGGACAAATGCTGCATTGGCAGAGCCACCTATTCCATCAATGGTGTCCACAATAACTCCTCGCACGCATAACTTTGAGCCTTGGAACTCATACGCAGGAAGTCTGTTGCCTGACGCCGCGTAGTAGACACAGGGTTCATCTGTAATGAAGTGGGCAGCGCGAAGATTTCCAATTTGGCTGTTGTGAGACTGGCTGACCATCAAAGGAGTTACATGAAATGCATTTCTCCAATGCCAGTCAGGTACCCAAGATGGCAGCGCAGAACCAGATGCCGGGCTGTATATTCCAGCGAAGCATATGATATCGAGGGATTTGTGTTTGGTGATGAAAGCCTTTGCGAATTGCATGTATACCTCTTCGCAGCTGAGAGAGTAATTGACGTCCAAAAGCGTATTACCGTCAGTCGACAGGGCCATGAGGCCATACAAACGATCACGATCGTCGGTTGCATCCATGAAGCAGAAGTAGGCAGTGAGCGCCAGCAGAGTCCGACTCGAACTGACACCTTGCATATTAGCCCTGTACAGGTCCCAAGCTCTTTTCCGATTAAAGCCGTAGCGAAAGGCAATGGTTTCTTTGATGCCCGACTGAGTGCATTTGTCTGCAATGAAGATACTTCGGCATACAGCAGGCTTGCTAACCTCCTCTAGACCGACCCAAAAGATGATGTTCAACGGCACTGCAAACTCTTGTATTGTCCAGATTCTCGACCACCATTTGCGGGAGAGAAAGTTGGATAGCGCTGTCCAGTGTGCCGTGTATTCATCCACTCCATTGAACGCTTTACGAATCTGCTCAATACCGTTGCCCTCTTGTTCGAACTTGTCGTGCATTTTGATGAAGTCGACGGCGAGGCTGCTATCATTCGACGCTTCTCCTAGCCAGACGATCACCTCTTCAGCGTTGTGATAGATTTCCTTCATGTGTCTGACTTGTTGACCTCGTTCTTCCAGATTGGCTTGGTTGATGCATAGGAAATCAATCCACCACCTACCCTCGAACAGTTTGCCCTTAAGCCTCAGTACCTCAATGAAGGACTGGAGCGAATCAAGGACTCGAACATGCCCTGGTCCTACTTTCACACTCCAGGTTTTCTGCATGCCCCTGTCGGGGCAGGCCCATGTGTAGGAAAGGCAACGATATGAGGGGATCGGCTCATCCAAAGAGAAAGGTTCCAGTATGAGGGCTATTCCATTCTCACTTGGTATGAACCTCAAAAGCCGGATTTGATTTGGTGGGATTGTATCGTAAACGTAAGGAGGTTGTGCATCCATTATATATATCTTAGTAATGAGAATGGAGGTAAGAATATCAAGCGTGTATGTTTCTTATGCAAACAGCGCATAGATATATTTATATTTATTTGATGTGAGAGAAGGAGGAGGTAGCCTAGAGCAGTTTGAACAGGCTACAGCCAAGTTCTGCACTCCATTTGATGTTGGCTTCCTGCAGGGTTGGGCCCCACATGCTGCAGTATACGGCAAAGCCTAATTGTAAAAATGCAATGGGCGCCTACAAAGGTTTCAGCCTTGTTCGTGTAAGGTAATTACCGAGGCAATTATTAGATAACCGCGCGGTTGCAGCACCGCATGCAGAAGCGCCTATTCGACTAAAGTTGATGGCAAATAGCAGTGAAGCCAATGATAGGCAGATACAACATGTGCAATGATTGGAGGTTATCTCCACAATCACTAAACGCTGAATCACTGATTCGACAGCTAACTGCATGATGGTACAACAGGAGATTTCGCCGTGGTCACTTGTTTCATCGTCACAGCAGTCAGGCATGCATTCATCTTCACCTCCGCAGCGCCCGCATCCGTCGTCACAACACCCACACTGGCTACCTAGATGTTCATCTGAGCCACCCCAATCAACACTGGTACCTGCAACGGCCACTCCGCCAGCAGCGCCTACTGCACGCTCCAGTAGTAGTTGGACAATTGATACGTGGCCACAGGCAGATGACCAATATAATGGACTTGAGCCACCCCTTGGGATGAAGTTGATTGCTCCCCCTCGCTGAAACAATAGGTCAATAATGATTCGGTGGCCTCCGGCGCATGCAGTGGTCAATGCAGTCCGCGACTGCCGGCAGATGTCTGACTGCGGGTTCAGGCCTCCATGGATAGTTCTCAGATGACGTGAGATTCCTTTCTCTTCAGTTTCCCAAGGTTTCATCTTCGATGTCAAATATCCTGCAATGTAATTTCCTGTTGGCAAAATGACATCGGGCAATCTCGTACAGGATGCGATCAACAGCCCTTTGTGGGCTCTCTTCAACTCCAAGGTTACGTCTATCAAGGCTCGGTCAAACCGGGCCTCGAAAATTACTTCCTCGGTTACTATCCGCTCTCCATTTAAAGGGTTCCATGCTAGGTCATTTTTCACATCGTACCCTAGTCCAAGGCCACTGTATTCAACTTCAAGTATGAAGTTGTAATGGTTCTTTCCAATGTCCACAAAGGAGGATATGTGTCTCATGGCAAGTACATAGATCTGCTCGTAGCTTGGTGTAGTGCTGAAATCAAAGGGTGGCCCTTTTTGGGGTAATGAGTATGATGGATATTCCTCCTTCAAAAGTTCCATCACAGCCTCAGCGGCAATGACCATCATCAAATGAGGAAACCAATGCAGGTGTTCAGTTTCGAAGTAATTTCGGCCATATGCTGTAATACATTCTTGCTCGATGGCATCCCGAAGAGCGTCGAACGACTTGAAATGATGATTGTAGCCCTTGAACATTGTCGGCCGGAATAGATGAGATCCTAAGCTTTTGCGATGGCTAGTTCCTTGGAAAATGTGATATGAGTAATAAGAAAAGAGCTTCTTAAAGTCGTCGTCCCTCATATCTATTTGAAGTGTGACCCCAGTAGGATGAAGCAATTCCTTCCAAAATGTACTTAATAAATCCGGCACAGCTTGGTCCGTCTTCTCGAATGACTCTGTAAAGTCAAGTTTGCTCAGATCAACTTTTCGATCAACCAGAAACATCTTGAGGATCTCGAAAATAGTCATTTCTTTCCATTGTTTGTCCTCTGCCGAAACACGAAAGGCTCCCTTTTCATGGACCACGATAGTCTTGTCCAGCCGGTCAAAGACAAACGAGTCAAGCTCATGAAGATAATACCCGTGGTTTACTCCATTCTCGATGGCGGCCGCGGAATTGTCAACAATGCCCTGAGCACGGTCGTAGAGTCCGCGGTGGCAGAATACGTAGCCAAATTCATGGTCCAGAGTCGGCTTGTCGGTATTGACAAGGTTATGGCAGAGGAGATCCGGAGGACAGTATAATTGTTTCTGTCTGCCCCATGTGAAGCCTTTTGGAAGAAGAGGATCCTCTCTTTGGTTTGGGAACACTCCTATATGACTATTGTCGGGACAAGGAGTTCGTTCCATCCTTTGTTTTTTCGCGACAAAATGATCGACCGATTCTTTCCATTCTATCCATTCCACGTCTTTGGAGTCTACTTCGTCTTCGCTGTACTTCTCAACTTTACTGCACATGGCTGCAATACGACTTGGAATCGATAAGGAAATTCATGTTCACAAGTAGGCGCATAATGTTGGGCGACATGAGCATTTTAGCACGCTCAATTTTGCCGCAGTACGGCCGACCGTGTGGCAAAGCTTCGCGAGAACTGCATGGTTGTATTTGGAGACAGCGGAGACGATAGCGGAGATGATCCCCAAAAGTCTTCACTGTTCGCCGCTGCCTCCTCTGCAGATAGGCCCCGCCGACTGACATATTTGTCTGCATACATCCTCCAACGGGGGGAGCGGGAGCCCTGTACATTGACAGAGACGGCACGCGCGGCATCGTGCCACTGGTGGTGATTAGGTGGATCCAGGATCTCGTTGACCTGCCCATCCACAGTGCTAGCATCCTGACTGCTCTGTCACTATTCACATATGCAGTGTGATCAGTAACACACCCCTGACTAGCCATGCATCACCCATCCGGAATCAACAGCCGCTGTCTCCTTGGCATGTGCCCTTGATTATGGACTTTGACTGTGGTTACCGGCAAAAGTTTTGTGCGCGGAGACGCTAAAAATGACAATCGAACTCTCCTCCGGATAACTCCATCCCGAATTCAGTAAAGGACTACACTACTAGGCTGTTCTTAGCGATCTTAACGGAAGCCACACTGTATCAAGTATAGCTCGTACGCTCAACCCCATCCTGTATCACACCCTTGCTAGTGGCTCGTATACATGGCTTTGGCCTCCCACCACAATAAAGCTGCAGTTCATATGGGAGTGAAAGATATATGTATTTAGCTGGAGCATACAAGGGCTGAAAAGCCAATGTAGCAGACATCTATGAAACAATTGGAAATCACGTTCCGCCACTATTCCTAAAAACAGGTTATTATCTATAAATAGAAATGAGTTTACCTTGCCGGTGATACTGGGCAAAGACTCTCGGGAGGAGGCAATATGAAAAGACTATCTGATTCACGCAATGACAAATGGCACTTAGTGTCTCTTGTGCATAAGAATACAGATACGTGCTACTACACTAAACGTCGTGACACCAGCCCTGAAGCCAGGCGAGATGGCTACGTTGGATGCCTGCCGCTGTGTCGCCGCTAGTGAGCTACCTAAACTAGTACTTATAGTTCTTGTGCGGATCTGCGCCTACATCTTACCTTATAAGGATAGCTATCGCCTATCTCATAATAGATACTGCATAGCAGTATACTATACCCTTCTGGGCATGCTGTGGTTTCGGTGGAGCTGAGGTAGGGTGCATCACACTTGCCTACCAGAAACGATACACTACATCTACACGGAACTAACAATAAGAGATATAGTAAGGTGCTTATAATTGTTTATGTAAGGCTAAGTTAGTAGGATTTTTAGTTCCCAACAGGAAATCGAACTCGCCGCTATAAGCAATTAACACAGCCTTCAATCAGCCGAGCTTGAACTCTGTTAAGAGAACTTCATACAACAATATGTAGATTGCAGACCCTTGAAGTGGTTTCAAAATTGATCCACAAACCTATTGACACGCGCATTCTCCTGATCCAAAACATATTGTTGCTTGTCTGCTTCCACAAGGGTTTGTCGCACAGGCTGATTGTTGACCAACTGTACACGTTTTATCGGTTCCTGCTTGAGCTGCTACAACACTGAGAACTGTAGCACAGAGAAGGAAGAGCTTCACAGTGAAGCTGAAGGATGAACGTTTAAAGATTGAGAAAAAAAAAAGAAATGCTTTTTTTGGTTTGAGTTGATAGGTATATCTAGAAGATCGCTGGCGAATGTGAAAGATTTAGGTTTGAATATTAAGAGAATCGTATGTATTTTGCGGTAACAGTTGTACTTCGAGGATTTCTGGTGGAGGTGAAGACTCTGATGTGACGAGAAAATGGAACTCTTTATATTTCCGCCGATTTTATGTGCTAGCATATTTCATTAATAAGCGTGTACTTGCTAGAAAGAGAGAATACCGTCTACAATTCATTAGCAAATTACCTGATGCTTAAGATAGGATAGAGTCCGTGGACTCCTTTTTCCGTTCGGGGGAGCAATTATTGGTAAGCCATCGCATGGTAGTCTACTGGTATGCACGTCTCTTTCGCACTCTTGCAATGCCTAAATCTCCAACGCGATCAAAAGAGCCCATTACAATACTACCAACGTCTGTTCCGCTTTTAGCGTCCCCAAGGCGTATTTGATGATTGTAAAGTAGTCGAGCGCGATCGGAAGCATCTAGGTATGTGCCTGTCTGGGGTACTGATATGTACGGATTGGTTCTTGTCGCAAGTGACGAAATGTTCATCGCCACGTCGACTCCTGTGGTGAGGAAGTGGCGAACAAATGGGGCGACAAGACTCGCAACGATGATAACGATGGAAGCGAGAAATAAGGCGATGACCCAAGCGCGATGAGCTACGATAACCTCTTTCCGCTCAGTCTTTGTTATTTCGCTGGTCCATGCTTCCGCCTTAAATATGTTGCTTTCTATATTTCCAAACATCGGTGCGTCGTAAAGGTCCTGCCATGAGTTGTTGACATTAGGTGAGAGCTCAAACGTTTGGTTGCTGTCCCAATAATAAGCGGTATCGTTGTTGATACCTGCAGTGATAGCAAAGAATCCGCTCAAGCATGAGAAGTAGGTATTAAGCATTTGGCCGAGCCGAATAGTATACTGTTCTTCTGTTGTTGGAGATAAATTTGCGAAGTTTGAATTGCTTAAATCCGGATCTGTAAGGTATCGATCGAACAACTGTGGATAATGGTTACTTCCTCTGGCAATCGAGTTTAGTATACCCTGAAAAAGAAGCCGTGGCGACTGCCAAGAGATGTCCAGATATGTCCACGGGGCTGGAAAGTGGTCCAATGTCGATCGACGTATCCTCCTAGCTGCGCAGGTCGACGATGTCGGACATCGGATCTCAGTCTCGACGTATGACTGTGTCATATCGCAGGTAAGAGTGAAATTACTGGAATATAATGGAACGTACTTGAGCTTTAATGGTGATACTAACTCCGGCAATATTGTCTCTCTCCAACCCTCCCGACTCGGGTTCTCGTCAAGCGATGAATCCGGAATGTCCCAAAAGAGCCAAGAGCCAGGGCTACTTGCATTTGAAGTCAATCCAGGAAGTACTTTATCCATGAACCAATCTGTATCCGACACTGTAGTTTTGATGGAACATTGTAAGTGAAAGTATGGAGAGTGGATCCGCGTAATATAGTCGATGAAGTTCGATTGGTTTGTGCCGAGGATGGGTATGCCAACAAGGGACGAGTATGTGTCGCTATCGCTGCCTTCGATTTCGTACCAGCCATCATATTTCATTGTGGCGACCTGTTCGTATCCCTCTATTCTCGGTACCTTGACATTTCCCCATAAATCAAGCAGGGAAGACTTTGTTTCTGGTGATCCCATGAGGGCTGCTACGAATACCGCACCCGCCATCGAACCACCCTGAATTGCCGTTACCTTGGGGGAGTATGCACCAAGGTATCCGCTGTTAACCATGTACCACGAGGAATCGTGTATCCCAGTATCTTTTGACCTTATGGACAGGACTCTGACTGAGGCTTGACCTCCAATCGGCGATAACAACCACACAGCTAGCAGTGCTACACCAAGTATACTAAATGAGCGAAGCTGAATCTGCGAGGTCACAGTGCTAGTAAGTGATGTACTACTAGCGAGTGTGTCTAATATGCCGATCCGCTCGCCTTTCTCAAGACGCCATAGAAGGATAGCATGCACTGCACGGCCAACGATTGAGGCGAATAGGATAGGGAAAACAGTTGGACCCTATGTTGAATCAGCTGCTGTCAGGAATAATGTTTTACAGTACTAGTACATATTTCGTAGCTCTAATCAATACCGTAGTCAGCCGTGGGTAATCTGCCGTGGGAACTTGGTCATGTACATCTATGACGATGGCAAACGCGAGAAAGGTAGCTGAACAAGCGAGTAAAAGGATATCGAAGATACCATTAAGAACTTTGACATAGATTGGTGTGTTTATGCTTTTAGGTGACAACGGCCAGCCCGGCATCATCCTCAGAGACTTTTCTTGCCCCAACGGAGATGCATCTGGTACATTATTATCCCTGGTATGCTGTGCAGCATTGCCTACTGCCGTGGAGCCAATTGAGAACTCAGATCCCAATGTTCCATCTTCCTGAGTCAGTAGAGACGAGATGGTAGTGTCGCGATGCTCATCAATATTCGATCCCCGGTCTGTCGATGGTGTGCTAAGTGAGGATGGTTTGTGTCGCATTTCGATTTCTTGATCCAGCAAACTTTGTTTTTGGTATTCCCGCTCGTCAGTGGAGATCCAATAAGGATATGGTTGGTGTTTAGACATAGCTAAAAGAACAAAAGTAGTCTGTCACAAAATCACTGGGTCAAGGCTGGGAGGTAGTACTTATAAGGTAGACTCAAAGTGTCACATCAGCGGCGTGGTATCCGAACTTCTTACATCAATTTCCTTATTCTCAGCTCGCCTCGCATTACGCATGGCGGCATTCACTTTCGGTTCACATCAAACGAGGAGACTTTCAGCTTCACCTTGCATCAGGCGTGGCGCTATTTATTGAAGAATGCTTAACCTTAGGATCTGACAGACGCTGCAGTCTAGAGTGGTTATTTAAATTCGCGCTTGCGCACCCATCATCAATTCCGCGACATATTTAGGGCATTTTCTGATATAGTGGTAAGCGGCTTTTTGTGTACGCGCTACTTCTTAGTGAGGACCTATCTTGCTCAGCACTAGCAGAAACTATTTCAGTATTGCGCCCCCTCCCCCCATACATAGTACCAGCAACGGCTTCGGGGCCCTCTCTTATACTTTCATACAACGAGCTATGATTTCTAGGTTCTCTATCGTCGTGAATAAGCGGCACCATATATAGAATAGTTGCCTGCTTAACAGGACGGTATAAATATGCATGAAAGTATTAGCAATCCTTCAAGGGCCGTTTTATTCGGCAACGAGCTTTCGAATTTGGAAAAATAACCAGGCCTCGGAAGTTTCTAAGGCTATTTCTAGCTGTGGTCTGTTGAAGCTCAATAAGCAAACAGTCGTGAGGAGACTTCTAGATTTCCATAACATATGTAACTACATAAGTACATCATCATGTATATATGACGGCTTCCATCAACTACCTATAAGCGCTAAAGAATCACCTTATTTGTACCCGGAAAAGCAATAAGAGATCTACAAGAGCCTGGTAGGGATTAAGGTAAGACCTAAAGTACATCCGAAATGAGAGCTGGCGGCATGCGCCAGCAATGTCTTGTTAAGGTTGCACAGCCACACATGTACACGTACGTACTAGTTTCTGCATGACGCAGACCCATCAACTCACGCGTGTCGCGTCACAGAAGTGAGTGTTGGATGAACACATTCTTGCATATTTTGCGAAATCATAATGCATTGTTACTCATGTACATGGCCATTGAAGATGGCTTAACCTAATCAATAAGTCAGCAAGCTGCTTTCAGCATCACCCCGGAGGGTACTTGAGATACTAACTGAATCGAAAGTGGCCATCTTCGTTAGTAATACGCTCACCAAGGTTGATGTCACGGCTCTCCTCGTTGCCGTCGGCATCCCTCAAGCTGGCGCGGAGAACAGGAACGTCACCATCACCTTCCAGAGCAAAATGGATGTTATCTGCTGAATGGGCAAAGCCCTCACCGTCCCAAGTAAAATGACCTACAGGGTGTTAGCGAATGGATAAGCTGAAGATCAAACATTAGAAGCAGATGAAGTACCATTGTCGTTGCCGATACACGAATTGAGGTCAATCTCGGAGTCGTTCCACTCGCCGCCAGCAGTTCGGAGACGAGCCTTGAGGACGGAGCCTTCAATACGGATGTCCTCAGCGGAGTGGTAGAAAGTCATGATGAAAGAGAACTTGTAGGTAAATTGTCTTGAGTGCGGGGTTGCTCAAACTTAGTGGGATGTTGAAGGAAAAGTGGACAGAGAGCAAGGAAATGTTGGGCTTTATAGTAAGCGACCAACACGAGTGGCGAAGGTTTAGTCCGACAGCTGCCTTAGCACTGTAGTAAAAGAGGTTCATGAAGCCAAGCCGACCCAAACCGCGTATTCCCCACCAGACCCCACTTGTTGAACATTCGTCGGAGAAAACGGATCGGTCTTGACTGCTTCGTCACACGTGGCATAACTATGCTTTCACTGAAGGCCCTGCCGTCATCCGGCTTGGATACTGCCATTGTCCACGCCGTACAACCAAGCAAAGCCCAATAACGCGGCCTTTAGCGGGACAGTGATACACTATACTTACTGATGGCCATATGTAACGGCGCCGAGTGTCTGACATACATACATATCCCTCAGCTATGCAAGAGCCCCGACGTGCGCTCCGTGGCTGTGTGTGAGTGGCTTGAGCACAGTGGCGTGATTTCAGCATGCATCAAGGGTGGGGCTGGTGCGTTGTTTGTGATTCGCGATACGCCCTTGTACCATTGTAGCTGTGGGTATCGACGCAGGCCTCGAGTGCGGGGTCATCAGTTGTCAAGTAAAGTAACGGCACCGTGTTGCATGGGACGCCCTAGTAGCGCTTTGAGGACCGGTGTGATAGTTCGCAAGTCGTCACACTACCAGATGGGTTCGCTGGGTTTCGTAGTGGATTGGAAAAGGTATCAGAGACTCAGGGTAGACGAACACCATAGGACGTGTGCAAAAGCAGGGTCGACGCCAAGGACACGCTAACCTTGCACGGGCCGCATTTCCCCCCCATTCTGTGGGTCATTACATTATATTATACTCTTTCGTTCTCGATTGTGTCCACCGCCTCGGTTGGCCCCGCAAAGCTACCCAAATCTCTACTACGACAGTCTGAGACACGCTCATTCAGCTGTGGTAAGCGAAAAATGTTGAGTAGAGCTTCGTTCGGGTTCACAAATGATCGCATACTTATAGGCAAAGTAGGTTGAACGATAAAGTGATTCCAATGATATTTAACAGAGAGTAAAGTCAACCAGGGATGTAATATCTAGCTAGTGCTCCCAAGTTTTTCAGCGCAGTTGCATTACTACTACCTTTGCGTTGAGAACTCCCAGAACCATGGAATATAACACGGATTTTGCTTTTGGAGACCGCACAAAAACTTTGGTACTACTAACTACCACGTAGTATATATACGTTATCACCTACGGCTTCACCACGCGTGCATTTTGCGCGCGCTATCGCATAGTGATTAATGAACAAGGAAATAATTCAAAGCCTATCTCCATCATATCGGCCACGATGTTTCCAAATGGAAGCTCCAAGTTACTCTACCGGACCAAGCCCCCGTTAGTCTTCAAAACCGGAAGTCTTACTCAGCGTACCCCCATAAATTTTGGACCTTGCGCGAACCACCGGTTCCTTAGTCGTGCGAGATTCTTCTCTTCAGGGTGTACAAGAGAACTACGTAGAGACGGTAGGCTGTGTTGATAGCTATTTCTCTCTGCCTACACAGTCTAGACGCTGGCATGAACGCAGGCCCCGACCCCTACCACTATACCAGTGGCCGATGGCTTCTTCAGGATGTAATAGAGCGAGAATCACGTTTTATACATTTCGACTTCGATGCTCTCTGCCGTAAAGTTTTGGCATTGTGTCCCAACTCCACCCCTATCACTTCGTATCATAAGAAGGAGGGTACCTTTAACCGAGTGTTCATATTCCATACTGATAGCGCTGAACGTATCGTCGCAAGGCTACCCTTTGGATTGGCAGGGTCTCCGCGACTTTCGAGTAATTCAGAAGTCGCAACGATCAAGTACTGTAGGTTCTGCGACAAAATAATGGGATACTGGTGATGTTTTAGCTAACCGCCTTTGGTCTTCATAGTGCAGGCCGAGACTGAGATCCCTATTCCAAAGATACTCGACTGGAATGACGACGCTTCAAATCCTATCGGCAGCGAATACATTATCATGAAACATGCACCAGAGATCCAATTACTTGAAAAGTAGCCAACCATGGATTTCGACCAACAAGTCAGATGCGCAGGACTGATTGCCAAAAAGCTCACAAAGATGGCCAACATCAAATTTCCAGCATATGGCAGTCTTTACTTTGCTAGAACACCATATCTTCCTCCCTCAAAACTCCCGTTTAATGAAGAGTTTTGTATCAGCCCACGCTGTGGGCACATGTACTGGAATTGTATGCCTACTCAGCCCAAATTCTATCACAATGTCAAACCAAATCAAGGACCTTGTAAGTTAGCCCATATATTTTGGAGACTGGAAACTTCTGATTGTATCGCACAGGGATAAATTTAGCCGATTATGCGGACGGTCTCGTCGACTCCGGAATTTCTAGAATACTGCCTCTTGCACCTACTGTAAAAGGCCCACGTTACCAAGGGTCTATTGAGACACATAAAAGCCTACTCAAACAGGGCCGCACAATGTTGAAGGAAATGTGCAAAAGCCCTCAAATCCAAAATGCTGCCAGCCCTGCTATGTTTCATCCCGGTCTGGACAAAAGAAACATATTTGTGTCAGAAGATGATCCCACCATTGTGTCAGTTATCATAGAATGGCAGTCTACTAGCATTGAGCCGGCATTCTGGTATGCGGAACAATTTCCAGACTTTACGCATCCTCCTCCTGACCTTTGCGACTTGGTCGATTTAATGGACCCTTTGATCTCAGCACGTGCCAAAACCTACGATATATCCCTGAGAATATTCGCCCCGAGTTTCTCCGCAGCGAGATCAATGGATAAGTCGTATTTCCGGCCATTTCAATACTGCCATCGCACCTGGGAAGATGGGGCCGTCGTGTTTCGTGAAGAGCTGATAGAGGCCTCGCGACAGTAGAAAGATCTTGGGTTTGCGTCGTAGTGTCCATTTTCTCTGCCCTGCCCTGATGATATTGCTGTTCGCAAAGAGGAATACAGGCGTTTCGAGGTATCAAAGGAGCTGTTAAGTACTCTCGTATCTCTACTGAACGTCGCCAATGACGGCTGGGTTCCCCTAAAAGACTGGGAAAATACCAAGGTTGCACATCAAAAGGCTTTTAAGGATTTATTACACGACGTGCTGGCATTTGATCGGCCGGATGATGATGATGATCCGCTTCAAAGTGAAGATGATCTTAGAGAACTCTGGCCATTTGACTTAGAGGAATGACCTAGCGAATGGTAGTGGCAAATTGGATCGTATTTAGACTCTTCGAACTTGGAAGAAGCGAATATCTTATCTGATAGTCGTTCAGTGTCCTAAAATCCGTAGAGTACTTGGAGTTCTTATAGTTAGTAGCCTCCTAAAACTTCTTAACCAAACCTCATCTAGAATTCCACTCCTTTAAGCATCACAATAATATGAACGGCTTCTTATCATAGATCTAATCGTCGCACTTGCAAGCGATAATCTATTAGGAGAATCGTGCGTGGGGTGGTATAAGCGCCCAAACATGCATATGTCAAATTGGAAACTTGACTTAACATTGACTTCAACAATCAATAAGTGATCTATCTATAATGTGCCCCGGAGCTCTCAAGTCCGTAAATATTATGCATAGTAGAAAATTTTTGTAACAGCCCCTTGACTAGCGAAGTAACTATCTTAGAAGATGTAAAGATTTAGCTTACTATTTATGACTTGACTTGAATTGTTTATATCTGTTTGCTGTATAGCGTATCCGATAAATCATCTCAGAAAAAAAATGGCAGGCTATACCCCCACCTGGCGGAATCGGAGCTTGTTTAGTTATAAGATTAGAGTTTAATCTCTAGCCTATTACATAAAATTATATTCTATCTTATAAGAATAACAAACAGGATATTAAGCTTGGTAGCGAAAATTAGGTTCTATCCAAAAGAATATCCAGGGTGCTCTCAACCAACCGTAAGGGCCGATAGTTTTCATTGTTGTTGGGAAGAGTATAATTACCCCTAAGCGGACCTCTAATGTGACATACTTGTTCTCTTGAGCATATCTAAGCACGCGCACTAGGTTATTGCAATAAGAACCTCTACGGTACTTGACCAGCAGATATCTGTGTGTCCCGAGTCGAAAGCTGACTAACGCGTGTTACAGAGAACAATAACATAACAAGAACGTTCCTCCGTCGCCTCAATCTTGCCGTATAAGAACCATGGGTCCTCTAAAGCTCTCCCATCTGCCTCCGCCCACGACTGCGCCTGAAACATGCACCATCACTGATGGTGCGAAGAAACCATTTCGATTTATGGATCTCCCAAAGGACATACGGCTCATTGTATACGAGGAGCTGGGCATGAGAACGTACCGAGACAGGTTTCATCTACGGGAGGATCAATATTACGTGACGCTCGTCAATACAGTCATACCAGGTCTCTCAATTCTCGCAACTAGCCATCAGATCAGATCGGAAGCATCCTTCGTCATTTTGCCACGGCTGCGAATGATAGTATGTTCGCCGCCAGTCATTGTCATTCGAGCTGAACACCTCATCAGCCTAATCAATCTACATGACTGCTTCAGCTCTGTTTACGGTACGAAGTTCATGGAGAAACTCATATCCTGCTTGTATGACTCGAGAGCATTGCCCAGAATGATGCTTTATCGAAAAGGAAAACTTTCAACAAGGCAGTTGCGGAGAAGGCTTCGCCTGCAGGAGCTCATGGCAATCGACGACGAAGTAAGTCTCAAAGCTTTCGTGCGATTCGCTCTCCGCGCCATGAAATACCTAGCGAGAAATACCACCGAGACCCGTCACGTATATCTGCCGCTTACGTTCGTGGTCGAAGTCCCAGATACCTTCCAAGGAATACCTGTCACAACTTCCACCTCCCTGATGAAAACCCTCTCGTATAGACTCTTTTCCCCATTGATTCCTACCCCGCCGCGAACGGTGACAAATCACGCAGGCATCATGTGGCTGCTTCGCCGTTTCACTTCCCACATCTCCAAAGCGTGTGAGCTGTGGCGCATAGTTTCGCTCATTGTGAAAGTGAGGCTACTGAACGAAGGACATACTGGGTGGCGAATTAGCGGACGCAACGTTCAAAAGGCGATTTCGCGCGGTCTAGAGGAAGCAAAGAGTAATACGCCCGATATAGTACGTTATGGAGGAAGGGCTCCGAGGAAGAGGGACGAGATTTGAGGAGAGAGATACTGCTGTTTTGAGAGTATATTATAGGAGACTAGTGGAAAGTCCTACTACATCTGTACGCTACGTCAGAAGTTGAACTTTAGTATGTAGTTGCATCAAAGAAAGAAGGAAGTTACACTGAGGCAGGAATGAGCATATGCTGTTGTTTACGCACGCTCTTATTTACACCCTCTTTTGAGCAAATTCCAAATTCCAAAGAAACTCGCCTCCAATTTTAAGCTCTTCAAAAGCCGTTTCGTTTGCCACCATCAAAATGTCCATAGTCCTCGACCTCTTCAAAAAGAAAGTCCTCGCTATGCCCAAAGCGGCATCAAGATTCACGCCCGCCGTCAAAGAAGGATCTCGAATTCTCCCACCAAAGGCAAAAGATGTGGAGTTGAAACTCCGCATTGACGGCGGTCATTACAACCCTGCCGACAAAAAGCTCAATGTCGTCCTACAAATAAACAAAGAAGCCAAGTCGCCGTGCCTTGTCGAACAACGAAAAAAATTTACATCACATTATAAATTCGCGTCGAAAAAGTTTGACACGGGGGCAGGGGGTAAGCAAGGAGAGTTGGAGAGGGTATTGGACTCTCTATGCGCTCAGCGAAAGGGGGAACTCAAGAAATTAGGACGTTAATTCAAGTATAAGTTGTTGGATGTATTAAGCAGAGACATGATTAATCTGTTTCCGGACCAGGACACATCCCATCCAAACCCCACCTACTTATCCGTCCCTTAGAGAGACGACTCTTCCAACCCCGTCGTCACCCCCATCCGCTTATCCCAAAGCGCCTCCACGATATGAAACGCCGCCCTCCGCTCATCCCAATCCTCCACGCTATCGTACTGAAGCCATCGACCTCCTCTTGCGCCAATACTCTGCACAGATGCATCGCCCGCCTCGATGCCGTCTTGGGCTCTGGAAACGGCCGCATACCTAATCAACCCGTACGCCTCCAGGTCCTCGAGCTTACACGGTGTGAATAGCATCTGTCGCACATCTTTCATGCATGCCCTCCAAGAGTCCTGTGCGGAGTTGCTTGTTGGTGGATCGGCAGTGTAGTATCCCAGTGCGTGTCTGCCGTCGTGATGGAACCGCGGTAAGAAGAGTACGGTGACGACATCTTCATTGTCCTCACCCTGATCGTGGGATATATCTTCTGCCAAAACGCCGAGTTGTAGCTTGGGAAGCCGCCCCATGGGGGGAAGGTTGGGCAAGTGGTTGATCGCCGACTGGAAGTTTATGCTGGGGAGGTTGTGCTGGGCGATGCGTGCTATAGCGAGACAGATCGCGGGGTTGGTTGTCGTGCACGTATAGATTTGGTGTTCGTAATCGGTATACACTGGCGGTGGCCGTGGGATACGTGTGGATGAGTAGTCAGTGCGATGCTTGCATCGCTCTTGCTCAACTTCGTCTGGCTGCTCATCACTAGGGTCCCATGCATCAGTCTCTCTCAGCCCGTTGCGACGGTACTCGTCGAAATCTGTGCAGATGTCCTTGTAGTCTTTCTTTAGAGAGAGCTGTTGGAGGTAATGCTCTACACCAGTGAGTCGTCCTGTCTTATTCGGAGTTTCGACGCTGTTCACGACTACATCATCTTGATGAGAATCCCATGGGTACTTGCGTGGCGGTTGCGGTGTTGTAGATGAATCTGGCGAAGTGGCTGCACTGCCTTTTCTGGGTGTGCGTTTAATGAGGACTTTAACCATTTTCCTGGAGTTCGCTGTAGTAGTCGCTCCAAAAGTGACGGCTGGGCGACTGGCTTTTGGCATGGTGGCAGTGTTGTAATGTGGCGCTTGAATCAAGCAGGGCTGGTAGGCATCCAAAGTATCAGTGGAACAGTCTGGACGGGTGGAAAGTGCTGGGGCAAGAAGTGGTATTGTAATCTATGGATAGCGGACAAGGTCTGTGCACCACGAGGGTTTGTAGCCAACAATTTCACTGTATATCCAAAGCACACGCAGATCCATGGTTTGTATGATTACTATTACTATCAATCCGAGTCATCATCAGTGTCCTGTCCAAGCACTAGTGATATCTTATCGCTGTCACTGTCCTCGTCACCTTCACCTGGACCAGGAAGCTCTGGAATCGCAGAGGCGGTATTGGTAGCAGTGAAATCTGAGGTGGCTGACGCTGTCGCATCGATAAGAGTGTCCTCAGAAGGCGCCGTGGCCGTGGAAACAGGCTGTGCGGTGCGAGTAGGCTGCAGCTCATCTTGGTTTGGTTTTGCACGCTTCGAAGGAGAATGAGGGCCTTCATTGCCGATTGGACGCTTTGCTTCACCAGACGCCGGGGGTTCTGACAAAAGCGCATTCCCTGAATCTGTGAATGCTGAGTTCGATCTGGAGGAGATGAGTGTGGGTACGTCAGTGTGGAGAACATCTGTCATAGCGAAGTCTTTCACTGCGGTACCAGCATTCTCCTCTACAAATTCATCAGCCACTTCTTCGGGAGCTTGTGGCTCAGCTTCATCCTCTTCCTCGTGCTCTACATCCATGTCGTCCTCTCCCTCTTCTGTATCCAAATCTTGACCACCTAAGTGGATTACTGGCATCCGTGGCCGCAGCATGCCCTCGACGTCCCTTTCAGCAGAAAATGACCGAGCCATGAGTGGCAGAATGCTTGCTGCAGGCTTACCAAACTTCTTGCTTGGCGGAGGGTTCAGTACGCTAGCCACCATAGCCTCCTTGTGCTGTGCGAGAATTGCAGTGCGGTCTAGGCGAGCTCGCATGGAGTCGGATAGATGTTGAGCACGAATATCCGAGAGTAGCACAGGCAGAAGATTGTAGGCGGCTTGGGACAGTCCCGTATAACCGTCGAGGGAATTGTCGGGTTCTTTGGAGCCGCCCAGGAACGCGTCTGCGTTTGCGGACGTCTGTGGCTGAGCGTTGCCATTTGCTTTGGCACGATTGGAGATATGGTTGGCTGTATTGATAGTTGCAGCTGAGGGAAGCAGGTCATCGCAGCAGGATCGGATAAGGGGCAGGAGAGAGTCAACTGTAGACTTATGAAGTGCAACTCCAGATCTCTTCAAAAGAGCTGATGTTGCCACATAACATGCCGTTCTGACTTGGGCCATGTCTCTCTCCGCATTAAAGACCCAGACAAGCTGATCAACCAAGATTGGGTCCAACGCAATTGTGCTCGACTGAGACCTGTGTGCTAACGATAAAATTACTTCGATGGCAACAACATGGATCTCCGGAATCAAAAGCCAGAGGTTTTCTCGCTCCTCTTTGCTGACTTGCGCATTCAGGCGGATAGTGTTTTGGAAGTTTTTGGATGAAGATACAGGGATGGTGATGGAGAGCATCCTCGAGATCAAGTCAACGATCAGACCGACGTCCAAGTAGACAGTGCTTGAGGTGGGACTCTCTATGTACTCTTTCAGGAGATACATGAGTCCCAGCAGTCGTTCACCACCAGCGAAGATGCCCGACCAAGGTGGAAGACCTGAGCTTGGCTCCAGATCCTGGGTTTCATCGTTGATGGTACGGCCATTCACCAAGGGTGCTTCACGGGAAGTAGATTGCCAATCTTCCACTACCGCACGGAAGACATGATCTGCAGTTTGGTGGGCGCTGTTGACAATACTTTTGACGGATTTTGTCCAATCCTCACCAGAAGTGCCCTTTGGTGCGCAGTAAGGTAACTGCGCATAGAGCTGGCGCGCAGCTGCAGCAATATCGGATGTAACCCCATACCTGAACCCGGAAATTTCTTCTTGACTCAGCTTGGTGGACGGTGTGGGCGCAATCAAGCGGGCTAGGAGTGGGTGGAGCTGTTTGAGGTAGGATCGGAAGACTGTGGGATGTCGGGGTAGCAGTTGGCTGAAACTCTCCAGGACGGTTAACAGCAGAGAATCCGGTACATTAGCCGTACTGGCTATTTGTAGTCCCGCTTGTACGAAAGGTGTCAGAGATGGGGTGGTAATTTCGCGAACTAGCGTCGGATATTCCCTCGTCAAGAAAAAGATGCGTGTCAGGGTGATGATGCACAGTTTCTTTGAGGATGGTGGGTCCGGCTTATTGAGGAATCCCAAGAGACCGCGAACCCAGGGCAGACTCTTTTGCAAAGTTTCCCAACCTCCAACTTCGATGGTCGCTTTGATCAAGACAATGGCGCACCATCTTCCGTGAGGAGTGCGATCTTGAAGAAGAGTAGACAGGAGAGTGCGGTACTTGTGGACGGCGACAGAATATTCGGAGGACGTGGCTTTTGTGCCTGAAGCCTGGGGCGACGAAAGAATAGTCCTACACGAGGCCAAGGATGCAGCTATTGCAGGCACGTGCTGGGGAAGTTGGGAAGTTGGTGTAGATGAGATGCGGAAGCTGAGCGCTCGCAGCGTTGCGAGTTCTGCAGCAAGGGGCGCCATGACGAGCTATGTCTGCCGTGTCCGGAATAGATAATCCAGCTCTTCTCTTTTGAGCTGGATTGTTGGAATAGTATCAAGTCAATTCAATGGCAACAAAAAAGTTTGGACCTCGGCGGTCGCGTCGGCCCGTGAAGCGCTAAGGCGACAGGGATGGGGGGCTAATCCGGCTGGGTGGGACCAGAGCTGCAGTCGGTCTGTGACATGTGGATGGCCATGGCCGCCGCGGTCGCAAGGAATATTGCTACTCGAACATGACTGTGCATGTATCGCGACCTTGCGTAGTGCCAAAGGCATATATTTAAAACCATGGTGGTATGTTGCCCGCCATATTGCTTTGTGTGCCCAGGGAGCAGCCACTTCCAGCGCAACGTCATTTCTCTGCGCCCATAGCTTACAGTAGCACAGAACGCCCCTGAGAACGAGAAAGCGAAGCGCTACATCCAGCAATTGGACGAGGCCAGATGTGCTGGACGATGGGCCGATGTGCCTGAGCTGTGCAGGAAGGTAGAGAAACACGCACCGCACCGGAAGTGTCAGCAAAACCTGTTCCCTTTACATGCTGTGATTGAGGGTTAACGTCGGATCAAGGCCTCACCGTTACAGCCCGCTCCGAAACACAGATAGCTGCCTATAGTACCCAGCGCCCCTCGACTGCCTCCTCGACCTCCTCTGCTGGGCTGTCGCAGATTGTCCCCTCGCTGCTTGCCGCCATCGACGAGGACAGCAGCCACGACCAAGATGTCTTCCAGGCCACCGTGTGTATTGCATGGACACACTACGTACTTGATGAGCTTGCTCAGGCCGTATCACGACTTCCAAAGGACTTTGGAGTCGTTGCAACAGAGCTGTCGAGCGAGGCAGGAGGCTCGCTACATGGATGGTCCCGGGTCTGCTTGGTAAAGGGCTCATACATTAGAGGTACATGCAACGCCTTTCCTTCCCAGAAACAAACCCCGGGTCTGACGTGGTACAGGTTCCGCTCTCGAAAAGACAGGCGCAGTCGGCGAGGCACTCACGGCCTACTCATCCATAATGCCATGGCTGTCCAGCGCCATCACACCCAGCACCGAATCCGCCCAATTCCACATGTGGGGTGAACATTCCATAGTCCGTCTCTGCCAGTTGTCCGACCAGTCTACGAGCACTGGCGAAAACGTCACCGCCTTCGATGCCCTCCGAACGTACCGGTACTGGGCCAAGTTCTGGGATGCCTCGTCCAAAAACAATACAACCGACATAGCCGATTCGGCACAGCACCGACGACTGGCATGGAAAGCATATTACGACTCGCTCTCCATCATTCTGCATCGAAACCTTCCGTACGAGCCTGATTCTACGCCCGTCATTGCAGAGAAGCCTTCTTCAAACCCTCGCTCCGACATACGATTGCGGCAGCGAGCAGAACTCAAGCGAGTGGAAACCATCTATGAAAATCTTTTGATCAAGGAGACAAATTTTCCCAAGGCCAGCGAAACCAATCACGAAGTTGAATCATGGGTGGACTCTGTCATGGACAACTGGCGCCTGCTCTGTGGCCCAACATGGTCCGACGAGGATCTTGGTGAAGGAGGCAAGGAGGGCGTTGCTCGAGGTGTACTTGATGTGAGTGTCCAACGAACAATTTTGCTCAACGGTACTAACACTATTTAGATTCTCTATCGAGCAGCCACCAAGACATATCACTCTACCCAAATACTGCGCAACATGTTTGTCGTCCACGCATCGCTCGCCGAGCCTGAGTTGGCCTACAAAGCCTACGATGCTTACGTGGAGATCATCCAGCGGAACAAGGACCGAGCGGAAAAGAGCGGGGAACCCGAAGCAGGTATAGACGATGACGGCACCGTCTTGCGAACGTCAGCAGAAGCCATTAGGATGCTTTGCCGATGGGGATCTAAGAAGGAGGCCGAAAAGGCGCTCGAGATTGGCCACAGTATCGAGCACTGGTTGGAACAGGCAGAACATCGTCGTGCGGCAAAGGGTGACGCCTCTGTTGCCTCGGCAGAACCAGTGGTTGAGCCCATGGCTCTGGCAGCAGCATACTGCGCCATCGGCGTGAGCCAGGCTCATTGGGCGCGGCTTACTTACGATGTTGAAACACGTTCAAGCATCCAAACCAAAGCTGTACAGTACCTTCGCAAGGCGCTCTCACCACAGCTTGGCGACGAGAACAACGTGGAGGCTCTTTACGCGCTAGCCTTGGTGCTAGCAGAAGTGCGAGACATTCCAGGCGCAATCAAGATTGCCAAACGTGCCTTGTCCTCAGTCGCTAAAGGTACCGCGATCAGTACTGATGGAGTGCTTTCCGATGGTATCACCAGCGAGTTTGGCCGAGAGCGCAAGCTGATGCCAGTATGGCACCTTCTTGCTTTATTGCTGACATCGCGATCTGATTTTGCTGCGGCCGAGCGAGCTTGCGAAGCGGCTTTCGAGCAATTTGGTGATCCTACCGTTATGTTCGGCCGTGGCGACTCGGGCGCCTACCGTAGTGAGCATCTGAATGATGCCGTCGGCCAAGATAGCCCCGACTCGGGCGTCGTGGATCGCATGGAGCGATTTGAGAAGAGCAATATTTTGCAGATTAAGATGACGCAGTTGGCGCTTCTCGAAATCACAGATGGTGCCACTGCAGCGGTAGATGGGTGCGATGAATTGCTGGCGTTATATGGTCGGCTTTTCGGCAACCCCACGGTAGATGTGATCAAGCCGCCAACTCCTCCTGCAGCTTTGGCGCCACCCAAAACTGCAATTGGTACCGGGCGAGGGAGCATCTTTCGGGGGAGAGGCTCGGTCAGGGCACAGCAAGACAATGCCGCTCGCAACGCATCCGCTGTCAGCTCTAAAACAGCCACCACACAGCCAGATCAGGCTCCAGCTATCCAAGTGACCAACAATGAATCTGCGGCAGATCCCAATTCCCACCATCGACATCATCTCTTTCATCACAAACATGAGGATGGACAGGTTGGCGTTACGCGAACTGCGAGCAAATTGCAGAAACGGCGTTCACGTTCAGCTAGTCTTGGCAAAGCCTCTATCCCAGAGACCGATCTAGCCCAAGGAGTTCCACCGCTTCCAGAAACTGTGGTTGATGGCTCTGCTCTACCTAATGTCTCCAGAAAATCCAATGAGAACGGAGAGAGACCGCTACGATCTATCCCTCATAATCTCGACCATTCCGCTCCACCGCTAGCGCACGACCACCCACCTAGGCAAGATATGCGCTTGCCTTCTGCACTGCCACGTGCAGACTATGTGCCTTCTGATCCTTACTTTTCGAAGATCCAAGAGCGTCGACAAAAAGTCTCATTACTGGTCAGTATATGGATCTTCATTTCACGGCTATATGCAAGGGCACATATGTTCCAAGACGCAAGAGAAGCTGTCACAGAGGCATTGAAGTTGGTGGAAACATTTGAGGCAGAGGTATCTGTGGAGTCAGCCACAGCAAAAGCGCTTGCAGACAAGGGGTGGGGCGGTGGAAAAAGTGTGGAAGAGCTATGGGCCGACGTATTTGCTACGGTAAGTGATGAACCCCGTTATCCTAGAATATTCGCTAATTCCGATCAGCGAGGAGAGCTACTCGTTGCTCAATCGATGCCCCATGAGGCTCGCGCAGACTTTGAACGAGCTCTACAGCATTTTCCCGATCATCCTGAAGGCATCGTGGGTTTATCAAACATACTTTTGGATATCTACAATGAGAGTATACCTCTGGAGCCGGTCGATGCTGCAGTCGCACTGTCTCCGTCTCGGCCAACCACGGCCGCTTCCATTCAAACTAGTCAGTCCATGACAAAGTCGCAATATCTTACCTCCCATACCCCTTCGGCTGAAAATCAGCTCTCTCCGCCCGCTTTGACTCGTCTTGCAGCGCGTGATCGTGCTTTTGGGCTGCTCTCAACCCTCACGAAACTTGGCGCTGGCTGGGACTACTCGGAGGCATGGTACGCGTTGGCCAGAGCTTACGAGGAGAGCGGACAGATCGAAAAGACAAAGGAAGTTCTCTGGTGGTGTGTGGAACTCGAAGATACGCATCCTATGCGAAGTTGGAAAAGTGTAAATACTGGCGGCTTTGTGCTGTAGCTTATTTTAATACATATGCCTGATAGGCTTGATAACTCATCGCTACTATCGATTGCGACCGTACCAGGTAGTAGTGCCTGTAGACCCAATATCAAACGAAGTGTGACCGAAAGACAAATTCTTCTTCGTGAACCAGCATCTGCAGTGTCCAAAGTCGTGGGAAGGCAAAAGGGCACCCAACTAATCTCAACCCCTGATATACCTCGCCTTGACAATAAGCGGGGGCTTATCCCACAGGAGATAGACCTTTTGGTTGATCCAGCTCCGACTCTCCTCGCACAATTCGAAATCAAAATTCCATAAGAGTTTCGCAAGAATGATGCGCATCTCGTGATTCGCAAGACTGTAATGAATCGGCGTTAGCGAAAAAAAACCCCCCCTCATTCTCGTCTTTACTGATTTTCTCGAAAACTTACTTTTGCCCGATACAGTTGCGCGGTCCAAGCGAGAAGGGTTGGAAAGCGTCTTTGTGGTCGCTATCGTAGCCAGTGCCAGGGAGCCAGCGCTCAGGAATGAAGGAATCTGCGTCTTTGAAGTTGGTGCTGTGGTGGTAGGCTGCGAATTGAGAGACTGCGACGCGAGTCTGATTTTTGTAGTTACATAGGTTAGAACAGAAGCAAAAAGTCCAGTTTCGGATTTTCCACAAATTTTGCTTACATTTTCTGGGATCCATTGTCCGTCGATGGCGTTGCCGCCCTGTGGAGTCTTGCGGAATATAGGAATGGGAACGACGGGGTGGACCCGTAGACTCTCCTTGAGACATGCGGTCATGAAAGGTAGGTGGTGCAATGTATCAAGAGTCAATTCGTCCTCGCGCAGAGCACGTACTTCTGCTTGGAGCCTTTGCATCTGCTCTGGATGCGTTAGGCAGAGGTAGAAGAGGACGCTGAGTGTCGAAGCCGTCGTCTCTGTTCCCGCGATCATGAATGTCATAGCGTCTGCCATCATGATCTCTTTTGGTATCTCGTTCTGCTCATTCTTGGTCATGACCAGCGACCAGATATCCGGTTTGCCAATGTCGACTCCCTTTGCGAGTCGCTTCTCGACGCGCAGGGCAGAGTAGTCGTAGTGTGTCATTGCTGCGGCTTTGAGAGACTTGGGTGTAATGGCTTTGATTAAATGCTCCATGATTGGGTACTCAAGGGAGACGCGTTTAATCGAACCAATTCTTATGTTGCCAAAGATCTGTGCGACCCATGGACTCAACTCGGATTGCTCGAGTAGACCGAGAGGCTCCCCGAATGTCAAGTCTGCCATCACGTCAAACGTACAGCAGTTGAGCAGCTTCTGGATGTCCACTTTGCTGATTGAGTCGTTTGTGCCAGCTTCCTTGATAACCTTGACGAGCAAGTTGACATAGCCGAGAATCAAGGGCTCTTGTTTCTTCAAGGCTTTATCGCTAAACGCGTTCTGATAAATTCTTCGTCGCGGCCTGTGGACTTCTGACCTATGTTCCGAGGCCAAAGATCGTATGCCTTTGATGTTTGATGGAATCGCTGACAGGTCCTTCCGATTCTCAAGGCGTTTCCCAACTGAGGTGCCAGCAATGTCTCTCCAGGCTCCGGCTGTCACGAAAGACAATCGATCAGGTGCAAGGCGGACAACTTCTCCGTACTTTTTGTGCATTTCCGTCTCCCATGCAACTTCCTCGCCCTTTAGACATTTGTAATGGTAAAAAAATCCAGTAGCTGCAGCGATCTTTGGGCCGGGGACTTTGATTGTAAGTTAGCAAAAGCACTGTATGGGAAGTAGAAATGATCTCTTACATTTACGGCAAGGATGAAAGAAGACATTGTAGATTGCAAGAAGCAAGAATTGAAGGATGACCTGGGCATCTACTTAGCAAGTCCGAAAGGCAAAGTGCAGAAGGGTTGTACTGACGCCTCCAATAATCGAGCCCACAAGGAGCAGTATGTTCCCCATCTGGGATGTCAAAGGGTGTGCAGTAACCCTGGAATAATTTTATAGTAGAGTTGAAAAAAAACTACAGACTCAACGTAGCAAGAGTGAGGGCTGGTAGTTATGTAGATTCTGCCAAATGCCCTTGAGGTCTTTGAAGAAGGACGATAGCTGTAATAGAGGGGGCCATCTGGCAATGTTATATGTACTCGCTTAGAATTACCATGGGTGCTTTGACATCGTTAAGGGTCGCCGATTGTTGGCCATGCGTTGTTTGTTGAAAACGCGGAGCATCGGGGGGTCGCGGATGTAGATCTACCCCTTGCGCACTTGCTCAAATTATTACGCACACTAGGTATACCAGGGCTCCACAGTTGCAAGTTAAGAACCTACTTAGGTTAGTTCTGAGGCTGTGTTTCTTTTTCAAAAAGTGGCATCTTTTGTCGGTAGTGCACATACGTACGACTTGTCACATGATGACGTAAGTAGTGACTGAAGCAGTCAGGAGAGGCAAGTTTCCCAGTGGGTTGGATGTTGAGCAATGTGTTTCAGGGATTATACCTGATTCTCTCAGAGAAAGAAAAAAGAGTGATCTGCTCATTTCAAATGAGGAAAAGAGGATACTCATAGTTGGTAATCACGCTCGTAGTCTTGATCATTTGTGGTCTCAAGTTAGCTTCAGCAGAACTTATTTTGACCAATATTTGTAATATGCAGCAACAAATTGTAGACAAAGGAACAAGTGCGGGAAATCAGCAGGTCCATTTTTAGTATTCCATAGCATAGTCGCTTACCAACAACACCCCCAGGCTAGTGTGATGTTCCAAGGCCGTCCTTTAATTCGTCCGGAAGGATCTGCGTGACAGACAAGATACAGATGCACCAAACCAAAAAGGAAGGGAGATTATGTATAGCATGATCTACGGCTTGGCAAGAGCCAGTCCCCCCCCAAAGCTACATACACGACAAACGTCCGGTTGAACCAAAAGTTTGGTCATTAAGAATAATCGTATTTTCGATCTTTCAGTTATTGAACTTCATGTATGCAGGCACTACGTAACGGGGGGTATGCCAAGACGCCAGAGGAACCCGACTGCTATGTAGATCACACGACAAGTCCACCCGCCTAATTCGCAGGTTTTACGAAAAGTGATCTACAAGAAAGTCGCGGGTCCAGATTTTTCCTTGATCCGACTGCGACCCTACTCTAATGTGGGAAAATTCCCTCTAGTCGGTCGGAGGAACGGACGGTGGGATTCCTTGGATATAGTGGAGCACCAATATTTCAAGTTGGACGTCCCCCTATCAATGCGCTCAATAGTCCAACTGTGTAACACGCGATCAAACACTATGTAAGTTGAGCATGCAAGACATTGCATAAAGGAAGGTGTTCCGGTAATGGAGTGCGGATGGTATTCCCTGAGGTGATGGTTGCACTCAAGGTGTGGCTGAGTGAGTCTACGTGGATATACGTTAGTGGAGGCCAATCGGTTATAGTGTGCCGGTGTACAGGGCTACAAGCAATCCTGAGCAAAACTATTGTCACCCAAACCCTGATATAAGAGCAAGGCTTCCTGTACAGTAGAAGGGACATCCAATTCAATAGGTTTTCAATCATTCTAGTACACCTCTCAAGCCCTAGATATTCTACCACTCCTATACTATCGACATCGCGAAGGTGAAGGCAAAGGTAGTCCGCCTCCCCCATAGTAAGACTCGTGGCTCGACACTATCTACACCCGTTCAATAGCATCTCGTATAGGTGTATAGAGCAATAGAGCGCTTTGGTACCTACAATCTCGCTTTTCCCACGCCCTCTTCCAACATCCCTTCTATCGCAATCTCACTCGTCATCAAAATACATGTATCTTTCAGACTAGGTACACGATGTCTCTTGTTGACCACTTGATACTCCTCACTAACCAGCATGTCCCTGAAATGCAGTATACTGGGATAATGCGCTAGCGCAATCTCATCCCAGTCATCGTTGCCGATGGAATTTGCGGATGTCCTATCGACAGGTGCGCCCTTGACGTGCGTGACATTCCCGACAATCTTTGCGTTACCGCCGTGCCTAGAGCCAATAGAACGTGCAAACGCAGTGCCGTATTTGAGATACTCTTCCTTCATACCAGGGTTGAAAGCAAGCAGATTGAACATTGAGACCGCGCCTTTTGCTTCTTTGGAACCGCTGTTGACAAAGGATTGAATCCACATGTCCAGCTCCTCGCTCAATTCCAAACTTTGACTCGATTGTGTCGTTTTCTCTTTGACATTTTGTTGAAGCGCAGGTACCGTTTGGGGATCTGGATGTAGAAGTTTGTTGTTCTTTGAGCCAAAATCGTTGATTAAGCGTGACGGTACACCGGCTGCCACGCTCCAGTGATGCTCGATGAGGTTGGTGAGATTTGACGGCAGAACGTCTGTGGAAGGCAAGATGAGGAGGAGGTCCCAGTGGATGTTTCGAGCGAGGAGGTGTTCGGTTGAGAGCTTAGACGGGAGAATGATCCAGCGGACGACATGGGATACGACTAGAGGCGAGACGTCGGTTGCTTTGAGCGTGGAAAGAAATGTCAAGACATAGTTTGGCGTTGTGGCGTGGAGCGCCAGTAAGTGCAGCGTGCAGAGAGGCATTTTGATTTATATGTTGGGATCGGCTTCGAATATTACATGCGCAGAGATGAAGTTCCGGTGATCCAGATTCAAGAGGTTAGAGAAGACAAAGCATTTGGAGGTTGAAATGCATGACGTAAGTTCGAGCAGTTTTGCCGAGGCTCATGTCATGGTGAACTTGAACAATTTCGACTATTCTGCACCAGCTACATCTACTTTAGAATACGCCCTTCAGCCGCCTCCTCAGCGTGCTGCCGAATACGACCCAGCAGCTTGGCTTCATCATCGACAATCTCTGGCAAGAGGTCAGAGAGACTCTTTTGTTTAGGCGTCCACCCAAACAGCTTCCTAGCTCTGATAGCCTTGCAAAGGGAGTTGGTGCCCCAGAGGTAACTACCGGCTGGTCTCATTTGATCCGCTTCATCTTTGCTCACATTATCAATTCCCTCGTGGTTGATGAGTTTGTTCTTGAAGGCAATGTCGGCAATCTTGCGTCCAATGTCACCCCAGTAGAATTCACCGTTCTCTGCAAAATAGTATCCTTCTTGATTCCAGGTAGCCTTGCCGCCATCAGGCGACAGAGCCGCTGTTACAAGGGCGAGAAACACTTCGCTGAGATCTTGGACGTGCACCTCGGTCCATCGATTCTTTCCCTCCCCTACGACGAAACCTTTCATTCGCTTCAATACGGCCTCAGTCATGTCGTACGCTTGCACGCTGCGCTTGTTATCAGGTCCGCGTCCAGGACCATAGATGCAGGGAGGGCAAACGATGGCCGACTGGATGTTGCCCGACGATGCCTCGTGGGAGCCCAGGATAACTTTGTCAACATTGCGATGGATAGCGGTATCCGGGAGAGAGGTGACTTCAGTGATGTTGTCCCAATCATCATAGACCTTTTCTCTGGCAATGCCGTAGGTATTTTCGTCAAAATCGGCAAATGCAAGTATGCCGGTGCCAGAGGTGTGGATGAGATAAGATTTTCGCCCATTGCGAGCAAGGCCAGCAACCAGTGCCTGGGCAGAAGCCAGGTGGTCGCAATCAGCACAATGAAGAACAATGTCTGCATTTGAAGCTTCCTCGGAAAGGAGGTCAGTACTGTCGAGCGTGCCATAAACGAGGCGAGTCTTGGGGTATTGTGCTGCGACCTTGGCGCCTTTATCGCTATTGCGGACCAGGGCGGCAATTTCGAGATCGGGGTAGGTATTTGCAATGGCATAGAGGGCGTCGCCTCCAATGTAGCCAGTTGCGCCGGTGCTTGAGGTTTGTCAGCAAACATCCCATGTCAGGCTCATAGGTATGGTAAATACATGAAGAGTTTTGGCATGTTGAATAGCTCTGTAGTGCTTGTGTCGTGTAAGGTAAGTATTGGAGGAGGAGGATAAATGTAGGTATTTGATGTATGCTGATGAATTCATGTCACAGTCAGGTTTATATAGCTTTCCTGAACGACGTCACCGATTCGTGGATTTGCAACATGAGCTCCTGATTGATTATCAAGCAGAGAGGAGATTGTCGACTACGAGCAATTTGCTTACCTACAGCTGAGATAGTTAATGCCCTCAGTGTCTTTGTAAGATCTTGGCCTGTATGCATATAAAATCCCCCGTGCGGGGTGATGTGGACACGGGAAGGAGATGGTATGGTACTGTCACATGATCGCAGTGAAGTGCCCAATGGTGGTGGGGTTCACCTTGGACAATGTGCATATTATCCCAAGAAAAGATCACGCAATCCATGATATGATGCAAAAATACAGATTCTGTTTCTAGGAATTTCCATGTACCTGTTCCGCGGTCCGAGAGAATACCGAAGAGGATGTTGGTGGGGGTCGTTGGCTGCAGTGTCCATGGATAGTGTACTGTATGTAGTACTGTACTGTATTGTACGTACGTACCTGGGGTTGCGCTCAAGCCACGTCCTAGCTTGAGCCACAACCGCGTCACCATGGAAGAGCGCGCAACACCACGACTTTGCTGAACAGCAACGTGAAGATTAATCAGAGCCCCTTTGAACCGCGAAGAGCAAGCACTCGCCCTCATGGACGTCATTCAAGCCGTCTCCGGCTATATCACCAAAATGGTGTCAGCCGGAGACAGTGCGGCAACTGGCACCTCCGCGGCCAAGATGAAGATCCTCCTGCTCGACAACGAGACTGTGGGTTTGTCTCCTCTGCCGGGTAGCTACGTGGTAGAAGCTTACATGGTATAGGTCTCGATTCTGTCGACAGCGACGACGCAGTCCGCTCTCCTCAATCATGAGGTTTACCTTACCGAGTACCGCTCCCCGCGACCCATGACGCGATACATGGCTAATGCTGCGGTAGCCGTCTGGACAACCAGAAGCGCGAGAAGATGCGACATCTTCGCTGTTTGTGCTTCGTACGTCCCTCGCCCGAGTCCATCCAGAGCCTGATTGAAGAGCTGCGGGAGCCCAAGTATGGCGAATACAACATATGTGCGTTTCCTACGCGGGGCTCAGACCTAGGGGCAGTTGCTGACACCAACAGACTTTAGCAACATTATCAAGAAATCCTCCCTCGAGCGCCTTGCTGAAGCAGACGACCATGAGGTTGTTCGTGCTGTCCAGGAATATTTTGCAGACTTCCTTGTAATCAACCCCGACCTCATGTCCCTTGGCCTCGGCTTTCCCGACCATCGCATATGGAGCACCAGCCCAGACGCCTGGAACCAGAACTCATTGCAGCGATCGACTGAGGCTGTCATGGCGCTTCTATTGGCGCTCAAAAAGAAGCCCTTGATCAGGTATCAAAAGAACAGTCTGCTTGTGAAGAAGCTAGCGACCGAGGTCCGATACCACATGACCCAAGAGGATCAGTTGTTCGATTTCCGCAAGACAGACACACCGCCCATTCTCCTAATAGTCGACCGGAGGGACGATCCCGTCACACCACTGCTAACGCAATGGACGTACCAGGCAATGGTGCACGAACTGCTCGGCATACACAACGGAAGGGTTGACCTGCGCGACGTGCCTGACATACGGCCCGAGCTCAAGGAAATTGTGTTATCGCAAGAACAAGACCCTTTTTTCAAAAAGAACATGTACCTCAATTTTGGCGATTTGGGTCAGAATGCCAAGGAGTATGTCGAGCAGTTTGCGTCCAAGCAGCAAGGGTCTCAGAAGCTCGACTCAATAGCAGATATGAAGCGCTTCATTGAAGACTTTCCAGAGTTCCGAAAGCTCTCAAGTAATGTTACAAAACACGTCACACTGGTTGGAGAGCTGAGTAGGCGGGTTGGAGAGGAGAGCCTGCTGGACATTAGTGAGCTCGAGCAAAGTCTGGCATGCACAGACAACCACTCCAACGACGTCAAGTCACTACAGAAGATAATACAGGATCCGAACGTGCCGGCCAACAACAAGCTGCGGCTTGTTGCCATTTATGCGTTACGGTATTCCAAGACGTCGTCCAACTCGACAGCTATGCTGCTTGATCTGCTTGCTGTCGCGGGAGGACTGTCACGGCAGCGCATCAACCTGATCACAAAGCTCATGGCCTATCACGACTCGCTGCAAGTGACGACTGGGGCAGGGGGTGTCCCTGATTTGTTCCAGGCCGGCTCCTTCTTTGGCGGTGCACGAGACCGACTAAAAGGCTTAAAGGGCGTGGAGAATGTCTACACGCAGCACTCGCCCCGCTTGGAAGCGACGCTGCAGGACCTGATCAAAGGCCGCTTGAGCCAGCAAGTGTACCCATTCGTAGAGGGTGGGGGATCGACCAAGGACAAGCCGCAGGATATCATCATCTTCATGGTAGGGGGAACGACATACGAAGAGGCCAAGATGGTGGCGCAGGTCAATGCTAGTTCGCCAGGCGTCCGCGTTGTACTTGGGGGCACCACGGTACACAACAGCACGTCGTTCTTGGAGGAAGTTGAGGATGCTGTCGACTCGTGGCCTGAGCCGGCTCCGACATCAGCGGCGGCGCGGATCAAGCGTGAGCTGGGAAGATGATGGATGGCACGCCGCCGTTGGCTGCAAGGACAGCGTTGGGCCAGGTTTGCGCGATAAAAGCAGAATGTACTATTGGGCTGGGCCGGCAAGGATCATGGCGTCTGACGTTGAGGCGAGCGGTAGGAGGAGCAGACTTATGTATGTATGTACCTATGTATGTATGCTGCATGCATGTCTAGGCCGATAGCGATGCCCAACATATGCAATCAAGCCGTTGGTCGTCCTTGTGGGTACGTCTGATGATGTCTGCCCCGCAGTGAAGCACGCACGAGTCTCTTTGATTGCATAGATAGTCGGCCGGCCGCGCCATGCAGACGATCGAATGTAGACTACGCTGTCCATGGGTGCAACATTCGCTTGGCTGGGTACCTGCATGGGCGCAGAAGGCGGCGAAAAGTCTGCTCTTGGTCTGTCGCAGCCGAGCAGGTCAGTCGTCCGACAAGGCTGAACACGTGCAGGCCCGCCCAGCACCGCCCAGCGCCCGCAGCCAGTGTTGAACAGAAGACGGCCGGGGTCGACGGCGGGCCGACTTCCGAGTCCTCTCCTCTCCATCACCTCAGCCACCCTCCCACCTCCGATCCCATGGCGCAAACATGACGATCGTGAGACATGCCAGAACAAGGACAGGTCTTGCAGTCTCGTGTGGTCCGCCGGAGAAATCCACGCCCCATCAACTCGTGCGTCGAGTGCCGCACACGTAAGTCGCGATGCTCAAAGACGCATCCCTGCCAAAACTGCACTGCCTTCGGCCGCGAATGCGTCTTCATCACCGTCCCTGAGAGCGCGGCGCGCAAGAAAGAGAGGGAGCAACGCGAGCGCGCCCAGAGCAAGAGTGGTTCTGCCGTCACCGTTCCAGACTGGACAAAGAACCTCCCCGTGCGCACCCAAAGTAGTGCAAGCGTGCCCGATGGCTATGACAACGCAAATTCCGTCGACACCACCACTCCCGGCACTCCGCCTCGCGACTACGAGTGGGAGGCCTACCAGCAGGATGTCGAGCCCGAGACAGACGCCTGGGAGCGCCTGCCTGCAGAGCCCGAGGAGACGCAGGACGACGTCTACGAGGATGAAAACGACGACGAGGACCAGATTGCCACCGATCTCACCATTCGCATCGGGAGGATGATCATCTGCGAAAATGTCACTGGCTTCTTTCGTCCCCAGTATGCCGAAGAGGTATTGTCTGCCTCTTTCTGTTTTTGCTCCTTTTTCTACTTCCTGAACATAAACTGAAATGCCGTGCAGCTTGGCAAGCTTTTGTCAGAGGGCTTCACCCTGTCTTCATCAGTCGCAGGCCAGAGAGCAACACAGTCATCGGCCCTCTTGTCAGCAGAGCAAATGCCTTCGCTTGCGCCCTCCTTGAACTTGCTACTAGGTGGCTCATTGTCTCTTCGTCAGCACGACGACGTGGATCCTCCACAGCTACCAACCAAGATGGAGGCAGACGCCCTGGTCCAGCGATATGCCCAGGCAGTCAGCCCACTTGCCCATGTTCTGCATCTACCATCCTTCAAGCGCCTGTTTGAACGCTTCTGGATGAACCTTGAGATTGGCAACCCGAATCAGAACTCATGTACAGCTTTGATTCTGGCAGTATGCATGGCTGCAGCCGCATCTGTTTCGCCTTTACAGGCAAAGTCGCAGTTTGGCATTACAAAAGAAGATTTGTTCTTGAGGTTGCAAAAGGCCACGGAACGAGCGCTGCTACGCGCCAATTGGGCTAAGACATCCAACATTCGCACTTTGCAAGCTTTGACTATTTACTTAGTATGTTGTTGATCTGTGACTACAGCGCGGCACGTTTGTTGACAATGATAGATACCACTCTGTCGAGCCCAGATATCCCGGGCGACGTCTGTTGTAGTGGGCGCACTTGTTCGCTTAGCACAGTGCATAGGCATCCATCGCATGAGCCATAGTTCAGCCAACAGCCTAACTCCTCTTCAACGGCACGTTCGATCCTTACTATGGTACCAGATATGTTTCCTAGATTTCAAGACAGCAGAGGCCCAAGGCCCCCATCCATCTATCCGATCAGACGATTTTGACATTGCCTTACCGCTGAACGTCGATGATGACGTCTTTGAGTTTGGCAGCTCGAGCTGGCAGCAGAATCCTACTTCGAGAAACGGCTGGACAGACGTTACGTTATCGCTCATCAGGTATGAGTGCAATGAGATCCACCGTCTCATCTTCCGCGGTAGAATCGAAATGGATCGCAAGCATATTACGCTCCACGATCTACGTGCCCGGGTAGAAGCCAAGAAACGCCAGATCCAGTCCAAGTACCTGCAATATCTCGATGCAAATGTTCCGATACAGCGTTACGCGGGCCTTGTTGCCACACTACTCATGTCTCGCTGCGACTCGATGCTTCTTTACCGCCATTTGCCTCAAACCTCGCTGCAGCCGCGATCCGAGTCTGAAAATCGCCTACGCGACGTACTCCTCACAGCTGCTCTGACGACACTAGAGATTGGCGCAACACTCGACACATTGCCATCACTTGCTCCATGGGCGTGGTATTCCACAACCTACCAGCAATACCACGCAGTGTTACTCCTCCTGACGGAGCTCTACCGCACGCCCGATCTCCCCCGCAAAGAGCGCATGGCCACGATTATCGATCACATTTTTGGCCACTGCTATGGCGTCGGAGTGCGAGAGCGCTGCTCGGATCTTTTGTTCACAGTCAAGGAGAATCTAGAAGCGTTTTACGTGATGAAGGGGTTCGACAAGAAACGCCAACAAATTGCGCCCCAGCAACATCCTACACTGCAGCCTCTAACGTCGTTTGGAGGCTCTGTCACAAGTCCCAGTTTTGGTGGTGGGGCCCACCATCACACGCAGTCTACGTCCTCTTCACATATCCATGGACAGCTGCAGCGGACACCTACGACCGGGACGCTAGACGGGTTGAATGTGGATTTTGATAGTATATTAGGGAGTTTGAATGGCGGTGGCAGCAATGGCGGTGGTAGCGGTGGTGTAAATGGCAGTGTACAAGACGAGTTTGACGTGTGGGCTGGAATGGGAGCTGCAGGAGCACAAGATACAGGCGGTGCCATTTTTGTACCTGTTGATCCAGGCACTCATCACAATGAGTTTGGAACTGCGAGTCCGAACGGAGGGTTGCAGCAATGGGTAAGTTCGTTGTCACTATTTTTTTGTCTACCATTTACTAATATACCGCCTAGGAAAACTGGAATTTTCCAACGCAGCAACAATAATGATGACTATGTCAACGGCGAAGATGTTACTGAATTGATGTTGATGCCCATGTACCTGTTGAAAGACTTAGACGACCAACCAACATGGGAAAAAAAAGAAAGGAAGAGACACGTCATTATCCCACCATATTCAGCATACACACATAAAAGATACACACTTGAATCCCCCCCCCCCCAAAAAAAATAGACCATGTATACATACTTGTTCTTTCGTAATGCATCGTGTTTGTGTAAATTCCGCACGTTACACAAGTATTTTCCCTTTGCCTCCGAGCGAGGGAGAAGGGGGTCCTTCAACCAACCCCTGCAAACAGCAACGAACCTTTTCGTATCCGGATAATAATTAGTAGCGGAAAATCTATGAATAGCCCCCCCCCCGGTCGGTCGCTCGGTCGGTCGCTTGGTCGCTCCACACCCACACGATGACGACGATGGTCCAACGGATCCGAGTTATTGATTCTCGAAATCCAACTCCACCCACCTTTCTATTCCTAGAAATACGTTTGGATGGAGGAGAAAGGGGAGAGAGGGGGGGGGGGGAATACGTTTTTTTCCAAAATAAAAATAAAAATGACAACAATCAATAGTTACGTACATCATCCATGTAAACTATGTCGGAGAAAGGAAAAAAAAGGGGAAGGGGGGTAAGGTGAGCATGATGGGAAAGAAGAAACTATGCACGTCATCTCAGAACTCTATATTTTTGTGTCATATTGATCGAAAACCCCTCCAACCATCCGTCGCGTGATCTTGGCCTCACCGCTCCCGTTTATCAAGTTTGTTTTTTTGTACTAACGACTGACGAAAGCAGAGACTGTAGTAAAAAGAAAAGGACAGGTTTACCAAAACACATGTACACAAGCAGAGACCAGAGAGAAAAAAAGTCAAGTATTAAATACGCCGTAGTGCACCGGGGACTGCCCTGCAGTCTCCCATGACAATAAAAAAGATGATGCCAACCCCCCCCAATCATCATTTTTTCTTCAATTCATTTGCTCTATCCCCGGCCAAACGCAGTAAAGACATGTCTAGTGTAGCGTTGAATCACGAGATACCAACTCCGTGAAATTCACATGCTGCGTCAGCAAGGAACACGACTGATATGCGAAACAAGATCAAACTAGGTTCATCAAGGGATACTAGTAGCGCGTCACTTGGGATTCGCTCAAGGTGCTTCTCTTCATCGGTGGAGGTGGCGGAGGCTTCTTGGATCTCGATGGAGGTGGTGGGGGAGGAGCCTTTTTGGTGGTGCCGCCCTGTTCGGCCGCCGTCCAGCTTGCAGCCCGAGACACAACGTTACCGCGTCCGCTACCTATGGACGAAGTGGTGTCGGGGCTGGGCGGTGACCTGTCACGTCTGTAACCACTTCCATTTGATGGCGCATAGTCGTCGTCATAATCGTCGGCAAAGGTGTTTTGTTGGTTGCTGCTGGTCTGGCGGACAGGACGAAGGCTACTACGGCCAGCAGATATGACGGAGGATTCAGTGGGCGCACGAGACAATTTGCGAGCCGGGGAGTCGTCGCGGTAACTATTGGAATCATCGTACGTTGAGGTGCGGCTAATGGAAGGACGCAGAGCATAGGTACTCTGGGAGGGGCTAGGGCCTGGGGAGCGACTTCGCTGTTTGGTCAGTTTGGGAATGGTCATTCGTGGCACCTCAGGTTCCGGCTCTTCCTCGACCGGGTTGAAACGTTCGGCATAACCGTGGGCGGTATTGGACCGGGAGCGCGAGGGGCGGGATGGGGTTGCTCTAAGGTCCCTGTGCATTGTGTCAGCTCTGTATTGGCCGCCCTGCTGATCAATATTTGCTTACTGGACAGGCCACTCGCGCTTGACATTGAGCAAGATCTCACGACAGCGATCGTAGTAGCTCAACTCTGCCTCGAGGAAAGCAGTGAGGTCTTGAACCATGTCAACTTCTGATTCCTTGATGTCCTGCATCCTTCGGAAGACCTCCTCGCTAGTCTCCTCGTATTTTGCCTTTTGTGAGCGGAGCTCTTCCTCCATGCGGAAGTCTTCCTTTTTGGTCTTTTGCATCTTTGCGAGTGAGGTATCATAGGCCAGGCGACGTTGCTCGAGCTTCTTGCGGGTAGCCTGGATGCGATTAGCTTATGTGAGAGCAATGATATCGCTTCGAGGTGGTGACGTACCTGGTACTCCTTCATCTGGACCAGAGAGCGGTCAAGACCCTCGAGCCATGTTGAAGTGGCGCTCTGTACATACGTCTCTTGGACTCTAGCCAGACGCTCGTTTGCTCTACCCAGAGCTGGTCGAGGTTAGCAGGAGCAAGGAAGGAGCGAGTGAGGCGAGGGCGTACATGATAGGCAGTTGCCAAATTCCGAGTCTGGCTCAAAGTCCTCACCGTGAGAGACCATGGAGGAGCCCAGATGGCCACCTGGAAGTTGCTTCTCCTTGTCGGCGCCCTCTGCGCGCCTGGAGAGCGACTTGACGTAGATGGCCATGGCAGCGTGCATCTTGTCCATTCCTAGGAAGGAGAGGTCAGCATGGCTTGGGGAGAGGGCAGCAAGCATACATACCTTCATGGCGCAGGTTCATCTCCACCTCGAGAGCCTTGAACTCGTCGGACAGGCCCGTACGGGCCTCTGCGCCCATCTTCTCGTTTGTCCATTGCTTGAGGCGGTCGAATTTCTTGTTGATGTTCATGGTTGCAGTGTAGCGAGTGTACAAGTGGCCAGAGTGGAAGGAATGAGCAGCAGAATGGCGAGGCGGGGAGGCGGTGGGTGGTGAGAGCAAGTGCTGGGCCGTGTGCAGGGGTGCGGATTGCGCGTGCACCCAAAGATAGAGCCGGGATGGGGGGTGGCGATCAGTCTGCAGCGAAACGAGGGCGAGTGGGCGAGGGAGAGAGTGTTTGGGAGGAGGGAGATGAAAGGGAGGGACAAACGGAGGACGGACAGCGGGTGGGTGCAAATTGATGGGCAAGCAACAGCAGTAGTTAGTTAGTATATGTAGGTATGAATGTATGGGCTGGGCTGGGCTGGACGGGCAGATAATAATTCCTACTACTTACTAGGACCAACCAGCCGTTCCCTTCTCCTGGGCCAGCGTGCAGTCCAGCCCTGGTCATACTGCGGGGGCGGCGGCGGCGACGGCGACGGCGACGAATGGCCCACTAACCCCCCAAATGGCTGGCTGGTTGGTTGGTTGGGGTCAGGACATCGGACGTTGGGCAGAGCGTGTGCTGCGCAACCACCTCGCCCTCTGCTACACCTGCGTTTCACTCGCCCATTCCACTCTGCCAATACCCACCCCGTCCACCCCCCGTCTCCCATCGGTAGCCGCCCACCTCGTCTTGCCGTGGATTCTCTGATTGTCTCCTCCCAAGCGCCGCCACGGCCTGTGTTGGTCCTCCTAGTGCACCGTCCAGACTCTCCACCATGCACCCATGCAGCAGCTTGTCCGCTATCGCTGTCGCCTTCCTATATCGAGCCAGCCTTCCGCTGCTGATGCCATCATCCTCGTGCTTCTATAATACGCCGTCTTGTCTGCAGCCCATCGCATTGTCCGCCTCGCTAGGCTGCGGTGCATTGTGACGTCGTTTGCCTATGACCATACGTATATACATGTATGTACAGTGCCGTATAACTATGCTTCTCACGCGTCTATGTATGTGTGTACACACATATGCACATAGATACGCTGCACTAATCTGGTCTTACAGAGCCAAGTAATTCCCACAAACCTTGCCGGTTTGCAGTGATGCAATCCCTCTCCTACATACTACGCATACGTAGCTGTCAAACCATGGCCAGTGCACGTGACTATGCAAGCGCCAAACTGACCACTTAACCTCAACCGCGCCTTGGTCTTCAACCAGTTCGACACCACACCGACACCCTTCTCGCATCACCTTCTCCCACACATGTGTGACCAAACCCTCAAAGCCGATGCGCTGCACTTGAACGCTCACCCAGACTAACCCCATATGGACCACAAACAAGCCTGCACCTACGTTTCCGTACCCGCATCACACACTAACCCCGTCCATCATCTTGTCTGGGACGCTACCCCCAGTCGCCATGGCCACTTGCATCAAAGCATGTACAAGAATGCGAAGTGAGGTTGACATCTCCAAACTTGGCAAAGAGACGGACCTGTGCATTTGAGCCTCAGATGGTATCCACCAACGTCAAAACAGTCATCGCGTAGTATGCGCATACATCGCGGGTCCTGCTTGGGCGACGCGCCTATATCTCCTGTGCAATGAACTTTTTTTCAGGTTTCTCATGGATCCATCATCGTGGCAGCGCACGGCAACGAACCACCGATCAACATCTGTCATTATCTTGCACACACTCTTAGTTCAGACGACTGGGTAGACCAGTGTCGTAGGATGCATGTTTGGGACATGCTCGAGGCAAAGGCGAGTGCTGAAGCGGTGAAGCGGTGGTGGGAGCGGGCCTTGTTGGTGCAATATGTAGAATGCCCAGATATAGTCGACAGCCGCGCTTTGACAAGAACATCATATAGGCCAATGACATGTTTGCTGTCGGAATTTTGCGTTGTAGAGACATGCGGTATGCTCGTCCCTCGTTGTTAATGACCTGTTGCATCGCAAAGAGCAGTTCTGCGTGAAATTGCCCATTGTCTTGATTAGCCCAGCGACGGAGATTTATTTTAGACGATCCTTTGTGCTAGCCGACTGGCATTACCTCATGCGTCCCTAACCTTGCTCTATTCGCAGTTCCTCTCCCGCTACCGCAGCCGCAACTACCACCACCACCAACTAACAACATCAACCACCACCACCCCCAGTAACCATGGCCGACTCGGACTCTTCCCTGTCTTCTGCGCCTCCTACCGACGATGAAATGGACGTCCAAATCACACAGGCGACGACCGCAAAGCCTGCGCCCCAGAAAAAGAGAAAGAAGAATGGGACCATCTTGACTTTCTTCAAGCATCGCTCGCCTTCCCCGCCCCCGAGGAAACGGGAACCCTCTCCACCCCATGAGCCGGTGCCAGAGGACAACCCAGACATTGCTGTACGTATTGGACGCGTCAGTCGCGTCCAGACGCGCCGTGTTGCGTCGCAATCGCGACCCATTTCTCCCTCAAGCCAAAACTAATCCCATGTGCCACAGTTCATTGTCATGTTTCGTTCGCGCTTCAACGAAGCCTTCCCCCGCGGCTCCCCCCATGTCGGCCCACAGGACATTGAATCAGGTGTTGCCGAACACACTCCATCGGCCGATGTCGAGGGTCTGCTGTGTTCTCTGCTTGGCCTTGTCCTCAATCGCAAGAAACCTGTCGAGTTAGTCCAGCCCTCTCGCCCGCTCCCAATACCCATTTCTCGGTCGCCCACTCGCTCCGCACGCAATAACATAGCACGCATACTGACGTGGTTATTCTCTGTAGAAAAGGTCACTATGGTCGGGCTCTCGAAGAAGCCATCCAAACCCAGAGGTCGCAATGGCCCACCAAGTGGACCACCAATCCCCTTAACGGTGGTCGCAGCTTCAATACCATGACATCGGAAGAGCGGGTGAGCAGTCTTGGAGTCCCTTTCGCTGTCGTATGCTGACGAGCGCCCTAGATAACCCTCCTCCACTCGCTGTGTCTATGGAGTCTTAACCAGAACGAGCAGGTCAAGAACATGATCAACACAGCCTACAAATCACGGACTACCAAAGACAGGCAAGACACAAACATCCCCTTGTCGGTGCAGGCCTGGGGCCGTGACGGCGATAAGCGGCGGTACTACCTAGTCGAGGGGCAAAACGATACCCATTTCCGTGTCTACCGCGAAACAGATCCCAAGCTAAAAAAGGTACAGTGGATCAGCGTAGCTGGTTCCATCGAACAAGTGCAGGCGCTAGCGAAGAAACTGGAAGAGGTCGACGGTCACAAAGAAGCAAAGGCACTAAGCGAGCGCATGCTCAACGCTGTCCCACGGTTTGAGGCTTCAGAAGTTGTATGTTGTACACCAACTATATACTCCACTCATACTAATTACATTCTAGAAACGAAAGCGACGCGAATACACCCGCCAGCGCAAGGACGCTTTCACGCGTCCCGAACCTGGCTTCTCTTTGTACGAAGGTCGCACTCGTGGCAAGCGCCAGCGATATACATTTGATGAAGAAGACGATTTTGACTCGGACAACCTTTCTGTGCGTAGATCCGGGCGGCAATCGGGTCGCGACACTCCTGCTGCACCCTCTGGGCCAACTGTCACTGCGAGCGGTCGCCAGGTACGGTCTCGCGCAACCGGCCTGTATGGAGAAAAGCTTCATAGCGGACAGGTTACCGATCACCCATCGCCGGCCACGGGTGACTACGTGCGATCGGACGTATCAGAGGAGCCCCAGTCAGGCCATGGTCGGGCAGCACGGGCTGCGAATAGAGGTGCAATCAACGAGCGTACATTGAACCGGACGATGAATTCAGAAGATGACGAGGATGCAACATCATGGGACGGGGGAGATGATGATGAGGAAGAACCTGATCAGATGGATCTTGACGATGATGAAGACGACGCCGGTGCTGATGACGATGAGGAAGAAGATGACGAGCCAAGCTTGATGGTCACCCTCCGTTATCGTAAGCCAGGCTCTGACACCCAAGACAACGAGACAACCATGGGCAACGGTGCAAGTCAAGATGCTGCAAAAGTTTCCAAAGCACAGCTGCCACAATCACTGCAGCAGGATACTACGCCCCGCATCGAGCCATCGGCATCGATGGTGCAACTAGAGGCACCCTCAGCAGCTAACGGTCTCTCAACACCACAACAGTCCGATACGGCGCCCGTCATCCCCAAATCACAAGAATCGTCCGTCGCCAACTCAGACGCCGCATCCAAACCAGACAGCGGCTTCTTCTCAGCGCCAACCCCGCCATACAGCGCACCCGAAGAAGCAGCAAAGCCCCAAATGTCAACAGACCAAACCTACATCAACGTCGAGGTTCCAACAACGCAATAGACGCATTTACAGTACTTTCCTCCATCGTTGTCATATCCCCCACATGATGAGACACTCCACCTTGTCACTTTTTTTGTTGCTTTTCTGCTCGGGTGGATAATTATATGCTTCTTTTGCCATGTGCAAGCAATAATGACATACCCCCTCCTCTGTTTTTTTCTATCTTCGTCCTGCAAGCAGTGTCGTTTGGGTTGGTAGTGGCTAGGTTAGAAAGTAGGGGGGATGGGCATATATACATATACATGTGCGTGTGTGTGTGTGGAGGCAAGAAGGGAAGGAAGGGAGATGAAAAGTAGAAGAGAAAGAAAAAGTAAATAATGGATACCCATGTTGCGAGTTGTGGCTTCATCCTTGTTCTGTTCTAACGCTTGTATGGTTTTGTGAGATGAGGCTTGTATCTTCTTTCCTGCATGTATAGAGAGAGAGAGTGTGTGTGAATAGGATATGTGAACGAGGTGTATTAATCAAGCATATGATACAACAAGGCAACTAAAGCCCAAAATTTGGAGTCTTTTTTCTTCCCTTTCTGCTTAGCAAGATAATATCCCCCCCCCCATCCCGCATTTGCTGCTGGATTTAAAAAAAAATCTAATCTTACATTCAAAACGTCCATCTAATCATATCATCATACAATCATCGAGGCAGAGCACCAGGCATACCTGCCGCAATCCCAGTCGTAGTCCTGCTCTGCAACTTAGGTCTCGCAGACTGGCGCCCTCGGGGCGGCTCGCCGCGCCAGCGCATGCTGTCAGCGCGGTGCTCTCTGCCATCAGCTGCAGAACTTGGGTTGCGGACACCAGCTCTAATCTCTGCTTCGCGCATCTTCTGGCCCTCTGCCTCGATGCGTTCCTCCAGCGTGACGTTTTCGGATATCGGACTGGGAATGTACGAGGTCGCAGGGGGTGCGGTCCCGTTTCCGTCCATGACGGCGATTTCATCCTCGTCGTCGCTGTCTTGGAGTGCTGTGTCGGCACCGGCTGTTGTTGCTGCCCCGCCTCTGGTGTTGTGTTTGCGGGGCCAGAGCGAGGGAAGGACGATTTGCTGGAAGCGTGGTTCTACGGCGCGCTCGTCAAACCAAGCGTGCACGCGCGACTCGATGAGCTGCGCTATCTTGGGCACGTCTTGGAGACGCGATCGGGATCCGACTAAGGAGCGCACCGAGAGGTCGAGACGGTAGTCGTCGAGGAACGTAAAGGCAAGGGTTGTGGGACGATGTGGAGGCGCGCCAGAGGAGGACGAAGGACGGCGCTGAGAGGCATTTTGGTGCGTATCTGGTTTTGGCGATGACATGGGTGCGGGGGTCGACGGAGGTGATGATGAAGGTATAAAGGACACTACCAGTGTTCCTGAGAAGCGCACGATACTAACAGCAAGGGCAACTGGCAGAACGGCAGACTTTGGTTTTGGCCAATTCAGATTCAACGTTGTCTCTATGCCAATGGTAATGACGTCGCTCAGATCCACGTCCATTCGAGCCTGAAGTCTCTCTTTTTCATTCCCCGCATTCCCCGGTCCGTACCAGAAGCCGTCATCGGCAGGCATAACTCTGCAGTTGCTGAATATGGGAAACTCATCGCCAAGCGCTATCTCAGTCACTCTGATGTCGCCAATCCAGTCGGGCTTGCTGCCGGCATTCAGTACATCTGTGAGAGACGTCAGGATCGCATCGTCCTGTCGCGCATCTGCTCTCAGTTGTGCGATAGTCTGCGCAATGAGCACATTGAACCAGTCTAGGCTCTCCGGTTGGTGTCCTTTGACGTTGTAATATGTCTTTGCAAGTATGGTTGCTATGCTCGGCCCTCCCATACTCTCCTCTCCCTTTCGTATAATACTCCGAGACGGCTTGTGTCGCAATGAAAGTGACGTTGAATTTGCCCGCGCCCGCAACTGCTTGTACGATTGCTGGTGTGCTAGTGTTCGAGCTCGTCGCAGAGAATTGAGGTGCAGTGCGCGCTCATCAGCTGAGGGAGGCTCTCCAAAAATGAAGAACTTGATGAAGCAGAAGATTAGCAACGCAATGGAAAGCTGACCAAGTAGGAAGCCCTGGGTGAAGGAGAGCCTGCGGCATGTTAGTGGGGGTTCACCCAAGTTGAGAGGTTACAGTACGATGAGGCACCGCCCTGTGTGACGGGCAGCGGCACCGGCATAGGAACTTCTTGGGCCATATTTGCGACTGTGTTCTTACTACCTGCTTAACACTTCCATGTTGTGCATGTGGGTTGTGGTTGTTTACAGAAGAATCCAAGACGCAATTGTACATCAACCAGAAGGGAAGGATGATGGCGGGCAGGGAATTGGAAGCTACTATCGATAAGCGTGACCTCCCCTTCTACCTCTGATCCACACCTCGTCTCTGCAACCCATGACTCTCCAGACACCCGACCGCCCCTCTCCATACTCTGCCCTTGCCTAGGATGCCCATTCTCTCAAAGGTCATCGCCTTTCGTACTCCCACGAACCGCGTTGCTGCCATCAAGGCGGCCAGAGTAATTCGCTCAATCAAGAGCCGATACCGAACTCAGGCCTTCCTCTTCCTGGCGTACCACTTCTTTCTCACGTCGCCTATGCACCTCGACATCTTCATCATGTTCTTCATCCTCGTGAGCAACTTCATGAACCGGCAACAGGCGTTTCCCAATCAACTGGCCATTGACGCTCTCCGCTTCCTAATAGATGAAAGGAGGTTCGTTATGCCTTAATCGCTGGATGCAGTTACACTGGAAATCATTTTGGACTGGCATATGTTGCGGGAGAGTATTCTACTCACAGCGTATCTTATGAGTCCCTCATACACCTCGGCATCTCTTTCACTTGCAGAATACGGAGATAGCGGCAGTTGCATCTCCGATTGGCCGACTAAGCTCCCCGCCTCGAAACAGCTTGGGGTCGCATCTCATTGCGGACATTCGCAATGTCCATATGGACTTCGACACGTTGAGCCAAAGCCTCTCACCAGGCGGGGCCATTCAAAACCCAACCCTCACGCTGCCTGCCACATGCGAGCCGCCATCTGAAAACAACCCTCCGAAACGGGCAGTATGGATTGTAAGACGCGCTTCTGTCTACTAGACACGCGCTGAGTAGCTAACGCCTGTTCTCAGGTCTTTGGAGCGACCGGCCACATAGGGCGATCCCTGGTTCGAGCGATTCTAGCACACGGCGATCAATGCACTGCAGTCGGATGGTCCCAAGAGAACACATGGGAGCAGATGGACAAGTGGCAGAATAAGAACTGTTTGGGTTTGCTTTGCGACGTCCGAGTGCGGGACACGGTGAATTGGGTGATCAAAAAGAGCGTCGACTATTGGGGGCGCGTGGACGTGATAGCGAACAGCACCGGCTACGGCGTCATTGCTGCTTGTGAAGATCAGGACGACTACGACCTACGTAATCAGTTCACCACCAACTTTCTCGGCACTCTACATATCATCCAGCTTTCGCTCCCCTATTTTCGCGCTCAAAATTCTGGCCGCTACCTTATATTTTCCTCTACGGCTGGGTCTCTCGGCGTGCCCGGACTTGGTCCGTATTGCGCGACAAAGTATGCTGTTGAGGGTCTCATCGAGTCCATGCTGTACGAAGTGGACATTTTCAACATCAAAGCAACCCTAGTCGAACCAGGCCATGTTCGGCTGGACGAGCCAGATGACAATGTAGTGGCCCCTAGCTATACCTCTGCTCCTGCCCACGGAGCAGGGCCTCCTAAACCGAAGCGGTACGGTCACTTTTCTGTAAAGCCAAATCCAAGCAAGCCATATTCCAATTTGACTAGTCCTGCACAACACGCGCGGCGGATGGTACAGTGGCTAAATGACCGGCAGCCGGTGAGTGCCGTGAAAAGCGCTGAACTCATGTGGCAACTGGGTCATTGTAGCTACCCTCCGCTGCGCTTGGTCCTGGGTAGTTATGCTGTGGAAAGTATCCGGGACCGTATGAAGAGTATCACGGAAGAGGTATGTAAATGCCTCACTGTCTCATGAATGCACTGACACATTGTAGATTGAGGATTGGAAACACCTTTCGTTCCCAGTCTCTATGCCTCCAGAGGATGAGGAGAGAAAGGATGATGCCAAAGAGGAACAAGACCAGGATGAAGAACAAGATCAGGAATGATGGGTTGGGCATTTCGCATGCTGGTGCGATGGTGTTGTTATACCCTTGCCGCGCATATCTTGGTCAAGAAGATAATACTGTAAAAGATAATCTATACCTGCGAATGTATTAGCACCGCAACCTACCTCAACAAACTTGGAAACACTCCACCCTCTAGTGTTATGCGTCTCACAAAATCTATTTATGGGATAAGTGCTCCATCTCAGTAACGATACATGTAGCACAAGACGGCAATACTGGAAGTATTCATCACAGCTGTCTTTTGTCCCGACCTGACTACAAGAATTCCAAGCCATACCGCGAACGATGCGTCCCTTGAAGCAAATAGGAACCCCACGCTAACCTCGCGTATTTACCAACGCACGATATAGCGCCTCTGCCGTGCGCACAGATCAAGCGTCAATGTGGGTCTCTTGCCCGTGTGCGTGCAATGAAAAAAATCCCGCTCTTCCCTTCCTCACACCTAAAAGCAAAAAAGGAAGAGTAATGCATCGGCCGGGAATCTACTCATGTGTTAGTTAAGTGTCTGAATTGAACATTGTATAGCTGGGAAATCGTACCGAACCCGGGGCTAGCCGAAGTTGATCTTTTCATCCACTGCAAGATGAGATGGAATTGAAGAATGGCAACGGCTAATTTTACCACTAAACCACCGATGCTATTTGCTGTGATGGTTTATTACACTGGAGGTTCAATGGACCCTGTGCTGGATTGATGGCCGGTGGTGGGATTGTAAAGCAAATATTGTAAGTAAAACAGCGGGACCGGCCCGTAGTAGCGAGGGAGAACGATCCCCATTCGGATCCGCAATTGGGCTAGCGCGGTTGCGGTGGTCGGCGTGAAAATGCTTTTTGGTACTACCTCATATGTGCTTGTTCGTCTTGGGCTATGTAGCTATTGATGACGTGCACACCGCTGGAGAGGCACTTTTTCTCTGTCTATTGGGCCAGGTAATGCTGCACTGTACTTATGTGGCAGATACGACAATTTCCCTAGCTTTCTTTTTGTCTTGTAATTGATTGTGCGATTCAGTACTAGTACGCCAACTCAGATGTTCCCAAAGACAAAAATGTAAAGTTTACTTTTATGGAAGATGGCAATGCGTCTCGGTAGGTTGACGTGGCCCCAATACTTGCTCAGTAATCATGCATCCAGTAATTTGTTTCGTGGCATTTTTCTATATTCGTCTCACACCGGCTGCACTGATAGACTAAATCGCAAAGCATAGTATTACTAAATAGTCCTATTTCGGGTTGTTTGCTAAGGCTCCAGATTATCAATGAATGCGTAGCCTACGTACGTGCAATCACCGTTTGTGACGCTGTCTGTACAGCCGATGAGCCCCAGTGGCTTGGCTACTAAAGAATATCAGCATTCTGGCAATTACACACAGCCTAAGTAATGCCAATCAGCATGGCTTGTAGATCTGGTATGAGCCGTATCCTTCTTTAATGTGTTTGCATTTATCCGAAATCCTGATCCACTTGAGACCGATAGTATGTTTTCCTACGTCTTTTGTGAGCCACGTATTTCGGCTGTGGTCTGAAAGTACAGCGAGTATTGGATTTTGAACTTACCTCCAGGAAGCGTAAAATACCCCTTGCTACCCCCATGGTTTTCCATGCAATTTTCCGGCGTTCCGCAATGAAAACCGTCAAGCTCCCCCGTCCCATCTGTCTCTCCAACAGATACACCATCCACAAACACCTCAAAGTGTTGACACCTCCCAACTGAATCAGCTACCACGAACACGCTTCCCTCAGCTACTTCGACCTCGTGCTCAAACATTTCAGAGGGTTCATACGAGTTTTTGACATGAGGTAGTGTGATTTCCCTCCATGGTTGGATGATTTCAGTAGTGCAGGGTTTTTCAACAAGCTGATGTGGTGGCTCTACCGGTGGAGGCGCAGGATCCACGACGGGAGGGCGGGACTGGTTGAATGTCATTCCGTCACTACAAGTGCAAGCGCAAGTCTCTGGAACTGGGTTTTCGCAGGTCAGAGAAGGCACGTAACCTAGAACCATACATTAGTGATGGAACTCATTCATCTAACAGTGAACGCGCACCACTTTGGCATGTCAACATGCTACCAGAGACCATGCTACCAGGGAACATGTTCATTCCGGATTGTGCGTGCACAATCTGGCTGGTGAGAGTGGCAATAGTGGCTATGGAAGCACGCATATTGTCGGTTTCTTGAGATAAAAGATGGAGATGGTAGTCGATACAGAATGAGTTTGTAGAGTTTCTTTCAAGGAAAAGTTCCACTCTATATACCTCGAAGAAATCGTTTAAATTCCTTGTGTCCCCCTATCCTTGCTGGAAAAAGAACAGTGCGCCACACAAGTAGTGAGTGCCACACCGACTGAAGCCCATAAGCCAAGCAACACACACACCGCTGTGAATAGATAGATGTTCATGTCTACATGCCCTTCGGTTAAGGTAGGGGTTTTTGACAGTATGGATAGAAGATGTGAACAGGAAGCATGTACGTGTCTACTCAGCGGTCATTCATTGGTTAGTATCTATTTCCGAATATTCCTCTTCGTTATCAGAAGATCCAAGTGATTTGCATTGGCCCAAACGCGAAAGATTTGGTCACAAGCAGTCATTTTCGTAAAAACTAGACATACTCGGTACGCAACGTCGAAGCCATACGCAATTATTCCGCCCATTAGCAAAAACGGGTATAGAATAGGATCAACGTCTTGAAAAAGCAGTAAGACTCCACTCGACTAGCGCCGGAACCCCGCGAATGTTCCGTATATATCCGGATCGACAAGATACAAACACAGCTAAACAAAAGTTTAGACTTCTTTTCTAGCGGTGCATGCACTTGTAAGAGGTCATACGCAGGTGATGCTGTGCTGTGAGCATGAACTCTAGACGACCAGGCAACGCGCTCGACCAGAGCAAGGCATAGCAGTCTGGATAAAAAACCAACCATGGGTTAGTCAATAGTTAGGTACCAGATCTTTAGGAATGAACAATATATAAAGCATGTCTGTGGAGCTCATTATACCTATCCATCACTTCACATTTCATCTTCTTGTTCTTGAATCCATTACCTATACAGACACTATGAGAGCTTCTTTGGTATTCCTCGTTTCGACCCTTTCTATAGGCGTTTACTCCTTCGAAACCCAGCAAGTGCTCGGGTCGGCCAACCCTGCCGGGACCTCGTACCAATGCCAGAACGGTAAGTAGACTCAAGGCCCGAAACGTTTCGCGAAGCTTACAAAATCTAGGTGCAACGCCTGCAGCTACGTGTACTGATCCATCAAACGTGCCCACATGCTCCTGCTCCTGCTCCAACGGCGTCATGTACAATGAGTCGCTCTCTGCCCATACCTCCAGAAATCCCAACCCCTTTCCCGACACCTGCCAGGCTGAAAAAGACAACTGTCTTGAGCGCGAAAAAACACTCACCGCCCAAGTTACCGAGGCTCAAGAGAAGCGCACAGAGTGCGAGGCAACATCCCTAGCTGACCGTCAAAAGGCGGAACTGGATGCCTTGCAACAGGATCAGAAATGCAAAGTGGAGTTGAGCAACAAGGACGTAGAGATCTCTCAATGCAAGCAACAGTCGAACAACGACATTAATGCTGCAAACAGTGCTTGCAAGGCGCAGTTGAGCAGCAAGGACATAGAGATTACTCAATGCAAGCAAAAGTCGACCAACGACCTTAATGCTGCAAACAATGCCTGCAATGCCAAGGAAACTCAACTCAACGCAAAGTTCTCTGACTACCAGAAGAACAATTACAGATATGTCGGGTGCTATGAAGACAACAACAGCCGAGTGCTAGCGAAGCACAGCAAGAGAGACACCAATATGACGCCCGAGATGTGTGCGTCTTTCTGTCAGGACTATACCTATTTTGGAGTCGAAGTTGGCTGGGAATGTTACTGTGACAACGCTATTAAGAGTGGTTATAGGAAGGTCAGTGGAGGTGATTGCGGTTACAAGTGTCAAGGCGACTCCGGCCAAATCTGTGGAGGTGAATGGAGGGCTTCTATCTACTCAAGACAAGCATAGGTTGTCTGAGGGAGCCTAGGCAAGATAGACAGAATAGGGTATAGGGAAGGAAGCATCGACTAGCATCGACGTGGGGACGTAAATTGAACTGGAAATCAGGGTAGATAATAGTATCATCGTAGATAGTAATATAATCTTGTGTACCGACCTATCTCCCAATGTGAGATCTGTTTGTTTCAGCGACAGCTGGATCAAAGAAAAGTGCAAACTTCAAACCAACACAATAAATCTCCCGCCAAAGATGTGTCAGAGCTTCCAAGCAAAGTCGAAGAAAAGCGCAGCACAATAGCTTGATATCAGTCAGTGTCTAACACTCTTACTCTATACCCTGACAGCATCTTAAAATTAAATCAACTCCCTGATTCATCCGAAAATCAATTATTAATCTCTACAGCAGCACTCGTAGATATTTTCCTAACCAAGACAAAAAGGTCACAAAAAAACCCCCACACTCCAAATACCTACAAACCCGCACATCTCAAGCCAGCACCTCCACGCTCCATTAAACCTAGTATACTAGTCCTTTCAACGCCAAAAATCCATCTCGCAGTCAAAAAACCCCTCAAGTCAACCATGCTAATCTGCGCGATGAACACGTCCCATGCGAAACACGTCAACGGAAGCGATTCATTTACTAAGACGCGAAATAACCAATCTAACAGCGATCGAATTTTTTCTATCCCAAATAGCCCTCTCTAATAATAAAAAAGGGACTCCAATCTAATTTATTGTATCATTGGAGTCCAGACAGGGGAGATGGAAGACAAGATTTCTCAGTCGCACCACGATCAATGCATATAAAAAAGAAGAAGAAGAAGAAGAAGAGACGTGACTAAGTTGGCAGGGCCAAGTCCAAACAAACGCATATCGAGAACGAATGATACCAAAGTAACACACTTTAAACTGCTCTGAGCAATATCAAAAGACGAACAGCCGAGAAATGTAAATATCGCAAAAATGACACTTTTTTTTGATCAGCCATGTGCAACAAATGTCATACTTAGCAGCCAAGTACGTTAAAACCGTCTGCACGCCCTGATCCCTATTCCCAGCGACTCTGGTTGCTTGAAAAAAAAAGCGGGTGCTCAGAACCAGAACCACTCCATTACGCCAACCTAAAAACATAAAACCCTCCAAAAATTACCCCCTTACCACCTATCTCCTCCCCCCATTAAGCAACCTAGCCTCACTCTCCCTCTCCTCCCCCTCCTCCTCAAATTCACTAAGCTCAAACTCCTGCACTCCCCTCGCACTCTCCTCATCCCCCTTAACCTTCCCCCACCCCTTATCATCCGCGGGGTTAGGAAACGGCGTCGCACAAAGCCGATTTCTGAGTGCAGGATAATATCTCCTATACGTATAGTGCGCGATAGCGAGACCGAGCAGGGATCCCACAGTGACATCGTAAACGTCATGTCTGTAGTCTTCGCAGCGGGAGATAGCGATGAGCGCGGCGCCGAGTAAAGGGGCGAGAGCGAAGAGGACGCGAGCGAGGTCTGCGCGAGGACGGTAGACGTGGCATTGGCCAGCGAGGAAGAGGGAGAGGTAGCCGAGGCCGCTGAAGGCGAAGCTGCTGTGGCCGCTGGGGAAGCTGCGCCAGCCGTCGTGCAGGATGTGGTGGTCTGTTTCGGTGCAGACTTTGTATGTGACGAGCTGGTGGGCAGGGGTTCCGGGCGCGGGTTTGCAGCGTGCGATGAGATCTGGGCGGGGGCGGCCGACGGCGTTTTTGATTACGTCGGTGATGAAGCTCGTGAGGATCAGGCTGATGATTAGCCCGAGGATGGTGACGTGGGCTTTGTGGGAGCCGGGGCGGAAGAGAAGGGCCCATACGACGAGGAGGCCAAGGGGAACGGCGGCGGAGAAGATGAGCAGCCAGCCGACTGATACGCGCTCGATTTCGGCATGGGGGTATCCAATGGCGAGGTTATCGAGGAAGAACATGCGGTGGAAGGGCTCGGTGAGGAATTGGATCTGTACGTCGAGTGTCAATTCTTTTCTCTATAGCCGGTCTTGAGTCTCTTCTTTCTTCTTGCGTGACGTACCGGGATATAGCCGCATAATAGAATAGCTATGCCTACATAGTCCGAAGCATACGAGCGCTACTTGTAGCCGAAAAAGGCTCCATTAGTTATTGTAAACATGTGCAAGATAGCGCACACACACCTGCCAGAAGCGGGCTGCTGCTCCGAGAAAACCCGGCGAGTTGACCAGGTCATTGGAATTGAGCCTATGCGGTTGTGCAGGCATGTTTGGCGTGGGCGAACGAGCATGCGCGCATCGAGTAGAGAAAACAAGTCGAGTAGTCGTGGCGGGCTTTCGGAGGTGTGGCTTCAACTCCGCAAACGGCAGGCATGGCACGGGCCGCTGCCGCTAGTGCAGAGTTAGCGCGCGGGATCGTCTTGTCGAGCATGAGATGGAGGGATACATAGTAATGCAATCACTTTTCTCAATTTTCATTTCACTGTCATGTTCCATATCTTTAATTCCAATTAAATTTAGGATATCTAGAAGAAATACAAAGGAACTCTCAATAAGTAGACGTTAGCATCCCCAATCTCCCCCCATCAACCACAACCACACTCCCATTCAAGTACGCCCCCGCCAGCCCCGCCATCCACAGCACCGCCCCCGCAATATCCTGCTCGCAACCCGTCCTCTCCGCAGGGATAACATTCTTATCCAGTATCCCGCTCTGTAGCGGATTTAACCCCCCAATAATGCCTGTCGTCATGTCAGACGGAAAAACGCCGGGAGCCAGCACGTTGCAGCGGATGCGATAGGGGGCTAGCGATGTAGCTAGCATCTTCATCATGTGTGTGACTGCAGCTTTGCTGCTGTTGTATGCGAACGAGGCGCCTGCGAGGCGCGAGAAGCCGCCGATGCTGGAGGTGGCGATGATTTGGGAGCGCACGTTGGCACAGAAGTTGCCTTTTGTGTTGCCGGCGTCGAGGAGAGTAAGAAAAGCGAGGGCAGTGTAGTATACACCTGTTACATTTACAGCGTAGATTTGTGTGAAATCTTGCATGGGGCTCTGAAGGGCGTGCGCTCGATATTCGCTGATTGAAGGCAAAGGGTCGTCTGGTGTGGCTTTGAGTGGTCTTGGGCCCATGATGCCTGCGTTTGCAATGACCAGATTCACATAGCCTATTTCGGATTCAATTTTCGCCACGATTTCGAGCAACGAGTCTTGAGAGGTTATGTCTCCAGATAGTGGTATGACGACGTTTGGGTCGATGCTATTGGCGGCGTCGCGCAAAACGTCTTCTCGGCGACCGACTATGTAGATTCGGTGTGCGCCGTTCGCAGCCAGCGCTTTTGTCATCATCAGACCGATACCTGTGAAGCTCAGCGCTGAGCCCAGCCATGTTAACCAAGCGCGGACTACCTGACCCGCCTCCTGTTATGACAGCAACAATGCCTTTGACATTGAAGAGCGCAGTTGCCGAGAGTTCTGTCGACATTTTGGTATGGAACCCAGATCTGGTGTGAATGCAAAAAAGATAGATAATATGGCTAGTCATCGTTGTTATATGTCGATGTTACGGCTCCACTTCCCGGCTCAGTGACACACATGCAAGCCAACGAAAACAAACTCGACTAATGCCGCCCGCCGGTTGCCCAATGATGCATAAGAAAAAGATTCCTCCCATTTATCCAAGATCTAACAACAATTCTCACTTGTCAGCATGCCGACTCTTTCGCGCAGTAATCCACTTGAAACTCGCACACCAGCCTTCTACCTCGCCGCGCTCCGAACGCTCGACATAATCTTTAATCTCCTGCTGTGCCAACCGCACATCCGCCCTCAGCTCGTCTTCAGTCCACACTTTGTTCTTGCTGCCCCACCGCGTCAGGAGACGTAGGCAAACAGGCTCGAAAATTTCCATGCCAAGTACAAACATCATCTTGCCTAGGGATTTCTGCGCCTCGCCTTCTGCCCATTGCCCCACAGGCACATTGACATGAGTTGTTTGTATATCCACGAATCCCGCTTCTTCAAGATAACTGTGATGCATGTAGAAAAGACCCAGGGGCCGTCCAGATCGGAAAGATGCTTCCATAAAAGCGACATATAACTTGCGCAAGGTGGGCATTGCAATCTTGTCGCCGGGGCCAAGGGGTACTTGGCCCAAGTCCCAGTCTGCCAACTCGACCCATCCACCAGGCGAGAGACTCTTGTATATCTCTTCATAGACGCCTTCCCAGTGGGTAAAAGTCCCTTTCATGTTTCGCAGGTGGATCAGCTCAAATTTATCACTGAAGTGCCAACCCGGTTCCGATTGAGGATTCAAGGAAGTCAAGTCAATTGTGAGGGATTCTTCTGATAGATTTGACGGACTTGTGGCATCGCTTAGTCCAGTATCCTGGTGTATTTTTCTCGGAGATTCGATTGGATGGCGGTGAATCATGTTAGTTGCCAAGTCCAGCTCCGCGAGTTTGGCGATCAGATCGTCGACATCGATTTCTCGCCCCCAAACGTCGAGATCATCAAGTTCCCAAGTCACTCCAGATTCGCCTAGCGTGGCTTCAGTGGTTTCAATGTCCCACTCGGTAATGTCTATTCCAACGACTTCTGCATGGGGGTACTGCTGTGCCATGGACACAGCCCAGTGGCCTGGTCCCGTGCCGAGATCGAGGATTCTACGGGTAGAGGGTAGCAGTTTTGTCGTTGTCAACCTTCCCTTGAGTGCTCGAAGGAAGATCTCGTGTTGCAAGGATAAGCGATCCTGCTCCACAAAGTCGTTGTTGGGCTTGTAGACGCAGGGCAGATAGTACGACTCATTAGCGTATGTGCGGCCATTTTCATGGACATAGTCAAGGTCGTCAGAGGCAAGTGTGCGAACAGAGCGACTATCGCAACGACTGTCAGCTGTGGTTCATGTGCGACAAGTGGCGATGGAGGAGGATCGGTTGGGCAGCAGGTTAGCCGTCAGCAGGCTCCAACCCCTGTCGAATGCGGACAGTTGGCAACGCAGCGGCTTGGGGCCAGCAAAGGATGCAGCGATACGAGAGGAACATAGGAGAAGCGGCGGCATACATGGACTCAATGGACGCTGAATCGTCCGAGTCAGCTCTTGGGCGTTTGAGTGGAGGCCCTGCGTGAGGGGCAACCACGTCTTCGGGTGGTGGCGGTCCCTCGTCCATGGCGCCGGAAAGCCGACAGGCTGCAGAGGGGCCGAACGGATCTCGTTGGGCAAGTCCAGCAGAGGATGATGGTGAGGTCGAGCGAGGGCGCCCGCGACGTCTTTACGTACGCGATGCCAATGGATCCCTTCCAAAGAGGCTGGTGCAAGAGCTTGACGTTGCGTCTGCTAAGCGATGGTCGCTTGATGTTGGTTGGGGGCGCGCGCATCCAGCCTGGGTATACATATGGACCTTGCAGAAGGTACTAGACTTGAAGCGTGGATCCATGCCCGCCCTCTCTTTCCATGCTGACATGCTTTGCGCATCATCTCCGTCTGACCACCTCCGTCTGACCACCTCCATGATGAAATCCCGCCCTCTGAACCCTATGTCTATGTACTTACGCTGCCGCCAATCAGTCAGCGAGCCAGCGAGCCGACATGTCCACCACACTCACCATGTGTCCCGACGAGAGAGCACAAGCACCCGGGGACAGCCATTGCGACGTTACATGGCAGTGTGAGCTCCATCATATCATGGCCTGAGGCGCACATGGCCCCACGTCTGTACATACACGGAAGCAAGGTGCCTCAATGCATGGCGCCCAAGAGGTTCAGGGCTGCTGCATCAACCCCAGGCTGCTAGGTGTTTGCACCGGACCGTCTTCGGTCTCTCTCAGCTACCCTGCCCATCTCTCGGGGTCTTGAGGCTAGTTCAACACCTGCATGCACCGGACCAAACCCCCGGAAGAGCCCGAGAACCCCTTCATCATACCTACGTACGTACGTATGTACATGTCTGTGTGCTGTCACCAACATACCCGCCGCATATGCATTCTACCCAGGGAAGCCTGCCGGGATTCCGCCTTCAGCAGCTACCTTCTACGCCCACAAAGCCATGTCATATTTCCTTTCCCACTCCCTATACTTCACGTCGAGAGTTCAAGTTCGCGCGGCCTGACTCGTGGCGGCGCGGGCTTTATCCTGGGAAGACTGCATCGGATGTGGTAATCGTCCACTCTCCATCCCCCAACCGGGCCAACACAAGCCCGCAACCCCGGGGTGCGGGACACGTATGTACATGGGTGAACTCTTTTGACATCTTTTTTTCCAGATTAGATTAGATGGGAACAGAAAGGGACTGGCTTGTTCACACAATCACATTACGTGGGACAATAACAGCCTGACAGCACAACCAGCCCACTGTATTCATCCCAGCAAAGGCATCAATCATATCATCTACATGGATGCGACACGATTTATTGCCTCTGTTTCTTTGTTTGTTTGTTTTTTCCTTCTCACAAAGAGTTACCCCTTGGCTTCAATTTTCGGCTTTCGATGCATGCAGACGAGAAGGCAATCTGCACTTATATGAAGCGAATCACTGCTAGTATTGATTCAACACAGCCCTCAGTCTACCTCTTGGCCCTCAAATTTGGGCAGGCGCTTGGCAACATCTGACCATGTCTCCTCGCCCTTTACGATGTTGGAAATGGCCTGGGCAATGTCGTCTAAACTCGAGCGAACCTGCTCAGTTGTGTCACGGTCTCGAAGGGTGAAAGTGTTGTCCTTGATTGACTGGAAGTCAACGGTGATACCAAGTGGGGTACCAAGCTCATCGTTTCGCTAGATCACTGTCAGAGTCCAGTCATACATTCACCAGAGGGGCATGACTTACTGCATAGCGCTTGCCAATTGATGCACCAGATGCGTCAACTCGGTTGGAGATGCCAAGCTTCCGAAGTTTATCCTTCAGTGTCTTTACGAAAGGATCAAAGTCTGGGTTTGAGCTGAGCGGCACAATGAGCACCTTTGTTGGTGCAACCGCAGGAGGGAATGAGAGAACAGCACGGGCATCGTCCTGCTCGCGAGTCCAGTAGACGTGTTCACACAGAGCCTGATTCGGTCAGCCAGACATACCACTATTCCGGAACTGGAGCACTTACATAGAAGATACGGCCAATACCAAATGATGGTTCAATGACATTTGGCGTGTATTCTCGCATCGTCTCGACCCGGGTGCGCTTCTCGATTGTGATGAGCTCCTTGGGCACCTCGACCTTGCCGTCGGCAACTTCGGGGACATCGATGACAATCTTGCCCTCCTTCTCCAAGTCCAGAGACAGCTTTTCGCGCAGATCTTGCGACAAGGACTCAATGGCTGTTTCAACAGCCTTTCCGTCCTTCTTAAATTTGGGGCCAAACTTCTTCTTGTCAATGTCACATTGCCACTCCTCGACCTTGAGCGGTTCTTTTCTTGTCTCACGGACAATCAGGGGCGCACCAGTCTTCTTCATGTGCACAGACAGGTCGTATGCGCTTCGGTCAGCACAGCCAACACACTCGATCCAGCCGTACGATGTGAGCAATTCGGCGTCCCAGCAGTCGGCTGCGTAATGAGCCATCTCATTGGCCATGTGTTGCCTGAAGCGGATTTTCTTAGGATCGACACCAATCTTGAGGAGGAAGAGCTGGATGCGAGCCAGGAAGTAACCCAGTGTCTCGTTGTCGACCAGGCCAGTCTCAACTGCCTTGCCAATCTTTGTGGTCTCGACCGTGGTCTTGCCGGCCAGCTGGACGTCGCGGTTGAGCAGTTCAAGTTCGACATCCTTGACCTCATTGAATCGTGGGTGCTTTTTGCCACCCTCTGGGTCGACAAAATGCTCAATTTCGGCCATGAGGAACTCGCGTACACGCAGGAGACCTTGGCGAGGCGAAATCTCGTTGCGGAAAGACTTGCCAATGGAGGCAGACGCAAAAGGCATCTGCTGCATGTTGTGGTCTAGCAGCTTCTGGAAGTTTACAAACTGGCCCTGGGCAGTCTCTGGTCGCAGATAGGCGGGCAGGTTCGACGAGGGACCAATGGAAGTCTGGAACATGAGGTTGAAGGCAACAGGAGGCAGGAGCTCGCCGTTGTTGGCAGGGTTCCGGATGTCGTACTTCTTCATGAGAAGACCCAGCTCCTCGCCATTATAGTTGTCAATCTTTGCCAGGACCTCCTCGATCTCCTTGACCATTGAGTCCTCAAGCTTGATGGCTGCAATGTTCTTGACCTTCTTCTTTTTCTTCTTAGGATCCTCCTCTTCGACCTCGACCTTTTGGCCACGCGCCTCCTTGTCGCCCTTTAGCCTGGCCTCGAGCACCTCCTCGACCAAGTGGTCGGCGCGGAAGATCTCACCCGTCTTGGGGTCTTTGCACATCCAGTCGGCAAACTTGTCGACGTGGCCCGAGGTCTTGAGGACGTCGTGTGTGGTGAGGATGGTGGGTTCAACCTTGAGCATGTCCTCCTCGAGCACAAAGTGTTCGCGCCATATGTCGACAATGTTGTCGGTGAGGGCAGAGCCGGGCGGTCCATAGTCGTACAGACCAGCAACGCCACCGTAGATATCGAATGAGGGCGCATAGAAGTATTTGTGCTGCAATTGGCGACATGTGAGTAGGTAGTGTGCAGACAGGGTCGGGAACAGTAATAGTGCATGCCTACCTTCATGAGCTGCTCAAAGGCAGCGCGCTCAAAGGGCTTGCCCTTGTAGGTGGTGGTATCACTCGGCATGGCGGGCGTCTTGCGCTGTGGAATCTTGTACCGGAAGAGGGGTGGAGTGGTCGAGAAGTGCGTGGTGGGATGAGTCGGAGGTGGGGCACAAGGTACCCGTCTAGTAATTGTCTGGAGAGACGGTCGCCATGCAGAGCGGGGGACGCGCAGCAAAGCCTGGAGCCGGCGCATATATTATCAGGCTCTCCCCTGCTTCCACGAGGAGAATTGGCTTACTGCGAGTATAGGCCGTCTAGTATAAGGCATCGGTTCTCTGGACGACTTGCTCGCACGTGCAAATCATGAAGCGTGGGCTCGGTGGGTGACGCGCCAAGATTACGGAAAAGACGCTTCGGCCGCCGCCCCACTGAAAAGTTGTCAGGCTCGCCTACTGCAATCAACGACGACCTTCACCACTACCACCACCACCACCACCGCCCACAAAATGACAGCCCCCAAGAATGTCGCGTCCGGCTTCAAGCCCAAGAATAAGATTCGCCGCCAGGCCGCCCATTTGTCTATCAAGAAGGCACGCGAGTCTGAGAAGCGAGATGCCCGAATGCGCCGCAAGCGCGAGGAGGACAAGAACCCCGAGCTGCGCGAAGAGCGACTAGCAAACAACAAGCCCGCCACCATTGACAGCAAGCGCGTATGGGATGAGCCTGTGGGCGACGAGGAGGATGCTCTGGGCTGGGCCATTGACGTGGAGCGGTTAGCCAAGCGGAGAAAAGTCGAGCATGAGGATGAAGAGGGCAACGAGGAAGGCACACTGGCCAAGCTGAAGAAGCGGGACGAGGCCATGGATGATGATAGTGAGGATAACGAAGAAGAAGACTCCAATTCGGACGAGGCAGACAGCATGCTCGACGACTCCCAATCGGACCTCGACTCGGACGATTCAGACCTCGACTCAGATGCCGCCTCCTCCAAGCCCTCCAAGTCCTCCAAGCGAGCACCGAGCCCCACCGCAACCTCAACCACTACCAACTTCGATCTATCACCCGAATTCCTCAAGCAAAAGTTCCCTTCCATATTCAATCCCAGCGATGAGGAACCAAAGATTCTCGTCACAACCAGCATCAACTCGTCTCTACACAAGGAAGCCGACGTCCTCACCTCCATCTTCCCCAATAGCACATACATCCGCCGTACAAAGCATGCACACGCACACAAATACAGTGTCCGCGAAATCGCCAGCTTTGCGGCCGCAAGAGGCTACACCGCCCTCGTCATTCTCATGCAAGCCCAGCACGAAAAGAAACCCGACGGCCTCGACATTGTCAACCTCCCCAACGGCCCCCACTTCCACTTCAGCGTCTCCAACTGGGTCGATGGCAAGAAACTGCCCCGTCACGCAAACGACACAGGCCACTATCCAGAGCTCATTCTCAATCACTTTAAGACCCCGCTTGGTGTCCTTACCGCCCAGCTTTTCAAGAATCTGTTCCCTCCATTCCCCGAACTCGAGGGCCGTCAAGTTCTTACTCTTCATAATCAGCGTGATTACATCTTTGTACGCCGCCACCGCTATGTCTTCCGTGATAAGCGCGAGACAGAGAAGCCTGTTTTGGGCACGGATGGAAAACCAATTCCTGGCGCTGAGGATGTCAAAGTGGGCATGCAAGAAATTGGGTATGTCATATTTTTTTTCTTCTTCTGTAGAACACTTGCTAACGTTACACTACTAGTCCTCGAATGACGCTTAAGCTCCGCAGAATAGACCGCGGCATCCAATTCAAGAGTGGCCAGGAGTGGCAATGGAAAGGCCGTATGGACAAGCAAAGGACGAGGTTCAACATGTAGAAGGGCATGTACGTTTGCCCCTTCCGGCACTGTTGTTTCTATACGACTCTTTGTCTACACGTCGATATCGACAATGTTATACTTTTTTACTTTTTAGTAGCATCCATGTGTCGACATTACCTTTGTCAGCCTGGGTTTGGTACGACTAGAGTCCGACTCTGTCTACCTAATAGAACATGGCATTTCCGAAAAGTGCGCGATGACTGAGCTATGTGGATCACGTAGCTAGGTAATTAAATACCGATATATTCTCATCTCTAGCATTGATCGATTGACTTCGAGTTGTGCAAGTCAATCCAGGCCAGGGTTACGAATATCCGAGTGCGCAGAGCACTTGGGAGGTAGACACAAAATAATGAATAAAATTGTCCCAGTACCTGCATTATAGTTTTGCAACTCAATCACAAACATCCAAGTTGTTAGAAGCGTTTCACGAACTCATCACTAAATAGATGAGACTTTGCATGTGCAAACAAGTGTCCAGAATCTGCAGTGGCTCGAGAAACATGGTGCTCGGTTTGAGGCCTCACTTTGCCCGTACAAGACGTCTTATCCAACAGATCAGCGCTATCTTTATTTCACGGGCAGCGAAAAGTCGTATCCTCACAACAAAGATGCAGAGCCCGCACCTTGAGGACACCGAATGGTTCATCCTGGGCTTTCTGGCTCCGAATGATGGCGTGTTTTGTTCAAATCAGCCATGGAGCTAGGGGTAGACTTCATGCCCGCGAGCAAGGTAACTCGTTTACTATATGACAAGAACCATAGAATTAACGGAGTGGAAACCAAAACCCTCTCAACATCCAGTCCCAGCTTCTCCCGCCATAGAATGCTATCCAGAAAAGAAACACGATCGCAATTTTTACTAAGCCCACTATCAAAACGGTACCACAACCGTGCCCTCAACCTCTGGAATCATGACGCCCACCTCCAAACCCTCCACGCACCATCCGTCATCCTTGCTGCAGGTGGCTTCGTCTTCAACCACCACATGCGCCAAACCCACATGCCTGAATTCTCCAACGTCGCACCGCTAGGCACCTGGCGCGACGACGGCTCCGGCATCGCGCTCAGCACCTCCGCAGGAGCCTCAGTCGCAAAGCTTGACCGCATGTCTGTCTGGCGCTTCATATACCCACCCACCGCTCTCCTCGAAGGCATCGTCGTATCTACGTCTACGGCGCTGCGCTCAGCGAGGCCATGGTTCAGCGGCATGCCAGCACAGGGTTTCTAATCTTGGATCAGACTCAGTGGAGGAAAGCGAAACAGCAGCTTTTCGAACAGACATCCGGTCCGATTCTATTGCAGCGCTTTCGTTGGATGTACTAAGGATATAAGAAAGCGGGGTCGCTGTGGGGGTTGACGGCGAAGTTCGGGATTGCGGCTAATGGATTGGAGGAGACGGTTGAGAGGTATAATGGTGCGATTGAGAAGGGAGATGAGGATCTCATGCATAAGACGAATGAGTACCGGAGTCTGATTTTGACACCGTCCTTTTATGGGATTGATATTTCGCCGCAAAGTGAGGGGACACAGGTTGTCACAGGGTTGACGCTGGGTGGCTTGCGTGTTGATGGTAGGAGGGGGCTGTTTTTTGCTGGTGATAGGAAAATTGATGGGCTTTATGCTGTGGGTAAGACTGCCGTGGGTATTTGCGCGAATTCGTATGTTAGTGGCTGGTCCCTGGCTGATGGTGTATTTTCTGGGAAACGGGTTGGGGAGCATGCGGCAGATAAGAGGAGAGAAATGTGAATAGTGGACATTACGACTTGTGACTTGTGACTTAAATTGGAGTATATATTAAGCATAAAGCTTATTAGATTATTTTTCTTAGACATGAATAGCAGGCTACAACCTAACCTGCTAGAATTATGTATTAAAAAATAGACTTTATAGTAAAGGTAATAGTTTAAATAAAAGGCCTGTATAAAAACCTAGGAGCTTTAGCTTAGATTAACGTAAGAAGAACACTACTTTTAAACTTAAAAAGGGTTATCTAGTAGTTAACATATAATAATATTAGCAACTTCTCTATAGTTATACGCCTGTAGACACACGCCTATTAGGCGCAACACCTAGATTGACTATAGTTGCGATAAAGGTAGCAGCGCAGCGCAGCGCACTGATGTCTATAAATTCGCTATATCATAAGTCTGTCTCTCCCATCTCATCTCGACCACATGGACATTGTTATCGTCGTTGTTTTCCTTCTCTCTGAGTCGAAGTCCAGATGACAATGGAAAGGTAGTAGAGGACACTTAGCTGATTATAAAAGTGGCGTGTTGATCTCTAGTCTTAGGCCATTGCTGTGAAGTTGGGGAAATGCACGGAGAAAAGATGAAGGGATTTGGATTGGTATGGAAGCTTTTAGGATTCTCAATTGTTTCAAGCATACAATATTTTGTATCCACTTCTGCATATGAGTGCGTTTAGACAACGGCATATCAAGTACATTTACGTGCAGGCAGAGACACACCTAACATACTCAAATTCGACTCCTATGTATCAATTCCTCACGTTCTTATCTAAGCAAAAAGGAACACTCAGACATGAAATAGGTACTCTCATTGTTATGCCAGAAATGAACGACAACCCCACAGTGAAAAAGACAAAACTGGAAACTCCGAATGTACAAGTACACAATAACTGCTACTACTCCGGGTATCTATCATATATGCCTCCAGCCAAAGGTCATGGAATAGACCTTGAAGACTCACCCTTTTTTATACCAACCACCCACTTTGACAAAGGGAAAGAAAGATAAAATAACACTGGGTACACCAGAGGCCAACTCGTCATAGTATCCTGGATAACAGACATGTCGTCTAGGCAAATTATTGCCAACCCCAGGGCTGGGAAGGAGGCCACTAACCATCATAGCCATAGCCATAGCAGTAGCCAGGACTAGGATCAGGACCAGGGCCAGGGCCATGACCATATCCGTGACTGCCATACCCCCTGCCTCTGCCCCTGCCTCTGCCACCTTGGCTACCATTCTATTTGTTGCCATATCCGCTGTAAGCTCCAGGAGTCATCATGCCAGTTGGTCCTGGTGTATTGGATGCAAGGCCTGCGGGATGGTTGGTAGGCGTACTAGGTCCATCGACACCATGTCGTGCGTTTCCAGGGTAGAAAGTATTGTTGACGCCTTGCTGGAAGCCAGACAAGCCCTGTGGTGCACCCTGCGCGGCGAGCACAGCAGCTTGAGCAGCTGCGCTGGCTGGGGCTCCAACGCCAGTGAGACCCCACATGTGGCCACTCATTTCGTCGGGAACGGATCCATCGAATATCTTCTTCCTCATCTCCCAGAATACAACTCCTGTCAACCAAGCATCTGAACCAGCCGTATGTGAGTTACCGATGCGCTGGCAGCCGAGTTCATCAGCAAGATCTTGGAGACCAGACTTTGTGCCCAGATTGTTGAGTATGTTGGTCGCTGTGGCGCCAATGGCTCCACGCCTAACCAGGTTGTTTGCATGTCGCCAGAGATACTTGACGTCGAGAAGTTTGGGAAAGAATACGTTGACGAGCTTGCGATACGTGTCCTCATCCTCGGGTAGCGGCTTCGACGTAAGCATCTTGAGCATGTATGCAAAATCATAGCCCGAGTGAAATGATATCCAGTTGACATCCTCTGATAAGGTCATTCCAGATGTTGTCAGTAGCGAGCCAAACTCTTGTGGGTCAATGCCCTGGTCGCGGTGCTTTTCGAAATCAGCTCCCGACTTCTTCAGCATCTGAATCGACTCTTCGTTGTACATATCGTCTTCCAGGGAGAACTGGAAGTTGAAGGACCATGTGCAAGGGCAGGGGATAATGTTGTTTGAATATCTTTGAAACGACTTGGGCTTGTAGGTCAGAGTATTTGTGTCGAGATGTGTTGGGGGAACATCGCCTTGAACGTTGAAGAGGGTGACGCCCAGCTGGATGATCTTGAGCAGGTCGACATTGCAGCGAACGGTCTGGTAGTGGTATGATGCTTTCGAGTTGAAGTCTCCGATGGGTCGCGCAACAACACCGGGAAACTCGGTGTCCTATTTGTAGAGTGAGCATTGTGTGTACAAGCTTAGGAGAAAGGAGTAGAATGGAAACTACCCCAAGGAATGAAGCCATGGAACCACCACTAGTACAAGACTTGAGAAATATTAGACGCGACTCTGATAGCACAGAAGTCGCAGGGCGTTGCAATGAAATAGCATACTGACCATGCTAATGTATGGATACTGGTCAATGAGGGTGCGTAGCATGTCCATCTCCTGATGCAGGTTGGATCGCCAGACCTGGCGTATGCGCTGGCCAGCAATTCCCTTGGTACCGTCGTGTCCACGGGCTGCATTCTCCTGTATTTGAGCGCCGTGGGCAAACCGCATGCGCGCCTCGTGTCCGTCAAGTCCGGTGCCTCCACCTGCCCCGCCAATGGCTGCTGCTGCCCCCAGACCCGCGCCTCCCAAGCCGCCGCCCAGGCCAGCATTCGACTGAAACCCGCCCTGGTGTTGGCCGAAGAGATTCAGATTGGTGGCCTGGTTGCCCGCGCCAAAGTGCTGCATGTTCTGTTGCTGCTGCTGTTGCTGTTGTTGCTGATGTTGGTGCAATGGCTGTTGCTGCTGGGGCATTGGGCCAGAGAGATGTGCGAATGGGTTGGAGAGGTTGTGGCCGGGAAACCGGCCCCCATGAGGCGGCATTGTGGGCAAAGTGTAGCTGTTGCTGCGACGGGCGCGAGAATACAAGTGGAGGAGTAGTGAAACGGCGAGCGGGCGACACTGGGGATAACGACGCGAACGAGTGGTGGTCTGAGTTCCTTTTCTAGGCTCTTAGGGGGGTTTATAGCAATCAAGGCGTTTGCAGAGTGTGCAAGGTGCGTGTGGTAGCGATAGTGCGTGGTGAGAGTGAATGAATGGTGTGGGGAGGATGTCCGTAACCTATGGGCGGCGGCCGTGCGCCATGATGGCCGCCAAGACTGAGCCAGATGCGACCACCAACGGCTTCGCGGACGTGACGCCAACAGCATCCGCGACCGCGACCGCCTTTTCCCTTGTCGACTATCTCTCGCGGCCCATTCAGTACGTTTAATTTCTTCGCGGGGCCTCAATTGGCGTATCAGAATCCAGCAATTCCTGACTGTAGCAGCATCTTCACAATGGCACCACGCCCCTCCATCACCGGCTTCGATCCCAAGAAGTTCGCCGCCGCCTCTGCCAACGGCACAAAAGGCGACCCCTGGGCGCGATAGTACGTCTTTAGTGCCCGCAATATATACATACTGCGCCGTATACTTATGCCCTAGCTAGTGAGCAATGGCGATACACCGGTCCCTTCACCCGCTTCAACCGTTTCAAGGGCTCCTTCCCTGGCCTCGGCATAGCGACCGTTGCCTTTGCCGGATATGTTGTTGCCGAGCAGCTCTTCTTCCAAGACAAGGGACATCACGATGACCACGCATAAGACTTGCACATTCAGGCGTACCGGTTGCTTCGGGTTCCGTTGCTGTGGGATTGTATATACCTCTACCACACAGAACGATCAATCAAAATGAGATTTAGGAGTGTTTGGGGAGTGACATGGAAGTAGGTGTGAAGAGCATTCCATATGAGTGCAACAGTCGAACGGGTTAGTGGGTCTCGTATGTCGGTCAAACCGCAAGATGAACGTGGGTGTGTATGGCCGTACGTGACGGAAGAAATACTGCGGAACAGTTTGCTTTCATCGCACCTCTGAGTGAAATATCTTCTTTTCACAATTCGCATTTTGACCAAAGACTTTGTCAGCTACCATCATGTCCATCAATCCCAAGCTCCATCATTCCCTATTCATAGAGTTGTCCTTATTTCTCCAACATAGCTCACGAAAACTTATCCCGTTTCTTTCATAACTGTAGAGAACGGTTTTCTCTGCCAAACCCACTCACAATCTCTTTGCGATACGGCGCAGCACATCCTGCATACAGAGCTTGTTATTTTCTTAACACTATGCATCTACATTGATATAGAACGATCCATGCGCCATTAAATTCCCGAATTTTTGAAAAACAACGTAATCTTACTATGAGTACTGCCTAGACATGGGTATGTATCCTTCTCAGTCGCTCCCTCCTCTCCCATGAAAGATCACGAACTAAGAACTCTCTTTGTTCTCCACTCTAGAGAAAATTGTCTTCCACTTCTGATACTAAAGTAAGGAGTTTTAGGTTTTGGTACCGAACAGGCTTTCTTGGAAGTCTTTCCTTACTTGATAACTGCGCACTTCTGGTATCACGTCTACTGGATTTAGTATCACAAATAATCTCTTTTCGACTTCCGACACACAGAAAGGAGTTTTCAAGTTCTAGTGTCGAAGAAGCTTTCTTAATTTCTCTTTGATTGACTACTGTACCAATTTCTGAGCCAAAAAATACTGCATCTAGCCACTTTAGATATCTCATATCAGTCAATACATAACTTATCATGAAAATAAATCCTTCTCTCAGCTTGGCATATCACTCCACCCTAATCTCTTTCTATTTGCAGATTGTTCTGGAGAAACCCAAGTTATGAATCGTTTGCCAGTTTTCCGCACAGCAACATCACATATAATCCAACTACTCTATCTATCAATCCATTTGCAGCAGACTACCATCCCTATTCTCCTTTTGCGAAATTCACCTCGTACACCATACAAACTTATCTACACAGTCCCAGAAAAGCACAACTTGTGGCTCTCCTCTCCAGAATCTCATCCCGATACATCACCTTCCCGTTTGGTCTTTATCGTCTTGCCAAAAAAACAGTGCACTACAGGTCACAACTGCAAACACGAGGCAAGCGAATTACCCTGTGTATCTTGACATACCATGTATCTGTAGCATCAACTCTACGTATACATAGTTACACCTGTACCTTGGATGTGCGATGGCAAAGAAAATTCACGTAGCACAAGCACGGATCCACGTCAGAAATCATTTTGTACTACGATAACTATAGTTGCGAGTCAGGTTATACGGCACTCTGTGTCGAGTCCATCTCACGGTCATAAGGTCATTGCTGACTCAGATTAAGACTGCAGTCATGAGATATCTGTACGTATCCAATTGGTAAATCCACATTAGAGCAAAATTCAAAAAGGGGTAGAGTCAAAATTTCGACCTCGTAATCATTTGATTAAAGGAAAAACAGGCTGACTGTATTACCTTTTACGCTGCTGATCAAACTACCTAACCATGCAAGATCACTGCATCGCTATCAAACATCGCTATCAGACAATCAGATATACAGCACATGGGTGCCTAGTACGTACCGTGCGCAGCCACTCAATCTCACACAATTCTCCCATCGTAACTCAAAACATCACCGCACTAGTGTTATCCACCTACACATCCACATCTAACCCCTACACCCGCACAAAACATCCTTCCCAAACAGCCTTGAGATCGAGACTCCACCTTGAAACACTCCTCCCCCACCTATCCACATACTTACACCCACATAGTACATACACTTCGTTCTACTAGGCACATCCGCCTCCTATCTACTTCCCTCTCCATCCTCGCTCTCGCATTCCCTACACCTAGCATACGCATACACGTGGCATATACCATAGCACATCCAGCATACTACACCCTAGCCTACTCCCGTAGTCCCCAAAAAAGCAACATCTACAAAAGAAGCAAAAAAAATAAACTCCTGCATATCTAAAAAATACTCTACTTCGCCGAACTAAGTAGTCGCTTATGCACAGCGCGAATGTCACTTGCTGCAAATCTAGTCGGGAAAGACGAACGAAACATGCAACATTGTATCTGCAGCGATGCAGCGTTTTTCTAGCAAGGTGGATGACGGGGTGCGATCTGACAGGGGTTAAGAGAGAAAAAAAATTGAAGCGAGCAAACAGGATTTGGGGGAGGGGGGAAGTGGGAATACGAGGTCCCAAGGGATTGTTTTTTACCGTCGATGTTGAGGGATCAACCTCCCCCCGTTCGTACGCGTTTGGATACAACAATTCTTCCCCCCCCCCCCCCAAAAAAAATCCTAAATCACCTATTTAAGCGCGATGTTATTTCCTGAATTTGGCTGTATCCCGCGAAAATTAAATTTACCCTATTAGATCGGTATAACTACTCGAACGACGTAGGTAAATTTCGATGCTGTCTTCCTCGGGGATGATGGATGTGAAGAAAGATCTGGACCCCGAGGATTACAATGGGGAAAAAAAAGGGTAACTAGGCTTACGGCATTTGTGAGTGAGTGTGTGTGTGTGTGTGTGCCAAGTCTTTTCTTTTTGTCCGAGTAAAGATAATTCCCTCCCCACGTTTCCCACGTCCCTAAATCGCGGTGAATTCGTGTATACTACACGCTAGACGCGAAAGAAAAAAAAGCAACAGAGAAAACAGCAGAGCGGTGCTGCTTTGCACCAAACTACCGGGAAAAAACAACCACACGACACACACTGCGGCCGTTATTTATTGTCCTTTTGCAAACTATTTCTTTCTCTTTTTTTTGGTTAGACCCCTCTAACTGGGTTTCTGGCAACGCACTGAATATACCCCCGGCGCGCCTCTAATTCCGCATTACCCCCCAATTATCTACAGTTACTCCGCTGACGCAATCTCAAGCTTGGCACCTACGACGCTCTCGCACCATGTATAATATCCGGCAGCCCGGGGTGTACAAATAACGGTAGTAATCTGATTGGCACATAGCCGGTCCACCATGCCACACCCCGAGCGCGCTCATAAGAGGCATTGGATAATCTGACCATGATCCAGGTGCTTGGGAAAGGGGAAAAAAGAGGGCTGTCGCTTGCTCGCTCATGCTCTCTCACCCACACAAGCGTCATCATCAATCAATCTTCGGTAATAACCGCAACGCCCCTGTGTATGCATGCAGCATGCGCGCATAGTTGGCGTGGCGCACGGCTACTTCCTTGCAAAGAGAGGGAAGAGGGCAGAAAGAAGGAAGGGGAGAGGAGAAAAAAAGGGGCAGCTAAACTTCTTTTGGGGTGTGTATACTTGAAGAGCGTAGCGTATGGGGGGGTCCACGGATTAATACCGATGCGGTCTTATGGATGTTGCTACGGGACTATTGGTGCCTTGTATGGGGGCTAAAAGAAAAGAAGGTAAGCGTGTGCTGAATCGAACGGCGACTGTTCTTGTGTACGTGGGGTCGTCGTAAGTAGAAAAAGAGAGACGAAGAGGAGAAAAAATTTGGCAATGAGGAGGGTGTACGAGGCGGACACCTGCCCGTTTGAAGGGAGGAGCCGAGAAGGATTGTTGGCATTACGGGGCACTACCCACCAATTTGCATCTCAACGCCGCGCCGCGGTCCTTCGATCTCGCGACAGTTGTTAGGCGTGCAGTTCATGCTGGAGCGGCACGGCTCATAGCTGTTGGTGGTGCGGCGTATAAGTGTGTGGCTCTGGATCGCCGGTCTAAAAGGATCGCAACCCTTGCCTTTACGGGCCGTGTGTGGCTTCCTACCCCCATGTGTAGCCCAATCTCTTTGAGGAGCGTTGAGCTGAGATGGGCTGTACACTGACGTTGGACGACGACAAGGCGGGAGAGATTAAGGCTGATCCGTCTTACTCTTCAGCCTAAGCAGCGAGCAATTGTGGCGTGAATATGATGCCCAGCCGGCTCTGATGGTCTACGTAACTACATCTTACATACATATATCTCTTATTGAACTGTGCCAACGCCCCATAGAGCTGGGGTTTGTGGGGACGCACTGACCGCTACCTCATGTCGTCTGCGCTCAGCCCCGTCATCATTTAGCGGGAGTTGATTGCATGCGCCGGCAGAGAAAACAAGCACTTTCAATGTGCCTTTGAACGTGATGTTCTGATACAAATGCGACAGTCGGCGGCAATCGTTACATCGTTGCATCGGTTCACTATTACGAGATGAGTCGCTAATCGCGCAAAGTGTACATACTGCACTTGCTTTGTAATCGTTGCCCAAGATGCATCAATGGAAAACTCCGTGATACGACATACCGCCGGATGAAGGGTTACTATCCATGTTGCGAGAAGTCGAGTACCCTGCCCCCCTCTCACAGCAGCGTTGGGCTGCAGCCCGAAAGCTAAAAACAACCCGTTGAGTTGAGCTCCGCGGCGCAGTTTGTATTCAGAGTTTCGTGCCTGATATGATCACAGTCGGTGGTTATAGGTACAGTAGAATTCATATTTCGCACTCGTGTATCAGAAGTGCTAGTGCGAGGTCCTGTTCGGCCTGAGTTTACTTCGGGCATGCTGATCCAGCTATTTCGATCCTGAATCCGAGCAGTTCAAGGTTCGCGTGTAGCTCGTTGGTCTATTGTAAGCGAAACTTTCTTGCAACGACGTTTAACGACAAACCATAACGGTCTCTGATACATAGCTTACTCATTACTCTTTACCTGAAGCGGGAGGAAGCGTTATGATTCAACAAGAAGAAGATTTGCCTTCGATAAAACTCGGTGTGCACATGACAAATTGAGTTCAAGATGCGATGCCCGCGGATGCCAAACATAGTGGGTGGGACCTGCTTGAGACACCGGATGGATTAGTAGGGTTGTTTCTTTTCGTTGGGGAAAAGCAACAAAGGTTGCAAGGGAATTCGAGTGCGAGTATCTCAATTCGGCAAACGACCTCGTACCTGGCCAGCAGAAGACAAAGCTAATAGGCTCTGCTCGGTCCTTGCAAAAGCATAGGCTTTTGTCGATTCGATAATTGACTACCAATGAAAGTGCAGAGCAGCAGCTTGGACATTGTTCAACCTCGGGCATGCTGTTTCATGAAACACACGAGCAAACCCAGCCAGACGGGCAGTGTAGAGACGTTTGCGCCGCGGAACCAGCCCTCTCGTTGTCGCATCATACCTTTGGGGTATCCTATATCGTAGCATGATTGCGTGGATGTCTTAGATCGGATGTGCGGGCTAGTCTTTGCCGGCCTTGTGTCGGCTTACCCATGGTAAAACATGTTTGAAAGGCACGGAACAGGCTCTTCACTACTAGCACGCACACAGTATGCTATTCGGTTGCTGTTGCACAATGCTAGGATCGGCGGTCTGAGTCCGGGTGGGGGTATGGGAGTTAGGGCTCACCTTATGCAGTTTGACAAGAAGGGCTAGCGCGGCCTGCAGGTACAGAAACAGGGTTCTAGCATTGGGGGCCACGGTTGAGAAAAGAGGGATCAGCAAAGCGCAGAGGAGGCAGGCCGGGAGAAGTTTGCGCTTGTTGGACTTGACCAGCAGCATGGCCCTGCAGCTCACGGCATTTGTTTGGTTGCTCAATGGCCTTGGACATGCATACGCATGTACAGTATATTGTCGGCAAGACAAGTGGAGATGAGCGGGTGCTACTGGGGCACAACGAAACATATAGTCAGAGACGACGGTTGTTGGGTGTATTTACGGCGGGTGGGCGTAGCACGGCAGGCGATACCTCCGGTGAAGGTAGTCTCGGGAAGTACAGACTGCAGACGGCAGAGTAGAGAGCTTCTCGGTACTAGACAGTTTAGGGCGTGGTGCGAGCGCCATGTAACCGACGTCAAGATGTCCGAAATAAACCTCCCGTAGATGGATGGATGGATGGATGGGTGGAGGCGCATGAGGCGCAGGAGGCGTGCGTAAGACGTGGATCCCGCTAAGTTGAAGTTGCGCAAAGGTGGAGGCATGGCGCAGACGTCGGCGATGTGTGGTGGGGGAGTACAACAACTGCAGGAACCAAGCAGCAGGGGAAGAGGGAGGAGAACTCTTACGCAACGACGGCCGTAAGACTCTGGGCCTGTGCCTGCCTTGTGGGTCCAGGAGCTGGGGGGGGAGGAGGAGGGAGAGGCGGACGGGCGTGATGATAAGCGCATCCGCAGACCAGCACACGCAGTCGAGAGGTTGCGTTCTGTGCTGTGTACTTACTAGACTTACTAGGAAAGTAAGTATGTACATACTAAGCAAGTACCGTCTGCGCCAAGCCCGTTTGTGCCAATCAGGGATTGCCCCTGCACGTAGGCAAGCGCGTGCCGGCAGTTGGCAAAGGCACGTGACCCAACCTTCACTGCCCATGTGCAGAAACAACAGGCAAGTGCTGGGCATACTTGGTGCGCGGCGGATTCTTTGCAGCGACGTAATGTATGTAAATAACTGTGTCCATGACATGCTGCTGGCCAGAGGAAGAAAGTATCGCCAATGCCCATGTGCAAGCACGGCGCCTGGGGGCACCATGGCGTGACGCTATGGAGAATTTGTCGGTGTGCTGGTTGTGCGCACATGCAGCTGAGATTGCTGGCCGAGAGTGCGACGGTGCTATGTGGTGTCTTATGCACGCCAGAACGACTCGTTCTCCCCACGCCCACGCTCGCATTCGCAGAGGCACATGACCAGGGGCTTGTTGTGTCCGCCGCGACAGGTAACTATGTACGTATGTACGTTTGTGTGTGCCATGTACAGTAGACGACATACATGCTTACGCAGATAACAGTTCCAGGGTACAGTACAGCAGCCCAGGCGCGGATGATGGCCCAGACTGTCGCAGCCCTTCTTCTTCTTCCGACGACGACGACGATGGCGATGACGACTCGGACGAGGCACTGCCATGCCCTGTTGCCATTGATGAGACGTGTAAAAGTCTTGAGTGAGGCGGGGTACTCGAGGGTCGTATCGTCTGGTGTCGTGTCGTGTCAAGTCGTTGTCGGTCACGGCATTCCGGCAGGGCTCTCTTCGGCTGTTTCACCTTGGTCCCAGGCGTAGGAAGATCTGCAGACAGGACCGTGATGACTTGTTGGCCTATGCCCGCGCGGCCAGTGGTAGCCTGTCTTACCTGATCCGATGCCTGTCACGATCCCCTTTAAACAGATCTCTTGACCTGATCACAGGCACCGCCATGGTGACATGCTGTGTCGTCTTGAGTGCACACACACACTCGCATCCCAGGCGAGACCGCCAGCCGATGTTTTGGTGCATACTCCTGCTGTCTGCTCGTCGACTATTATGTATCAACACACATGTACATAGTTAGTAGATATGTTCAGCGTGCATGCTAGTCCAACTCCGAGTACAATGCGCCGTGCCCGCCTGAAAAAAAGCGAGGCCGGCAAGTGTTCGGCACTAAAGAGCACAAATCCCCTCCCCGCCAGCGTACAAGGAAGGCAATTTACGCGTTGGGCCTAGCTTAGTCAGCTCCACACACAATCCTCACTTATCGCGACACCCACAGCAACAAACAACAACAACATCAACAAAAACAACGCCAACGTCGTCATACTAACGCGACCCGCCTCGCCAGCCATGTATGTCAGCAGCAACCTCAGCAAGCTGGTCCAGCCTCTCGTCCGAGTCGCACCGTGCTCTCGACGTCTCCTCGCGGCAGCAGGCATGGTCGGATCCTCCTCGGTTGCACAACAGCATGCGCCCGGCTCGTAAGCAAATTGGACCTCACTTCCTTTCTGGCACACCGGGCCTAGCGCTGGCCAGAGCAGCAACGCAGCAGATTTAACCGTTTATTTCGCTGCCTCACCCAATCAGCGCCCTCGTCCTGGGCCCCTGCGACGTTATATTGCTTAGGCCGACCTGTCGGGCCGCATTCTTGTGTGTGCTGAGGCCCAGTAGGCCAGCATGCGACGCCGGGCCTCCCCCGTCAATGATGCCCCTGTTTCCGCTCTCCCCAGCCACTAACACACGCCCAGGCGTTGTCGCTCAGCGGCAGATACCCATGTCCCTGCACTTCTTGAATGCCACTAACATGGTCGATGCGCACTATGCACCTTTCATCCTTCTCCACATGCTCTCCGCCGCTCGACCAAGCTGCCATGTACCTACATAGTGAGATCATCCCTACTCGCTCTCCAACCTCGCCGGCCTCAAATCCTCCACCTGCTCCCGTGGCACAAGATGGAACACTCCAGATAATGTCCCCCGCTGCCCATCTCCACCACCACGACCACCACGACCACCACCACACACCACGTTCCTTACCCGCTTCACTACACCTAAACGTCTTGGATCCCATACCACCGTCTGTCTCACGTGGGTCTGTGCCTTCCGCCAGCTCTTGCAACACCCATAGTCCCTGGCCACATCCTCGTCAGTCACCACACAGAGGCAGAGCCCTTTCATCAGCCCTCTTCCCGAGCTACCGTGGTCCGTGAACGCACTTGCATTGCCGTCTCTGTCCTAGCAAACAAGGCCGCTCTTCCTTGCTAGGTCTGCATATATTACTTTGGCTCTTATTGCATCTCGACTTCTGCTCTATCCTCGTTTGCCCCGCTAGTATTCCAAGCCTTGGCCCAGGTTAGTCCTTTCGCATCACCTAAGCCTTAATCCCCCCGTCCACTTCTAACGCCTCGTGCTCCAGTGGTCCCATAATACCTGCGCATAGACCACTGACGCGTCTTGTAGCCGTATTAACCACCTGCTCAATCCTTGGTCGTCTGCGATAGGCAACGCTCTCGCATCTTTCCTGTAACCTCAATGGTTGTGGGATTAAACATCTCTTGTCGGCCACCAGTCGAGACGCGCACAGTCCAACTTGCATTGACGACCTCGCCTGGAATCTTTCCGCGCTACCACTGAACTTGCAAGACATGTTTTCGTTCCATAAGAGCGATGTCTCACGGTCTCGACAGTCATCAATCGACTCACAGGCAACTGGAACACACCCCTCGACCTTTGCTCCGGACTCTTGGCAAGACCACCGTTCCACACCCTCCTCCCATGGTGGTACCCACTCGCCCGAACAACTACACAGATTCAACCCCGCCAGGCGAAGCTCCGTCTTCAACCTGAGATCGAGGAGCAACACTGCAACCTCCCTCACACCCTCACTATTGTCTCAATACGACATGGCTGACCATGATGCCTCGTGGCATGACTCACAATCAGGACATCCCAAGGCCCACCCTTCTACTGGATCGAGAAGATCATTGTTCAGAGGCAAGAAAGGAAAAAGACTAAGCGAAACTGGAATTGCTGGTGGTGACGATTATGAGGGAGATGCCAGTGAAAGGCGAACGTCGCTTCTACGAAAGGCTAGACGAAGTGGCAATCAACCTGAAGACAGTGGTAAGTGATGTGCTATCATCGCGTTGGCTTTCCAATATCTTACCTTTATTGCAGGCAGCCTGATCAGCCGCATCTCCAGTCCATTTGACTTTCAACATCTCTCACATACCGACCGGCACCAATTCGCCGCTCTTGAGCACACCGCCAATGAAAAGCTAGGTCCCGGATCTTTTCCAGGACGGACCTCGCAACCCTATCAGCAAAGCTCTACACCAACCAACGATTCTTACTTCAGCAACTTCTCTTCGGAAAACCTCAATGCAGTCGAAAACAGATCGTCAGTGACGTTGAGCATTGGCTCACCGCCTCGTAGCCCTGAAGCAACCTTTGCTGCTGACAACGCTCCGCAATTCTCAAACTCGCGACGACCACTCCGACTAGCAAGGTCGATAGAAAGCTTCTCCCAGCCTGGCGTCAGTCCTCGTAAATACAGTCTCACGACGCCACCTGTGCCAACAACCCGCATTCCCCTAGACCCCGCCTGTGAAGATAAGACGTCCGCTGCGCGCAGACTGTCTCGACACAAGCGAGAGTCTGGTATTTGGGACTCTTTCTCATTGTCTGCTGGAACCACTCCGGATCCTCTTCCAGAGATTGAAGAAGACACATCCTACTTTGGCCATGCTTTAACAACACCCGACGATTCTGCTATCCATGCAGCCACGCCTCCATTTAGCCCTAGTCTTGCCGATGTTGCTGAGGAACCAGAGCGCTTTGTTAGCCCAAGACCTGCACCACAACCACCTCTGAGAACACCAAGCTCACCAAAATTGTCGTATTTCGGATCATTCTCCTTCCAGAACCAGCAGTCGCCCCCAAGCAATCGGACGAACCCTCGAGCACAATTCGATGTCTCGCCAAGAGCAGAGCCTTCTCATTCGCGATCCTCGTCACAGCAGTCCGACACATTGGGCTCTGCTAACTTCGCCCGCAGAAGGTCCGTTCGAAAGCCCTCTCACCGTCGTCAATCCAACACGTGGCGCGCAATTGAGGAGTCATGGGAAGAAGACGTCGACTACATCTACGACAATGCGCTGGAAGCTGAATGCGACTTGGAGTGGGATCGTGCATCTGACCATGGCGCCGACGACGCACAAATCCCAGCCATTGCATACGCACACAACCATCGCGAGTCTCGAGTAATTCCTGTCGATCGCGAGAACCCTCTGCCTGTCAACTTCCGCTCTTCCTTGCTTGTCCCCAGCACAAACAGTATACCGGAACTTGACCCTACTTCTGCGATATCCACCTCCACATTCGGCACAGGACTACCTACCACGCCATCTGATCTTTACAGCGCCAGTCACTACGGTCATGAGACTGGCTTCATCCTCAGTCCCTCTCTGTTGGTGCCTCAGGAGTATAAGGATACTCGGGATGTCACCTATGAGGATCTCCTGGACGAATACGCTGGATCAGACCGTCACTTCCCAATGCTTGACAACGGCCGGAGCACCACCAGTTCTGCGCGCAGCAGCCACGTCCGGCTCAGCAGGCGAAGCTCGTATGATAGCAGCTTGATGTCTTCCATTCAAGGCTCTGGTCTCTGGAGCTCGCCTGTTCGTCGCTCAGCAAGCTCCGCAGGAAGTGTACCCGAACTGGTGCCTTCTCGGCGTAACCGAAAAGAACTTGGTGTTAGTCTAGTTGGGGATCAACTCTCTGAACAGATTGCATCCCTGCGTGAAGATAACGAGGACGATGATATCACCCCGCCAGGACATGCCTTTGAAGGACGGACCTTTTTCGCTTCAGACGACGAAGCGCCACAGGACGAGGTCCGATCCCCGAACCGCATCGAGACCGACGTTAAGACGTCTCTGGACCTCGCCCGCCGTGGCTCGCAGCGTGCTAATCACTTGACGGCCGACGAAGAGCTGGAGGCATCGCTCGACGTTGCTCGTCAGGACTCACTGCGCTCCAAGCGCACATCGGCGCGCACACACAAATCAGTCCTTTCTGATGGCGCAGCCAAACTTCTCGCTACTTCCTCCAATGTCGAGGAAAAAGCAACCAAGCCACGAAGCCGTGCAGCGACTACATCCCAACCCCGCTCGCCTATGCTCAGGCTTTTCCCCCAACCACCACGACCAGTATAAAATCTTGCTCGAATGTATTTACTACATTGCATTTCATCTACTCTACAGCCCAGGAGGCTTATGCGGTAGAACTAGCTACACTCATACCAGGCAGATACGATAAACCCCATACATTCTGTGTATATACTTACGACTTACGTTGTTTCCTACTCTCACGATCTACTAGCACATTTATCATTGGAAGATCACAAGGGTTGGGCGTTTTTTTTCCACTATCAGTCATCTCCTCCAGCACACTTGGACATTTCCTTTTTTGTCTTATTTCCATTGGCTCATTCCGAGTGCATTGTGTCGGCGCATCCCACTTCATTTCTTCGCGCTCTCCATAGATCTGTTTTGTCAAAGTTCGGAACCTAAACCTCATCCTTCCCTTTCTTTTGTCTACGGCAAGATGTTTTGTTTATATTAGAGGCACCAGGAGATAATCATTATTCGTGTTCAAGACGAGGGTCGAGGAGTCGACCTTGCTCGTTCGAGGACAGGTTGTGACGCTACGTCGCAAATTATATTGCATCACTTTAAATCAAAAATCAAACCATTACACTGATTAACCACCAGTAAACAAGCTTTGTTGATTACCTTGAACATTCAAACTGGATTTCTAGATTGACTTGCATGTGCACCGTGTGACGCGAATTGCTACTCACCCTGTTACAAATTTCCCTCTTGTTTGCGCCACTGTTTCAACGACTACTTGGATACGCGCCGTTTGATGACATCGGGTTGTCGCGTGAAACTCGTTAGAAAAACGGCAACCCACAATAGAGTTCACACTGGCTGAGTAAACAAGGGCAAACAGGCAAAAAAAGACGGACTGCTACGTACTACTGGGCTTTAGACCAACGTCTACTTACTAGCAGAATAAGTCCTGGAGCGATGCATCCACACGGACCGCCGCCGGTCTTGTAACCGTACCTTTTACGCCTTTTCCCACCTCCAAAAACGCCCAAACAAGGGAATTTGTTTACTATCGGACTACGTAGTGCTTGATTACCGCCTTGATCACCGTAGCCCCAACTCCCAAATACCACCGTCTAAATCAATCCAGCAACACGGACTTGTACTCGTATCCTGACAACTTGCGCGGCGGCTTTCTGTTTCGTAAGGGGCCACGTTGGAGGGGAAACAGATAGTAGTATCATATCATGTTATATCTGGCACGCAACGAAAATAGATGGATTGAAAGCTTTCTACTAGGTGCAACGACCAGGGATGGCCCCCGTGCTCAAGTACAAGCACCAAGCTACTATGTGCGAAAAAAAATCTGGGCGAACCGCTCAAAGTGTTTCCTTCTCCACACCCTTCCCCTTCTACTGGAGTTTTGACAGCGAACTAATTCTGAGGAACAAGGGGGGCGGGGGTTGCACGAACCCCCCGTTTTTTATGTTTTGTTCGACTGGGTAGGAAGGAAAGGGATGGCTGGTCGAACCTTTTTTTTTAAAGGCGCAGGTAAAAAGGCAAGATGGTTGAGGGGTGTTCCCTGGAGTTTGGGTGCCGAGGGTTATGCTTGTAGGTTGTAGGTTCTTAGTAGGAACTGAATAAGTAGCGTAGCAGGCATGTATGGGCCTTGATTCGTCGGGCTTTTTGCGATGGTAAGTTGGGATACTTATTGAAATGTTTAGGGTTGATGGTTGATTGGGGAGGTAGGAGTAGGAATGTGGTGGGATTGGGCTAGAAGGGGGAAGGGGGGTGTGGGGCTAGCGCCAAGGTTGTGGTCAGGTTAATGTTGGGATGATATGGAAGTGGAGGTGTGAACAAGAGGGAGAGAGAAGGTGGTATGGATGGAGAAGAGGCCTGAATAGGATGTTTCCCCACGTCCGGTGCGGTGCTGAGTAGCTGGGCGCACGGGTGGTGCGGTATATTTTTGTGTAGGCGAGTAAAGGCGACGATTGTCATGTTAACTAGCTTTGTAGTCTTATTCACCTTAAGCTTCTTAATCGCCGTGTCATTCTTATGTATCCACCCGCGGAGCCATTCTAACGTAATACTCATGCGCAAAGTGGGGATGTTGACAATCACTACATCGGAGGTACTATTTAGGAAAGAAATTGATCGAGTAAAAAAAGAACCGCGGAGATCCGAGCCGGGCGACAATCCGAAGCGAGAGGATCGTCCCGGTAAACAAAAAAGTAGGGTAGAGGAGTCAGGGCTATGGGATCCCAGTACGCTCACGTGTCATGCCGTTGTTGGGGAACAGTGTCCCTTATAGCACGCGTACTATAGGCGAGGGGCCCGGCGGGAATTGTATACTATCGGGTGCTAAGTGCTTGCTTGCTGACGTGTGGGTCGATCAATACTTATCTCTTTTTTATCCGGATCCTGCAGCCCGGGATCGACTGGCTGGTAGAAAATGTGGGTAGATGAGTGATGGATCCTTGGCTGTGAAGCGAGTATGATCCTGGGATTTGGGTGCATCGGCGACCGCGCGCGCGTGCGCTTGGATCTGTGGCGGTGTGCGTATGTGGAAATACGGACGTGAAGGAATATGATCGGTGTAGAAGTGTGATGGATTCGTATACGGGAAAATGCCAGGATTCCGCTGTAAAAGAGGGGGAAGGAGTAGGCTGAATGACCGAAACAGGCAGAAGGTGAAATGAACCTTTGTGTTTGTACTCCTCAAGTTTGCTTATTCAGGCTGTTTTTCCAGACGCCGCTTTGCTTCACCAACGAGGTTTTGACGTTCGATAATGGGTGCGTGGTCGAAGTTCTTGTCTGGAAGTGAGAGCATCTTGACTCGCGCATGGCCAGGCATTGTATCATCTTCTTCCAAGAACACTACAACAACAGCACTCTTTTCCGCAACATCCATTTGCTTCCGTGGCTTCTTGTCAGCTTTTGGGTCAAAGTCAACGCTGATGCCCGAAGAACGAAGATCCCGCGCAATAGCCATGCGTTGTGCGACCAGTCCAGCGCTGTTAGATGCAATGACGATCCAGACGTCGACTTTGCCTTTTTGAGCCGTCCCGGCATTCTGTTTTAGGCCTTTGAGTATAGCAAGGATCCGATCAATGCCAAATGATATTCCTACGCATGGGAGGTCACGGCTGCTGAACATAGCTGCAAGATTGTCGTACCGGCCTCCGGCAGCAATGCTGCCAACCGAAGTGCCTAACTGATTTTTCGCGACAACCTCGTATATCAGACCAGTGTAGTAATCCAATCCTCGAGCCAGCGATAGGTCGAATTGAACGTATTTGCCAACGACGTATGCATTGAGATACTGGAGGAGCAACTCCATCTCTTTCACACCCTGTTGTACGTCCTTGCTTGTCGACAACAGTGCATCTGATTTGAGGAACGCCAAAGTTGAGGTGATATCTGATGCTGTATCGCGCAGTACATATTCACCTAATTTAGCAGCGAGATCAGAATCCAGTCCTTTCTCTTCCATCTCTTTCTTGACTTCTTCCCATGGTAACTTATCGAGCTTGTCGACTGCCGAACTGATGGGCCGCACGAGAGCTTCAGGGACACCCACGGCTGTGAACATGCCATTCAGAATAAGACGGTGATTAAGCCTGATCACAATGGGTAATCCAAGGGCCTCGAAGACCTCGGCTGCAATGCAGACAACCTCTGAGTCTGGTACCATCAAGTCGCATTGGCCGGTGTAGTCAAAGTCGCATTGGAAGAACTCGCGCATACGTCCCTGCTTCAACGCTGGTTGGTCTCTTCGATAAACCTTACCGATTTGGAATCGCTTGATGGTTCGGATATTATTCATACCAAGCCAGCGGGCGAACGGCACGGTCAAGTCGTAGCGTAGGGCACAGATCTCACCACCCTGATCTTGCAAGTCATAGATCAACTTGGTGTCTTCCCCATATTTTCCAGTCAGATAAGTCTTTAATTCAAATGCTGGTGTATCTATTTCTTCGCCGCCGTGAAGCCGGAACACTTTGCGAATTTGGTCAAAGGTGTGGTTCCGTAGAGCGATGTCTTCTCCATGCCAGTCTCGAGTGCCTTTGGGCGTTTTAAGCTGTGGTGGCATATTTGGGGCTCTTTTATACTGGAGTACTTTTGGAATAGATGCCGAACGGTAAGCGCACTACAGAGTGTATGGGTTGAGGTGATGTGCCAGAATGCATGCGAAGAGGTGATGAGTCAAAATTTCAGGTTCAGTAGGTAACCTTGGCATCGTTGCGAGCGGCTGAGTGAAGACATTACAACTCAATTCATGGATCAATGAGGAGTAGCTTTCAGATTTTCCCATTGTTTCTATTCGTTTTGTCTCTTAACAACTGAACCATAAATCCTAGGTTCCATGATCGTTGTCGTGATAAACGGCTAACGGTTCGTATGCTCAGCATACAGGGGGGTGCGTTCATGTATCGATGTGAAGTATATTTTGGAAGGTTGACGAATTTCTGGGACTTTGGAGAGGAAATGTAATAGAATAGGATTGTCTCTAGTTTGGTCAACGCACAAACCCACTGTCAGCGAATGCACAAATGTGGTTGGACGAGCTAGTATGTCCAACCAGAGCCGGACGAGCCGAGTGCTCATGTCCGTTGGCGGACGACGTCATCCGTATCCTTTGCCACCTCCACTGCCAACCACCTCATACCATTTCTTTCAAAAGCCCAGGCATTAGCCCTATCCATCCCAAGATCTAGATCAGAAATTTACTCCAAAACCCATCACTATGGTCTTCCGGATAGGCCGCCTCGGGCCGCGAAAACTGCTTGTGCTCACATCCGCGGGCTTCCTGTTTGTTACATTTATCTTCCTTCTAACACCTATTATATCACCGCTCCCACCATATACTGGTCCCTACGAGGTGGGAATATTGGATGTCGAGACCCCAGTTGAGAAACGAGTCATACATGATGCGCTTCTCAAAGCCACCGGCGACAAGGCCTTTGAATTGGATACGCTAGCCATCACCTTATACTACCCTTCTTCATTGCCTCGAGCCCCACCTTCTCAGCGACCATGGGCTCGACCTTGGCTTCCGCAGCCTGTAGGACTTATTGGAGAGGGCTACGCGCGGCTTGCGGGGGTTCCCAGGCTTTCTTCAGTTTTCACATCTGCACTATGGCTGTTTGGCTCTGGCACGGTCATCCCAGGTGTAGTTGATGCACCCATCTTGTCAAGTGCCCAACATGTTCTGGGAACAGAGGGCGGTAGTGTTGCCGACTTTGAAAAGATGATGAGGGCTGCCGAGCAAGAGCATCAAGAACTGAAGCGTGATAGCGAGTCTGGTACTCTGCCCTGCATGGTGTTTACGCACGGCATGGCCGGTATGAGCCAGAGTTATGCGCACTACCTTGGCAGCATCGCAAGCCATGGATACGTTGTCGCTGCTGTTGAACACCGCGATGGCAGCGGCCCCGGCACAATCATCCACCATCCAGACGGAAAAGAAGAAAAGGTCTGGCACATGAAACTCGAGGACCTAGAAGCCAACCCGCCCATGACTGAGCTCGATCTCAAAGCCGCACAACTCAACTACCGCGAGGCAGAAATCAGCGAGACAATCAAGCTCTTCGCAAAACTCAACGCAGGCGAAACACCAGTCGTAAACCTCAAACCAGACTCTCCCCGCAACGCCCTCCCAGGCTTCAAAAACCGACTCAACCTCTCCGCCGTCACAGTTGGCGGCCATTCTTACGGCGCCACAGGCGCCATACAAGCCCTCAGATCCGCTGGCACAAAAACCATGCCCATCAACGGCGGCATCGCCCTCGACCCAGGCAAAGGCTCCGGCCCCCTCAACAAAGACATCGACGTGCCCCTCCTCGTCATGCAAAGCGGCGAGTGGACAGAGAAGCAAACCGAGTTTTACAGCCAAGGCTGGCACTTCAACGTAGTCAAGAACATTGTTGATAGCGTCAAGCAAGGCTGGTTCATGACACTGAGCGGCACTGCGCATCCCTCGTGCACCGATGCACCGCTCATTGTGCCGCTGATTATGAAGCTGGTGTCTGGGACTACGCTGGATAGTAGAACGGCGCTGCACGAGTATATTGATGCATCGGTGGCTTTTCTCGAGTACTTGCGTACGGGCGAGAAGGCGGGCGTGCTAGGGAGTGCGGTGACGAATGCGAAGGGCCCGTTTTTGGAGGGTGCGAAGAGGGAAACGGTTAAGGGGCCGCATGGGGCAAAGTGGGAGGTGCATGTTGTGCCTAGCGACGACTAGGATGTTTGTTTGTTTAGTTGGGAATATTGGCGTAATGACTTGGTGTACGAGTGTAAATGTAATACTATTTTCTTTGAATCTATGGGTTATTTTTCCCGGCACTGTCCTTTGTGATTCCCTTCGTTCATTACAAATTCAGTTCTATCCTGCTTCAAACACATCACTCACTCTGCGTGATTTCAAGCATTTTCCTTTCCGATGCCACGAGAAATATGCTCAGATATGAATAGAAATCAATTGACTAAGTAAAACCATCTTACACAGAACTACACATTTTTAAAGGGCATTATGATGCAGGGCTAAACCGAGACAAAGGCAAGATATGATATGGAGAGGAGGTCGAGGGTATAATACTGCAAATGCACAAGGTAGGCTCGAATATGCAGGGCAAACTGCCAACAAAGTCTTAGAAGATGCGGGGGAAAGGAAAAAGAAGAAGGAAAAAGGCAAGGTCACCGACCCCAAAACCCACTGAAGCGGTTATTAGCACCCCTCCCGCCTGCTACACTGCCCCCACCACCACCTCTCGGCCTAGGCTGCGGCTTCCTTCGCTTTTCCAATCTCTTACAACTAACATCTGCCTTGACCAACATAAAACTCTGGTCAAAAACGTGTCCATTTGCATTTCCGCATCTCTCAAGCGCAGGCGCAAGTGCAAGCTCTACTCTTCGGCCGCGGGGGTTATCACTGCTGCCGTAGCCACCGCCCATGTCGTCCGAGTCATCGTCGTAGACGTCTTCCATTTCGCTGTCGTAATAGCCGTAGCCCCAGTACTGATCTTTCTTGCCGCCGGTAAAAGTGACAAAGCGGTAGTCGGCGCGCTGACGCTTCATTTTGAGATCTAGGGCTACGGACGCCGAGACGATTGTTCCTAGTTGCTCCTTGCCTGTGCTAAGGGAGCGGGTAGCCCATGGGCGTAGCTTGTGGCGCATGCGGCTGCAGAAGCGGGATATTTGTTTTAGCACGGGTGTTGCGTCAAATGTAGGGCGCCATTTGCCGTCGACTTGCGGGACGAGGAGGTTCACGGTCAGCGAGCGCCATCGGTGGTACTCTTCGGCTTCGGCTTCGTTCTTGACGGCTGTGCATCTGTTAGTGTCACATGTCGGGTGGAAAAGATAAGAGACCGTACCCTTTCGTAGCGTATCATTAATATCTCGTAATTTCTTGTCGCCCAACTTTCCTGCCCAAACGTATCCACTCCCTTTTTGCCAATTGTTGAAAATCTTTTGTTGTAACCGCATCCATACATATGCTTGTATAAGAAGGGGCCGGTCTTCGGGGTCCTTTAGATAGACGTGGTAGTTGTCGGTGAGGTTCCCAAAGAGCTCTCCCGCTCTAGTAAGATAGGGTCGCTTGCTTGAGGTTTTGATGGGACCGCTAAAGTACTCTTCACTCCAATTGCGTATCTCGTGGCGTAGCGCGAAGAGCTCCTCTATCAGTGTATCCTCTTCTGTCCTGTACAGCTTGGAGCCTCTGGTCGAGGTGCCATTAGCACCCATGCTCTTCCGCTGTAGCTCCTTCCTCAGCGCATCACGCTCTTTTGTAAGCTGGTAGAAGCGCTGGACCAGCTCATCTTGGCTGTTCCCTCGCGATGCGCTCTGCCGTGACGGGCTCTTGAGGGGCACATTCGGGCTGACTTTTCCGCCAGATCGCTGGGGACGGGGTGATGGGGTGCTTGAATCTTCTGAAGATGATTCTGCCGAGGTGGCTGTAATCTTTTCAAACATCGATGGTGGTATGTACTGCGTCTTTCGTCTTTGCCTGGGGATCAGGACTTCCTCGTCGGACCACTCGTCGCCTACTTCTGGGAACGGATAGCCCTGCTGCTCGGTGGGAGGCATGTCGTCGGAGGATTGGGATTGGGAGGATGGAGGGTGAATGACCTCGGCGGAGGGGCAGGTCAGTTTGAGCGACTTGAGAGTAGAATCGCGTACGTCTATAGATGCGGCCAGGTCAGCAGGTTATGCTATGTGTATAGCCCAACAGCTCCAATGCGCACCGCACCACACGCACCAGGAGAAAGAGTGGCCATGTCAACGAAGGGCGAGCATCTTGTTTGGAATAGCAATAGCAGTAGCAATAGTGTCGCGGGCGGTGAAGCTGTGAGGGCGATGTCAGTGTGCACTCGCAGTCAGGGTCAGCTGCGACGATTTGCAGCGGGGCCGGTGAATTGAACCAAGCAGAAGCATGCAAGATGCAAGATGCATTGTTGGGCACGCCCTCGGCCAGGACGAGAGAGGCCGTATGGCCAAGGCAAGCTTTTGCAGCTGGCCGGTCCCAGCCTCTCTGCTCGACAGGAGCCCTGGCGGTTCGGCGCTAACCACTCAGCTTCCAATGCGACGGGACAAGCTGTGTGCATTCACACCAGTGACGTGTGATGGCCTGGGGGATACATGCAGGCGGCGGGGACAGGAGAGACAATCGGGTAAGGCGCGAAGAGCGCGAAGAGGCTGGGGCGTCATCCGCTTCTCTAGCCTGTTCTTTCTTCACCACTCCCCCTGTGACCATGCAGTCGACCCAGCCCACGTGCTCCCTTCAAGTACCCACGTCTTATCACTACCCAGCCCAGCTTCCATTCACAGCTACATGTCACTCTCCTCTGCCAGGCTATGCAGTGACATTGCGTCCACATTGCTTGCAAAACTACTACTCTCGGCCAAGCTCAACCTTTAGTCCGATGCATCAGCCACCACTAGGCTCGCCCCGCGCAGCCTTCACTCTCTAGCTGGCCCACGCTAGGTTCGTGCCAACGTCATGGCTTGAGACGATAGGTGCTTTCTTTGTCCTCTTCTCTGCCAGCTGTTTCAAAGTGAAGTGGCGCTACATGCTTAGCCCTAGCAGCTTCGAGTGGCCAGGAACATAGACCAAGAACCATTGGATATGCTTCACCAAGTACGCTAATACCAACGCTGACACGCCATCCGAAAACGGTCGAAAAAGCAACCCCACTTATTGATTTTGATATCTGCAAGCCACCAGGGGATACGTTCAAGAAAGAAAAAGCAAGAAGACCCCCCGGCACGGCAGTGTTCCGGCATTCGTTGTCGAGGGTTTCCATGGTAGCATGCTGCTGTGATGACGTCCCATTGCTCTGATCTTCAGATACGACAGAATCTAGACTGCGCCCGAGGATATGAGGGTCATCCGTACCATGTTTACGTGTTTCTTCCCTGGCACTTTGCCGCAAAAAGAAACTGTGTTGCAAACAATCATTGGTAATATTCAAAAATTAGTCTACTAAACCTGAATGCTAACAGAAACATCAAAGACACTCAACGCCATTGTCTAAACCCAGTAATAATGCAACACTCCCCCACCCTAGGTCATGTTTCGAATCACTTCTCACATATTCATACTACTATTCGTTAGCCGATCATTCCTCGAAAGAAGCGCGGACATACTCACTTTATACAGATGGTCTTTGCCTCCAGATAACTCATCACACCCATCTTTCCACCCTCTCTCCCAAGCCCACTCTGCTTGGAGCCACCCATGGGCGCCTCAAGACCCGCATGCTGCGATGTATTGATATTCACCATGCCTGATCGAATCTTCTTGGCTATCCGCAGTGCCCGCGGCGTAGAGGCTGTGAACACGCAAGCAGACAGGCCATAGTTGGTATCGTTTGCCATACGAATCGCCTCTTCCTCCGTCTTGAATGTGCGGATACTGATGACTGGCCCAAAGATCTCTTCGCGATAGATGCGAGCATCATCGCCTGGGTTGAGGAAAATGGTCGGCTCGATATAAAACCCGCTAGTGCCTTTTCGTACTCCGCCAGTGACTAGTGACGCTTCTTTCTTGCCGATCTCGATAAATTCCATCACACGTTCGAATTGCTTGCTGTCAGCCAGTGGGCCGTACATGATACCCTGCTGCTCTGGGTGTCCCATGATGTTGCTGAGTTGCTCGAAACGGATCTTGAGCTGTGCAATGAAATCGTCAACAATGTCTTCTTGCACAAAGGTACGACTGGCTGCGACGCAAGCCTGGCCGCTGTTCATGAGAAAGTTTTGGCTGTGGTGCTGAAGGGCGTTTTCCATGTCTGCATCTGCAAAGATGAGTGATGGTGATTTTCCACCAAGTTCGAGCGTGACACGCTTGAGGTTGCTGGATGAAACATTAGTATTGGACTTTGTGAACTTGATCAGATCAAGCAACATACCTCTGAGCCGCGAGCTCCTGGAACTTTTTGCCTGCAAATACGGAACCAGTAAAGCCGATCTTGTCAATGTCCATGTGACTGGCCATAGCAGCGCCCACTTTTCCGTCTCCCGTAATGATGTTGATGACACCCGGTGGAAAGCCGGCTTCCTTGACCAGCTCGCCTACTTGAATGAGTCCAATAGGAGTCTTCTCAGACCCCTTGTAAACAATTGTGCACCCAGTAGCCACAGCGGGCGCGACCTTGAGCGCAAAAAACATCATAGCACCATTCCAGGCTCCGATACCCGCACACACTCCAACAGGCTCATACTCAACAATCTATCTCCCTATTAGCATATCCTTGAGAGAAAGAAAAGTCAAGAATCCAACAAACCTTGTAAATTCCATCAACCTCCGGCCACTGCTCTCCAGGCACCTTGTCCGTCCACCCCGCCATGTACCTGAAATAATCCGATGCAATCTTGTACATCCACTGCGTAATCATGACCGGCTGGCCCATACTCTTTGCCTCCCACGCACACAGGTCTATGGTGTGCTTGTCGATCAAGTCGGCAAAACGGTACATGACTTGCATGCGCTGCTTGGCTGTCCATTTGGACCATTCGCCTTCGTATGCGGCTCGGGCTGCTGCGACGGCTGTGTCTACGTCGGCTAGGGAGGCAACTTGAACGCCATCTAGAACCAGGGATTCGTCGTGAGGGGAGTGGATTGAGAGGGTTTCAGTGGAGGTGGAGTCGATGTACTGGTGGTGTTAGTTGGGTGGATGGGGGATATGTATCTGAGGTTGATGTACTTCATTGTTGATGAAAAGGCCTTTTTGAACCATTTTGATTGGTGTGTATAGTATTTTGTTGGGGCTAGGATATGTACTGTATGGTTGATGTTTATGCTCGAGGATACAAGTTTCGCTCTGGTGGTGTATTGTGACTTGTGAATTGTGAGTTGTAAGCTTCAAGATTGAATGCATCTCTTTTTCACACGGACAACAGCTATTATATACATATTCAAATACAACCCTTAACTCAACTACAGCTGTATTCGGTGATCCTGTAGGAGTTCCACCAGCGGAATGGTGCCTGTTGTTTACCTATTCGGGCTTAGCCGGTGGAATTCCACGGCCAGCAATACCAAGTGTAGTACTAATCGAGTCTAGCTTCCTCTCCGCCCACGAACGAGCCAATAGAAATGACTTGTTCGTAGGATTGCAGCGCCCAAGTGCATACATAGATTACATGCGTCTGTTGGCGACCAATTTTCGCGTACAGTGAGCTGCGCCCAGGCATCGCTGACTTTGCAGAGAGATGTACAGGTGTGCAAGGCGTTTTGTGCCAGCTCATGCGCGGCTTTTGTACGGACGAAAGGCAGATGTCTGTTTTTGACCGGGGGGGGGGGGCATGCTAGTCTAGAACTTAGCATCATAAGCACGTTACATCTTAAATTTAGACTACCCGTCGGGAGGTCCGGATAGTCAGCGATGACGCAGCATGTGACAGTAAGGATAGTTGACAGATGTATATACACAGCGATTACAACCCTGCTGGATGAGACCATCAAGTCTACTTTTGCAGACAACATACTTTGCACCTGGAGATCTCTCGGAGGCCAAGAGATGACGAGGTACGTGGCAGTCGTGTTCTATGCTTCAACAAAGTTCATACTAGGTAGGGTGCTGCCTTGGCGACTATTGGCTACCGTTATATGGACAACATCGGCTGTAGTACGAATTTGACGGGTTTAGAATGGCGATCAGGTCTCAGGGGTGCCCAAGTGACATGCAGGGCATTCAAAGTTTTCCAGTTTGAGGCACATGCCGAGGGATAAAATGTTGTTCTAGTTTCTACTTAGGGCCCAAGCCGAGAATGGAGCCTCAATGATCCGCGCTCGTCGTCACATTGGCTAAATTCGCTACGCAAGTGGGGCGGTGGTGCATGCTCGACATCCGGCGCAGCGGGGCTATTTCTTCCCCGTCCACCGACCCACGCCTCTGAAAACTTTAGGCATTGCGTAAAGGACCATCCTTCATTCTTGTACGGTCATGGCCGATACCAAGGGCGGCGCATTAGGCCACTCACCAGGCCCGACGGGCAAACAAAGCGGAGGCCGCCCACGAGTGATTTCATCCTGTTTAACATGTCGACGAAGGAAAGTCAAATGCGACCATGTCCATCCTGTCTGTGGCTCCTGTACTCGAGGCAACCATGCTTGCACCTGGACAGATCAGGTTCAGGCACCCACTGCTACTGGAAGGATATCGAAATCTACCCTAGCGACTGGCGGAAAGGGCGGAAGAAGTAATGATGTTCAAGCCCGGCTGGATCGACTCGAGTATCTTTTGGAAAAGGCGGTCGCTGGACAGGGGACTAACTCAGCATCATCTCTGCGCTCCAGCGTCGACCTTGAGAGAAAAGAGATGGACGTTTCAACCCCGTCATCCAGCAGTCAGACTTCCCAAGGAGCCGGTATTACCTCTGACAATGGCGACGGGACACTTTTGCTGAATGGTGGACAATCCCAGTTCGTCTCATCTCTGCATTTCGCATTGCTTGCTGACGAGGTAAGTAAGGCGTTGCCATTTTTGTCTCTGTGTAATCGCCCTTCAGCTCGAGCAAGCATGTGCTGACCCTTGTTAGATTCAAGACATCAAGGCTTTGCTAGGCGATAAGACTGATGAGGAGAGAAAAGAAGTTCCACAAAGCAGTTTAGTCGATCTACTCTCACTGGGCCGCGCGGGCGCAGGCTCCAACCTTGAAAACTTACTACCTAGCACCCAAGAGCACCGCGATATCCTCTTGGACGTCTATTTTGCCAATGTAGACCCTATGGTGAGGATCACGCATAGACCGACAGTGATGCGCAAATTTTTCACATATAACCATGAAGCACATCCTATTGCCTACGCCATCTACTTCTCTGCTATCAATTCACTGCCTCCTAAAATTGTCCAGACCAAGTTTGGCGAGACCAAGGAAGCCCTTCTGGACAGATTCCAGCTGGGCGTTGAAATTTCCCTCGCAAGAGAAAACTACCTAACAACATCCGATCTTGAAATATTCCAGGGCTTCGTACTATGGCTGACGTGCATCACAAGAGAGGAAGATATGGGTAGGCTTATAAAGCATTCGTCGGTATACTAAGCTGACATGAAAATTAGGAAAAGCATGGGTGTTGATCGGCATAGCTTTTCGTATCGCTCTGAATCAGGGATTACACCGAGATCCATCATTATTTCCCGCAGGATCAATGGACGCCCTCACTATTGAACAACGCCGCCGCATGTGGCATCAGCTTGGACATTTAGAATTTCGTGCGGCTGAATGCAAAGGTCAAGAGCCAAGCATAACTGAAGACTTTTACACAACGCTGTTTCCCCGGAATATCGATGATGAAGTACTTGTCGATGGAGCAAGTCCAGGCCAAGCTCCATACAACGAGCAGAAGTTCACATCAATGACGTTTCAGCTAGTCCGATTCAACGGTATGCGGGCACTGAGGCGCATAGTCCAAAGCACATATCGTTTAGAGCGGCGAATGCTAGATTCTGGGCTTCATGGAACCTCTCGGCCAGACCCTGCGCAGGAGTTGCGGGATCTTTATGATCAGATCAAAGTCATGCTCGATGAAGTACACGAAGAGACTCATCGGAAGTACTTGCAATTTCTCAATCCGGAGATACCAATGGAGCGATTGACCTTGGGGCTGGCTTCGCTACTCGAATGGCGCGCTTACTTATTTTTCTGGCTCCGTATGCCGCGTGCGTACCGTGACGACGTCTTCTCCGATGACATTCGCAGATCGTATGTATCTCCAGTTGAATCTGTCTTGTTGAGAGCTAGTAGAGACTAACGGTTTAGGATATTTGAAAAATCTGTCAACTGCGTAGAGACAATTAATGGAGCGGCTGCGGATGTTGATGCCGCTCGTTTTCAGTGGCACATTGGTATACCGACCCCCTTCTCGTATTTTCAAAGCTAACAAATCAAGGCGCCATTGCTTCATTCCAAGCTATTATGCACATTTTATCCGAGCTACGCAACCCCCTGTTCGATGCACCAGACCGGCAACGTGCCTTGCGAGCGCTGCAAATGTCGCGCATTCTTCGAGCAAACAACAACGCGAAGGCATGGCAGGCTGTCAAGAACATGATTGACAAGGCTGTAGCCGAGCACACCCTTTCGCCCAGACCCCAAACCCAACCCTTGAATGCGTACATGAGCCAGCCTACACCTGCGTCTGCGACTATGTCTGCTCCCACGTCTACATCCACGTCGATGTCAACGCCCACATCTACGCCCATGTCTGCAACAATGCCTACGCTTCCATTGGGTACTATACCAAATAGCAACATAGGACCATACCAAGCAATGGCGGAAATACCTGCTTATGCTTACCAACCCAGTTCCATGACGTTCAATCAACCGACACTACTACCACAGTCTCAGCCGCTCCCCCAACCACCACCAGTACAACCTCAACCTGACTTGATGGATTCGACATCAAATTTCCAAAATCGCGCCCCAGTCTGGGACGACATCAATATAAACAACATTAACAACATCGTTGGAGATATGCAACCAACTACCAATGTCATCCCTGAATTCGATTTTGTAAGTTTCATAATATAATCCGGGGGAAAAGGGCATGATTACTGACCAACTCAGGGTTTCTGGGGTGACCCCTTCAACTATGAGAACGAGCCTGTTGCAATGCCAATGCAAGATGGCTATTTTCCTCAATGGACAGCAGGAGTTTGAATTACGTTAGCGAATGACATACTACCTTTTTTCTCTCTGCCTTTCCGACCGTATGCAAGAGCAAGTATCATGAGCTTGGCAGATCGTATTCCAGATTAAAGCTCCGCTTAGCTCCGATTAGCAATGGTCTTTTCAAGAATTCCACCCTAATCAGTACGGCGAATTGGAATACCGTCCCAGCTGGCCGGCCGTCCTATAATACGCTTTCCCACAAGTTCGCGCTACAGAATCTCCCCAAATAGCCATGGACATGTCGCTATATCACCGGGAAGAAAGCAAACGAGTGGAGTGGAATACGAGATCAGAACACCTGATACCTACTCTCCGGTTCTAAGGCCATGTTCAACGCTAGCCAAAAAAAAGGTTGACCATAGGAGGGTCTGGGCCATCATCGACAAAAGAATGTCGAGAAGACTTGTACCACTTTCATTATTGCCAATAAGCACTACACATGCTTTGGAGGAAGAATTGCACTGCACCTTTTCGCAGTAAGACAGTTGTAATTGTAGCAGGCTCGACTACAAGTGGATTGAGCATTCAACCGAGCTTTGGATGTATGCAAACAACTCCCTATTTGGAGTTAGCTTGCATATACTTTATTTTTTGCAAATAATACCTTTACCATTCAATATACGAATTAGAATATTAGAATATTATTGATCCACCATCACCATTTCTACCAGCCACCATGTACACTTTCTTAACTTGGCACTTCAATACCTCAACGTACACTACACGGCACTTCGATATTCTTGGTACTCGCATACCCAGTCCACCTAACCGCTCGACCTCTCTTAGCTAAAAAAATGAAAACCAGCACTGAAAGCAAAGACACCCTAGAGTTCCAAAAGTCCAGCTCATACCCAACACCCCAACCCGGGCAACCCATCTTCAATCCCAACATGGTACATATCAAACCCAATCCATCTCCCAAGCTCCCAAGCTTTTATCCACTTTGACCCCCCCTTTGATATAGTCGATACACGGGTGTGACAACACTTCTATGTGCCATTTCCATTTCCCAGTCCCTAAAAATATTTTGCGTTGTTTCTATGAATACAGACTACAAGACATAACAAGAGACGTAATACAAGAAGTGGCGAAGATAAACTGAAAGGCGAGGTGAACGGATACGAATACTAAGCTGGGGAATGCAAAGGTTGGGCGGCTACTAACCAATGTAAGGATTTCAGCACATGAATAAACCAGGCTAGTTAAGGCAGCGTAGTATTTTGTGGCACACAGACTGGTGTGACAAAATCTTCTCAATATTCTATAGATATAGTAAGAAAACAAACTACAAAGGGTTAGGTAGTAAAAGGGGATGTTGGGGTTAGAGATATGCATATTGATCGAATAGGCACATGATGGCTGGATTTCCTCTAGCAGCAGCCAACTCTCTCGGCGTAGCTTGGTCAAAGTCTAGTAGTGAGTCTTGCTTTGCGCCGCGACGCAGGAGGAACTCAACCATGGCTTCTTGGTCGTGCCGCACCGCGATGTGGAGGGCGGAGCTAATGATGTCTGCGTTGTAGCTATCAGACATGTTCCAGCGGAAAACTTCGTTCAGGTTAGTACCTAAGTCGAGTAGTAAGAGCGCCCTGTAGGGCCTTAGAGTCTTGTACATTGGCACCATGGCCAACGAGGAGGCGCGTGAGCGATGTCGATTGTAACAAAGCTGTCTGGTGGAGTAAGGTGATAGGTGGAAAAGCATATTGGTTGTTCGGGTCAGCACCTCGGGTAAGTAGGAAGCGTACGAGGTCTAGTTTGCCGCAGAGAATGGCTATACCATGTGGTGACCCTAATCGCTCTACCTCGTAATTTAGGCCTATACTAGCATCTAATAGCACTTGCATTGCGCTGGTCATGCCCCCTGTAGCAGTCTGATATACAACGTAGCTAGACATGAATGATGCGCGCTATTCCTGAGGGATGGTGTCTAGTGGGGGCTTGATTAGAGGTTGCTAGGGGCCGCGATTGCCCTGCCAGTGATGTTGAGGAATGTTGGTGATGAGATGGTGAAGGGCGTTTGCATGACTATTGTAAGCGGCAGTTCCTATTGCCATAGTTATAGCTGGATTGATTTCTTTTATATCGGGGATAGCTAGTAGGCGAGTGGTGCAGGCCTTGATGTCTGCTGATGCGCCTTGTTTGCAAGCTTGGAGTAGAGCTCGACCTGCGTTAAGGGCAACCATGAATGCGCGTATTCCTGTCAAGAAAGAAGGATATGGAGGGCTTATGCAGGCAGCGGTTTAGATGGGTGGTAGATAAGGTGGGATGGTTATGACATTTTTGTGGTTTGATATGTAGTGTGTGTGTGTGTGTGTGTTGGAGGATGACACTTCCTAGTCTGGTAGATGAAACTTAATTCGTTTCGAGGTATAGATTTCCTCTTGGTCTTGTGTTTATAGTTTAGAGTGAACTACTGGCACCAGCAAACCACTGCTGACTAACATTGACTATCTCTTTTCTTTTCTTGTTGTCGATTCACCCCGCAATAACATTCACGATACGCAGACTTGAAAGGCGATCAAAAGAATAAGCAGTAGGCCGAAAAGTTTCATGAGTATTGTACAAAGTAGCAGTAGCTCCTATCCGGGTAATTCCGAAATTTATAGTCCGATATGCCAGTAGCGACCTTTAAATAATCTAGACACCAAATGGCACCACGAAAACCATGCAGCCAGCCTACTCATCCTTGACACCACCGCGTCCAGCGCGCTCAGCAGCCTCAATGCTCTTCTTATCCGTCTTGATCTCACCAGCACCCATACCCATCATGCCACCGGCAGCCTTCCACGGCCTAGCCAGGTCACCAGTCGCCGGCTGGCCAAACAAATGAACCTTGACGAGGTTTCCCTCGAACGCGCCCTTGAGGGGGATGATGGACTGGATGAGGAGCGGGTTGGTATATTTGAAGTAAAGGTGCATAACGCACATCATGCCGACACCCATGGCCTGGGCCTTGAAGAGCTCGCGCAGCTTGCCAAGATCGTACGCCTTGACGGTTGTAGCGACGAATTTGGGTTCCTCGCCGGATCCCATTGGCGGGGGCTCGACGTATTTGACGACGGTCATGTCTGCGCCGTATGTGTTAGCCTGCTTCCTCCTTATAGAAAGTGTTTGCGATTGTGAGGCGACGCACCGTTCTTCTTGTTGATCTGCGTCTGGACGTAGAGATAGATGCCCGCGATGATCAGGTTGGAGACAATGTAGAGTGCGCGCACGCCGTTGAGTACGTTGGGGTCATCAAAGGGAATCCTTTTTGAGATTTGCATAAATCCCCTGCATACGTGTTAGAGTTTTGGTCTGCTGTGTATGCGAAAAGGCTAGGGCGGAGCATACAGGATGATGACCAGGTTGGAACTGCGGCGAGGATTAGCAAACTGTCTTTAATAGCCTCGGAGACCGGGGATGCATACATTTGTGGGTTGATCGCCATTGTGAGAGTCGGGGTAGATGAATTAAGGCGGCTAGGTAAGGAGCACTTCGGCAGAGGATTATAACAAGTCCTGAAAGAGAGGTGAGGTGTTGTGGCGCGAAACGTGGGAGAGAAGCCGAAGGGATGAGCGGGCGACTTTTGTGGTGGGCGAGGATAACCCTAGCGCGCGACCCAAAAGGCCAGGTTGCCGCCGGCGGGTTAGCCTCAATCGGATTCACCCTTCTAGGCTCGTCCAAAGTCTTCTCAGAACACATCCCTAGTTCACAACGGCATAGCGATAGTTTCCTTCGGTACAACAAGTTTCATTAGTGCAGCAAAAAATGTCGAGATCTGGCCGACTGCCAGCGCTCTGGCTCTACTTGAATTCAGGGTATCTTATCTATAATAGTCCTGTGGATGTGTATGCAAACCAACGCCTATTTGACACCCTTGGTACCCAATCCACATGAACCCATGTTTGTTCCCGAAACGCCACGCTAAAATATCAAAAACTCCGGTGTCAACCTCATAGTCACCCCTGTCCCAATGCAACCAATGCCCAACCAACAACCAGACCTTGCAGCAATCACATAACAATGCATTCGCGATCCGGCCGGGTTTTTCCCTTTGACTTACCTTTATCCAAGACTGCACCAGGCTCTCTACTCTTACTCCTCATCCTATCCTTCTTCTCCTTTTTGCTCTTGCTCCGTGAAATTCCAGACTCTTTCTTTTCTTTGACCGGAGACAGTGATTTTTGACTGCCCTCAGGGCTTGTGGCTTTGTCAATCACGACACTAAGTTCATCGCCAACACTGACACCCTCTGTCGTGATCGGCTTGTTGTTGCTACCTCGGCCTGTCAACCGCGACAGAGTAATGGACAACCGATTCTCGCCACTTGGACTCCCCGGTCGACTTTTGCCAGCACCGGACATCCATATGCGTGAGCCGCGCCGGGAAACGGATAGGAAGCCGGTCTTATCTTCAGCTGGGGTTGTCGGTTGGGTTCGGCCGCGAAGGCTCCCCTCGCCGTCGTCAATGGTTATGCTGCTCCGCCAATTACTGGAAGTGCTGTTCCGACTGGCTGGCTCGTCTGTGCGATTTGGTTCGGTATGTGCATCGGGCACGCTAATCTTTTCCCAGTCGCCAGTAGTATCGACGTCTATTGTGGTGGTAGAGGGCAGAGAGGCCAGCGTTTCACGGGACGGATCTACAGACGGGATTCTGGACTGCGCCTCTGTGTAGGTTGGGGGATCACCTCTGGAAGCCAGTTCTTCATCAATAGGCTGTACTTGGTAGAACAAGAGATACGGCGACTCCTCGTGCAGAGCTTGCTCAATGCTGACCTCAGTGACTCGTTGGCTTGATAGATCATCAAACCGTAGCCATTTCGCTTCTTCTTCGTCAGACTCGGAATTGGCAGTTCCGGGCCTCCCACGAGCATTGGCACGAACAAGTGCAATGTAATGTCCAGAGTCCACCGATACACCTCGATGGCAGACGACTGATTGTAACACTAGCTTGAAATTGCCAAATAATGGGCCCTCTTCTTTCATTCTTTCGTCGGAAATGAAATGGGGTAAGCCAATGTCAAGTGGAATGTCGATATATGTATCGAGGCGCTTTGGAGTGCCGTTTGAGTTCATGGTATATCGCTTCAGACATATTCCAAGAACAGGGCGTTTTGCGGAGAAATGTGCTGCAACCTGAGCATCTGACCTTGGCACGTTGTCCGTGTACCATGCTACCAAAATTGTTAGTACTACAGACATTGGCGGGAAATTTGGCTTACGGATTAGACTGAAAAACTGCCATGCTGGCATGAGAATCTCCTTCTTAAGTAGAGAAGCTGAGCGGGGTCGGCCGCCAGAGCTATTGTCTAGCATATCCTCAACATGCTTCTTCTCGTCGAACATTTGGGCTTCAGGGGGCTGGCGCAAGTAGCGCTTACCGAAGATGCTATCAGCACGGCGGCGGCCTTCTAGCTCAGGTCGAACTGGCGCCACAGTGGTCGTAGGCTCCAGCGATATGGGAGATGCGATGATTGGAGTCATGGGCGCATCCACTTCTGTAGTTTCGATGTGTATCGACTCGTTTTTCTCAGGATCCTTGCCTGTGAATTCATCCCTGGTTGATCTTATAGAGGCAATCGTATTCTGCCGTTGCAGGTAGCGCTTCACCTCGATTCTGTTGTTGAAATAGGTCTCTAAGCAGTCCTCGAGCGTAACGATGCGACCCTCTTCTGGTTCTGGGATAGCAACTTCCAGGAGTCGTTCGTTTACAAACTTGTGGTCGTCTTCTTTATCTTCACGCCCAGTATGATAAATGTCCATCTTTAGGGTAAGGAGTGGCAGTTCAAGCGCGCCTGTGATGAATGTAAAAGCTTCGGATGCGTCCTGCTGCCGCACTTGCGCCGCATCTTCCCAGCCACATCGTGCGAGCGAATCCTGAAGATGCTTGGTCTGTGATGGTCATTAGTTACGAAAGTGACGGTGGTGCGGATAGACCATACCAGGTCAACTCTGATGAGCTGGCCTGTGCGCAACAGGTTCACCCATAGTCTCAAGACGGCGGCCAGTTTTTTCCGGGGCTCATCCTCGAAATTATCGTACAACATGGCTTCAAAGCTATCAAGACGCGCAAACATGGCAAAGAGGAGCGCATCTAGATAGCATGTCACCATATTCCGATTGATGGCGCCCAGCATGGGAACGTTAGGGTTATAGTCCTTCAGTTCGCCCTCGAGCGATTCGTTGGCAAGGACCAGGAGGTCGTAGGCCTTGTCGAGGTCATCCGGGTACCAAGCGAGGGCGTGTTCAGCCTGTTCCTCTGCCATCTTTGTTATACCCGAGCCGTGTAGTCGGGTAAGCAGCATCTTGACCTGTACATGGTCAATCGGAGTGCGTGCAGTCGTGTCTCTTGACGTACGTTTTTCTCGGCATGTTCGTTTGCGGGCGGCCTGGGCCCTTCGCTAGTGAATATTCTGTAGAGATCGAGCGGAGTATCTGGAGATTGAGACTGGAGAGGCATATGGTCAGAAGAGCGGGGAAGAGGGTCTTGAATGGTGACGGGCGTGGGAAGAGGGCGACCTGGCGCTGAAGTGTGCAGAAGTAGAAAACTGTCGCCTAGAGAATGCGGCAATACAAATGGAAGCTTGTGATATAGTGTCTGAACACCAGCCGACAGTCGCCGCCGGCGGCTTATCCGGGGAGGCGACGGCAAACGGACGGTGCAGCATGGCGCAGGGGCGGGGGAGTCGAGCGAGTAAGTAGAAGCGAAAGAGGACGGGCGTACTTTTGATTTGGCGTGTTTGGAGGCGCGCTTTTCGCCGTGCTTGTCACGCCGGCTGAGGAATCGCGAGACGCCGTGCATGATGGCGGAGGTGGTAGGCAATGGGGGAATGCATGCAGAAGAAGGGTGTGTGGTGAATGTGGAGGTTGACGGGGTGGTGGATTAGTCGCGGGGCGGGCAGGCGGGCTTGATGTTAGAGGAAGGAAGAGACGAGGCGCAGCCAAGGAACGGGATGACGGCGTGCCGCGGGACGCAGGCAACGACGAAGCAGTAGGGCGAGAGGTGGCGCAGGAAGAAGCACAACAAGACAAAGAAGCACAAGACATGGTCGAGTGTACCAGCAATCGTCAGCCGCGCAGTAGCTGGTGGCCGTTGTCGTAGCCAGGTGCCTCTAGGTGGGGCCGCCCTATTGGCTGCCAGAGCGGGCCCTAGCTGGCTGGCGGTACTATTATGTAGGCGATCCCTGCGGCGTTCATCGTCTAGCGTATAGCGTATAGCGCATGGCCTGGAAAAGTCCGCTGGAGACTTGACATGGGCCATGCCATTGCTATCACGGACGACAATCACCCACCACACGTTCCCCCGACGTCGTCATGGCCATGCGTGACCTGCCGCTGCGCACCGCCGTGGCCTTGGGAAACTCCGCCAGGCCCGCTATCCGCGCCGCCCTCCCCGCCCTTGGCCGCAATGCCTCGTCCCAAGCACTCGCAGAAATTGAGGACGCATCCTCCCTCCAGACGCCACCACCGCCAGCAGATCTGGTCAAGAATTTCGACCCGGTAGCGACGAGTCGGCTGCGGAGAAGGGGGAACAAGCAGCTGCCGCCTAGCAGGTACCGTGTCCCCACCGCATGACCAAGGAATCCCTCCTCACTCGTCACAGGTACCAATATCGCTCGCCCAAGTACTATCGCGGTCCACTCCACCCTCACCAGCCCCCGCCAGAGTCCGATCCTGCATCGCGACTCTTCCAGCCGGGGCCCTTCAGTCTGTCGCGCCTCGAGCAAACGTACCAGAGCAAAATCGCCTCCGACCTGCTCACCCTCACATACCAGCACTATCCCCCAGGCTACCGGGCCCCCAAGACCGAACAGCGGTTGCGCGAATGGACTGGCGACTCGCCCTACTTCAAGAATCGCCCACTGCGGCCCCCGCGAGGCAAGGGTGAGGTCCTGCGCCTGCTCCAAGAACCCCGCACATTCCGCAATGTGCCCAAAATCACAAAGGTCGTCGTACACTCCATGGTACCAGAAGCCCAAGAGAACAGCGGAAATTTGCATGTTGCCGGTATGGTGCTGCAGGCCATTAGCAATGTGCGAGCAGTTTCCCACAAGGCAAGGCACAACGTAGTCGGCTGGGGACTGCGTAAAGGCAGATATGTCGCAGTCACCTCTACCATGGAACGGGAAGACGCAGACAATTTTTTGGCCAAACTGATCGACGTGGTACTGCCGAGGATCAAGGAATGGAAGGGCGTGCCCGGTTCATCTGGTGACGGACACGGCAATATGAGCTTTGGTCTTACCCCGGACCAAGTTGCCCTCTTTCCCGAGATCGAGGTCAACTATGACGCGTGAGTCTTCTGCTGCACCTGCCCCATCGAATCACTTTGTACTAACATGTCCTAGTTATCCTCCCAAGATGATTCCTGGTTGCCATATTACCATCCAAACCGATGCCACCAGCAACAAGGACGCCCGTCTCCTTCTTCAAGCCATTGGTATTCCGTTTTACGGAAAACTTAACGACTAGATGCAAGTATATTCCCGGCCGTGTACAAGACATGTAGTAAATGTAAAATACAGCCATGCTGGCTGCCGCACAAAATCCGCTGCGCAATCCTCTTGACTACTATGATAGGACAGGCTTCCGTTCGAGTCTCCTACATACTGGGCATTCGAAAAGTGACCAGTCTATCACGATTCTTTCTTCCTAGCCAATTTGAAAAGCTGATTGCAAGAGAACATTGATCCGGCCATCGCGCACGGATTCTGAACAACTTGAGATGTGATACCTGAAGCGTTACAGCGCAATTCGTGGACGCTTGACATGTCATTGATGGAACGTACTATTGACTTTGAATGAAGTCGAAAATACAGACAATTCTTGTAGATACTGAAGGCCTCGGCACATTGGCAATCGGACAGTGGGTGCATCCAGCCGGTGCAGCTGTGCGGCCGTAGACAAACGAGTTATTTTCGTGATGTTGTCGGGCGCGGACGGACCCTGGCACGAGATTTTAGGGTTGGCCAAGCTCCTCCACCGAAGAACCCCCGGCGTGTCGCAGCTTCTCCCAGACTGTCAACCACCACCAAATCAATCCCGCGATACCCTCTCACTACCCCAGACCTGTTCTCGTGGCCACTCATCAGTCACGATGCAGTCTATCCGACAACCCCTGCGCTCTGCGCTATCAAAGGCTGCAACCAGGCAGTATGCGACCGCTTCCTCGCAGTATGCCGAGACGATTAAGAACCTTCGCATCAATAGCGACACAAAGGTTCTCTTCCAGGGTTTCACTGGAAAGCAGGGAACGTGAGTGGGAACAGAAGAAGCTGAAGTAAAGGGTAACACTAACACGCCGGCAGCTTCCACGCCCAGCAGGCAATTGAATACGGTATGCGACTAGCCAAAAGGCCATTTTGATATTGCGGGGGACAGGTCTGACACTTTATTAGGCACAAAGGTTATTGGAGGCACAAACCCCAAGAAGGCCGGCACTCAGCACCTCGGACTGCCCGTCTTCAAGAATGTGGCAGATGCTATGAAGGAAACCCAAGCTACCGCTACTGCCATCTTCGTTCCGTACGCTTCACCCGCCTACGACTCGTGCCGCCTTTGAAACCTAACCACACTGCAGCCCACCGGTCGCTGCCGCGAGTATCGAGGAGGCTATCGCCGCCGAGGTTCCTCTGATTGTGACGTAGGTATACATATGGAAATTGAGGTACATGGAAACTTACAATGGACAGTATCACTGAGGGAATTCCCCAACACGGTACGCATGGTCAAGTTTGTCAGGAAAAATCCAGTGACTGACGGAAGTAGACATGGTGCGCATCACAGATATGCTCAAGTCCCAGAGCAAGTCTCGTATGGTCGGCCCCAACTGCCCCGGTATCATTGCTCCCGTATGTTCCCTACCCATACATGTACCTGGATAGCCTTCTGACTTTACCAGGGCCAATGCAAGATTGGTATCATGCCTGGATTCATCCACAAGCGCGGCCGCGTTGGTATTGTCTCTCGCTCCGGAACTCTTACCTACGAAGCCGTCAACCAGACTACCCAAGCCGGCCTTGGTCAGTCCCTCGTTGTTGGTATTGGTGGTGACCCCTTCTCCGGTACCAACTTCATTGACTGCCTGAACGTCTTCCTCAAGGACGAAGAGACTGACGGCATCATCATGATTGGTGAGATTGGTGGTTCTGCCGAGGAAGACGCTGCCGACTTCTTGAAGGAGTACAACACCGCCAACAAGCCTGTTGTCAGCTTCATTGCTGGTATCTCCGCCCCACCAGGTAGGAGAATGGGTCACGCTGGTGCCATTGTCAGCGGTGGTAAGGGTGATGCCAACTCCAAGATCACCGCGCTCGAGGCCGCCGGTGTCACTGTCGAGCGCTCTCCTGCCAAGCTTGGAGCTACTCTGTACGACCAGTTCGTCAAGCGCGACCTGATATAGGAGGAAATTGTGATGTTTCATTAAACTCTCAAGGTATGCAGGCTAACGAATTGTGGTAGCCGCATGGAGGTCTATTGTACATTGTAGTTAAAACAATTGAAATCATCTCGCATCTAGATGTATAATATGGTGGTGTAGATGTTTGTATTATGTTCTCAGAGCTTTATGGGTTAAAATATTGATTCCACCAAATAGCTCCATCCCTCTCTTCACATGCACATTCGAACCCTTGATAGGTGATGGTCCAAGCTTATAATTTTCCAAAAGTTCCCCGCAAACCTCCGAGCTGCGTCCAATTGCGGAAGCACAGAAGACAACTTTGAATACAGCCGACATGTCCAAGACTAAAACGAAGCGCGCGCGTCGTGAATTGAAGTGCGAGGGTGAGAGAAAAATAGCAGCACACCACCGTAAGGCAGCAGCAAAAGCCGCAGAAACAAAACAAGCCACGACAAAACCACCCGCAAAGAAGAAGCAAAAGATGAACTCGACCACCGCAAAAGACGCACCACCAGCAACCAAGCCCGCTCACGTCCAACCCTCGCAACGAAAACACGCCATCCCCTTTGGCGAATACGACCACATTCTCCTCGTTGGCGAGGGCGACTTCAGCTTCACCCGCTCCCTCGCCATCGAGCACGGCTGCGCAAACGTCACAGCCACAAGCTACGACTCGCGCGAAGACGTCGAAAGCAAATATCCAACCTTCGGCCCCATCTCCACCGAGCTCTCCTCCCTCACACCCCCTGTCCCCCTCTTCCACTCCATCGACGCCACAAAACTATCAAGCTACAAGCACCTCCGTTGCAAGCGCGACGACGACGACGATGGGGAGGAAGGCTGGGACACCATTGCCTTCATGTTTCCGCACACGGGTGGTCTCAGTACAGATGTGAATCGCCAGGTCCGCGCGAACCAAGCGTTACTAGTTGAATTCTTCAAGTCGTGTATTGATACGAAAGATGCGAAGCGGAGGTTGCATATTTTGCAGACGCAGAAGAGGGAGAAGGAGGAGAGTAGGAAGAGGAAGAGGGATCAATCCCAGGGAGATTCACAGCAGGAACAGAGGAAACAGCAGAGTGTCAAACCGTTTCTTCGCATAGGCGGCAAAATCATAGTCACACTCTTTGAAGGTGAACCTTACACTTTATGGAATATACGCGATTTAGCCCGGCACGTTGGTCTACGGGTAGTGGAGAGCTGGAAGTTTGACTGGGAGCAGTATCCGGGTTACCACCACGTTCGCACGCTGGGGGCGCTCGAGGGCGGTGGGGGTTGGAAAGGTGAAGATCGTGAGGCGAGAATGTATGTGTTTGAGAAGATTCCGCTTGTGGCTGATAGCGATGAGGAGAAGGAGATGGAGAGGGTGGCCAAGGTGGCGAGGGGGGGACGGTTGCCGAGTCAGAAGGAGGCGATGAAGGCTGCCTTGCAGGGGGATGAGGAGAAGGATGATGAGGAGGAAGACGAGGAAGACGATGTTTGAGGCTTTAAATCTCATTCAAATAATGATATACCCGTCTTCGAGACTAGGAAAAGACTGTACCACCGATACAGGCAGGACTAAAACCCACGCCGGGGCGTCCCGCCACGATAAACCGAAAACAAACGCCCCGCTATGCGCGTATAAGCACTGTATCAAAGAAAAAAACGCAACTTCCTGCTCCAAGAAAGAAAGAGAAGAAAAGAAAAGAAATCACATAATATACACCTTCCGCACCTCACTCTCCTTCCACTTCTCCCCCGTCAACCCAGCCACAGGATCCCTAACCCATCCCGGCTCCGTCCCCACCTTCTCATTGAAAATACGCAATCTCTCAGAGCCGTAAATACGACCATTGGGCAGTACAACTGGCGCATCTTCAACAATACTCTTGGTGTGTAGCGCATACGGCACGTTGCGCGCTAGTTCTTTGAGCTCAGCACTACAGATGGGGCAGACGGTTGTGGCGGAGGACGCGGCGTTTGTGGCGGAGGGAATGTATTCGGAGTGGCAGGCTGGTGTCTTTAGGGCTGAAAGACCCGCGCTGAGGGCGATGTGGAGGAGGGGGCGGGGCGGGAGCGAGTATAAGGTGTGATGGGTTGAGACGAAGAGGTCTGCGAGGTAGGACCAGCGGGAGGGGGAGTAGAGAGACTAGAGTTATGAACGTTAGTTGCGTTGATTCTCTCTCTTATGGGGGAAGAAGAGAAACTTACAGCATACGGCTCCACCTCATCCCATGGCCTATACGCTAACATGCCCGCCGCCTGCCTCATCAACGTGAAATCCCCACTCGCACTGAGATACTTCTTCGCATGCGCCCTGGCTTCCACCAACTTTGCTTCTCCCCCACCTCCACTACCAGCACCTCCAATATTAACCCCATGCATACCCCCCTCCTCCCCCTCCAACCCATCCATCCCACTCAAACCGGCCTCATGCCCCTGCCTCACAAGCTCAATATACTGCTGCAACCTCAACTCAAACTCCAGCATGCTGCCCCCCTTCTTGAGCTCCTTGCCATGTTCCTTGCACCACTCGAGTGCCAGAGCTGTACTCATGCCCTCACGGAGACTCCGCTCAATCTTGTGGCACGCCACGAATGCTTCTACATCGACTAGATCTTCAATCCCCTTGCTTTGCGCCAGGCATGCGGCGCTTTCGGCGTAGCCCTCGCGAAGCAGGTAGTCTACGAGTAACCTGCTAAGTCGTGTGCGCGACCACTCGTCATATTTGACGTCGACGAGACTCTGGACCTGGTACAGGTCCTGTAGGTGTTGTAGGCGCGCTTTGGCCGCGCGGTGCAGACGGTTTTCTTCTTCGTGGAGGCCCTCGAGCTTGCGTTTTAGGCCTTGCATTTTGGTAATGAGAGAGTCGAGCGAGGAGAGTGTTGCTTCTGGGGAGGCGCTTTTGTTTGCGGCTTTTGCGGTTGCGCTGAGGACGGTAGGCAGGGCGCTCGAAGAGTGCTCGATGACGCGCTGGGCGTTCTTGAAGTTGCGCCGGGAAAGCTCATATGGCATGCGGAGGAGAGGTTGGTCCTGGGATTGTGGGTTAGTGAGTGCCGTCTTGCGTGTAACCAGGCTGGACATACGAGCAGGAGATGCGACTCGGCATTGAGTTTCGTGCTCGTGAGCTCTGCCATGGCGGGCTGGTGTTTGGTGTGAGTAAACAATGAACGTGGTGAGATACCCGGAGGGTCTAGGACTCTTCAAACTTGGTGGGAAATGGCTGAACTAAGGTTAACAGCGAGTGGCTAACATGAGGATGTCCGTGTTCAAGCTCCACCGCGGAGGTTATCTTGCGGGGATGCTCGTCACAGCCCATAGCTCGCAGACCGGCACGTGCAGACCCACTACCACTTGTCCATGCTCTCACGTTATGTCCGTTGCATTCCGAGTTACAGTCATGTCATATTAACAACTTACTTCTACCTTTTAAATACGAGCTGCAAACATCAGAAAATTGACCAAGACTTATATGCGATATAATTTCATTGCAAGGCAACTCTAAAACTCCTCTAAAACCCAATGCATCATAACGCATAATCCAGATGTCTCTGCTCGTACAGAGACACTGACGCAGGTAGCGATGAGCTGCCGGCCTACTGCAGAGGTATCTCAAACCTGCTCTAAGGCCATTACTTTTAGCTATGTACCCGCGCCCCGCTGCTCAAAGGACGCATGCATTTTCTAAACCCATTCCAAATTATCCATTTAGAGAGCACCAGTTGAAGCCATCTTCTTGCGGAGGTGATTCTTGTACTCGCCAATGGTACCATCCCACCGACGGACAGTCTTGTGTTCGCAAACCATGATATCCTTGGCAATCTTGTCGAGCAATCTGTTCTGAGGTTAGCACACCATACAAACATTTCTTTGGGAGAATGAGCATACCTGAAGTCGTGAGAAACAACAACAACACCACCGCTGAAGGCGTTGATGGCATCAGCCAAACTGTCAATAGTAGGGATATCCAGACCGTTGGTAGGTTCATCAAGAAGCAACATGTTGGGGCCCTCGATAGCGAGCAGAGCGAAGACGATACGGGACTTTTGACCATCGGACAGAGTAGCCATCTTGGACGTCTGTGCCTCACCAGTCATACCGTAGCGGCCGAGCTGTTGACGCCAGTACTGCATGTCCTGGCTGATGTGGTGAAACTTGTCGCGGACAAAGTCAAGGGCAGACTTGGTAAGGTCGAGCTGTTCAGCAGAGTGCTGGCTGTAAACACCGAGCTTCAAGTGAGTATGGCGCGATACAACACCAGATGTAGGGCTGAGCTTTCCGGTGAAGATGTTGAGCAGCGTTGACTTTCCAACACCGTTGGGTCCGACAAGAGCTGTTCGCGAGTCCATGTCGACACCGAAGTCGAGGTTTTCGTACAGGTTGTCTTTTGGATCTCCAGAGTAGGAGAAAGTGACATCATCAAGCGAAAGCACAGGTGGCGGTAACTTCTCAACGTCGGCGAAGCGGAAAGTAAAGACTTTGTCAACAGCAACGGGTTCGATGAGACCGTCGGCCTCCATCTTGTCCAGAATCTTCTGGCGAGACTTGGCTTGCCTGACCAAGTTGGCGTAGGTACCGGCTGAAGCAATGAACTTCTTGATGTGCTTGATTTCGTCTTGCTGCTTCTCGTAGGCCTTGGTCTGGTTGACCTCCTGCTCGGAACGGGTCTTGTGGTAAGCGTCGTAGTTACCTCCGTAGTAGAGGAGTTTCTTTTGACGCATATCAATCATGTTTGTGCAGACACCGTTCAAGAAGTCCATGGAGTGAGAAACGAGAACCAGGGTGCGCTCCCACTTCTTCATGTACTCTTCAAGCCACACACAGGCCTCGAGATCCAAATGGGCGGTAGGGTCGTCGAGCAATAGCAGAGCAGGCTTGACGAAAAGAGCCTTGGCAAGCGCAACACGCATACGCCAACCACCGGACATGTCCTTTGTCTTCTTGTTGATGGTGACCTTGTTGAAACCAAGACCAGTAAGAATGAGGGAAGCGCGAGTGTGGAAGGTTGATGGGTCCATATCTTCTTGACGCTGTTGACTAGTTAGTGGGGGTCAAAATATAACTATCCGACTACAACGTACCTCGTAGATATCATCTAGGAGAGGGCTCTCAGGGCCGTCCTTTTCAAGAATGTCCTCAGCCATCTTCTCAAGACGAGCCAGCTCATTCTCAGCCTCACGGACGACCCAGTCCAAAGCACCCAACTCAGTCTTGGGGGCACCCTGGTTCAGCAGGTAGATGTCGATGTGCTCTGGGAAGGGGAACTCGCGCTTGTCGATGGCCTTGAGCAGCGTCGTCTTTCCGCAACCGTTCTCACCCAACAGACCGTATCGGCGACCATAGTTGATCTCGATGGTGGAGTCGTTGAAAAGAACCTTGCCGTGGAACACGAGCGACGCAGAGATGATCTTGACATCGCGCGACTGCTCGAGCGAGGCAAGCACACCAGTGGTTACACGGTCAGACAGACCGTGCTTGTCTTGTTGGAGGGTGAGCTTCTGGACTTCTTCGTTCAGCTCAAGATCCTCGGGGTTGTCGCCATTCTCAGAGTTGGCCTTGGAGGCATTCTTGGAGTTGGCCTTGGACGACAACTTGGAAGTGGCCGACTTCTTGGGCTTGGCGTCGCCATCGGCGGCGCGCTTTGCCTGACGGGCGGCTTTAGACGCAGAGACCATGATGTCTTAATATGGCGTCAGGGGAAGGGATTCGGGGATGGTGGAGGTGAAGAGAAGGAAATTTCGTAGGGTTGGGATCAGGGCCAATCTTGTGCCCCGCTAAGCCTCTTATCGATAATGCCCAAGCCTGATCGTTTGGGTTTCCGGTCAAGGCACAACGCGTCTTTACTGGAAATGAAGGGACTGGAAGAGACGAAAAATGTGGTGTAGAAGAAAGGAAGCAAGTGCAAGTGATGGATGTGAAAATATCAAAAGATGACAATCGACGGCGGTGGCTCAAACAACAAAGCCTTGCGAATCAATTTTCTTACTTGTGGCGAAGGCCGCGCACGGCCAATGAACGCTCCCCCACTACTCATCATAGGGCAACTAAGGCGCTGGCATCGCTGCATGTGCCAGGTCAGACTCACCCATGCATATCAAGAGACATCATGATAGGCATTTTTGTGAATTACAGAGCTGCCTTGGGGGTTCAAGAACTTTTCTGAATGCATGTGAATTGTGATGTAAGATTGTTCTGCCCCTCTTCAATCTATCCAGGAAAATGGCCGGCATGATGAGAAATTGTATCGACCAGCAGTGTGATGTCAGGCACAGAAGAAGTAGAAGCATGCGCACCTGATAAGAATGTTAGCTAGAATAGAGAAACATGAAACACCACAAAGATTCTGAAGTTGGGGGGGTTCAGCTTTGTGGGGGGACGTTCCCCGGAACCGCGGAAATCCCAATCATTCTTATCTATGCTATAGTCCACGCCATGATAAGCCCAAACACTATATACCAGAACGGCTGCTCCTGCTCTCACTGCAGCTCGGCACACGAGTACTACACGTCCCACTATTTGTATCTTCCTTTTCGGATATTTGTCCCCCTCTTTCTGAATCGACTTTCTTTCTCAGCCGCTCTCGCAGCTTTTCTAAGACTGCAGTCTCCTCCGCGTTCAAGCTCATATCATCTGGTAATATGACTTCGGCGCCGTTGATCTCTATACGGTCGCCATCTTGATCATAATGTTGCTCTTCAATGGTCTTCTTTCGTTCTATCCCGCCTTTTGCATCTGGAACTACTTCCTCATCTTCGACTTTCGCTTTGCGCACATCTAATGGCGTCCACCAGTAGGCCGGGAATTGTCGCTGAATGTTGTTTATGATAAGTCCGACTATCACCATCAAGGTAGTACCCCACAGTACCAGGCCAACAAAGTAATAGCCCATGGCTGTGATGATGGGATCAGTGGCTGCCAGCACAGCGGATGCACCGCCAGGTGGGTGTACAGTGTTGGTCAAGAGCATCACGGCCGATGCGCAACCGCAAGCTGTGGCCCCAGCAATCCATTTGATGGTCTCATAATCTGAATGATACTGGAAAAGTTTCGATATGCTAACACCAATAAGTGCTGAGATTGCATGACCAAGTATGGCGTTACGTGGTTGACCAAGAGGCGAGCGGATGGAGTTGTATTCCAGAATAGCAGAGGCGCCCTGTATACGGTATATCAGTGGCCGCTACTAACCTCACATGGGTACTAGAGTACTCACAAAAGAAGCAATCAACGCAGGCGGATGATGCCACTGTATACTCCCAGTATTGTTAAACACCCCAGCCACAACCGCCAAACCACAAAACGCGCCGACCAACGACCAAAACGCACCCAACACATTCCCAACATCCTGCCGCGTCTCCTTCCTATACCCCAGAAACCTCGATACGGGAGCCGGAAGCCTGTGCAACGGCGACGGAACAACAACGCGATTAAGGTACCGATCAATGTCGAAATCCCAGTCCCTGGCGCGCGAAAGCATCTTCGTCGCCATTGTCACTCTCGTATAAGGCCGAAAAACATCAAAAACCAAGGGAGAGACAAAAAAAGATTGAGCAAAAAAACACCCAAACTATATATCGCAAATTGCGACTAACCTGAGCCTTTTTCCAAACCCAAACCTGTCAGGCAAGAGTAAATAAAGAGCTATCAAACGAAGCCCCCCTCGTACCCTCGCGCAAATCCCCCCCATCCGGACAATCACTTGCATACCATGTTCCGACACCCGGATTTAATTAACCTACATATGTACAAATCCCCCATAAAACGTTACTCCCACTGTTGACGTCGTACCCGCGCCATGTTGCGCGTAGTGCACCGGTCGCGCCAACGAACAAAACGGCGGTAATTGTGCAGTTGGTGGGCTCACGCGCGAGGTCGGGGTTACGTAACATTACGTACCATAAACGCGCGACTGTGCCAACATCTCCTCGGTCCCCGCGGATTTGTCTGGTGTTGAGGGATATAGGTAAGATGGGCCTCGCTATAGTGTTTTTTTTTGTTCAATGTTTGTCGCACGGTGTGATGGGTGTGTTGGGGTGTGTGTTACGGATGGCAGCGTTGTTGCTGTTAGACTTTACGCAACTAGAGGATTTTTCGATGATTGTGTTCTCCTCTTGCTAGATGAATGAGAGTCTTACCATCTGTTTGATCTACAGAGATGCGACACAGGGTTCTGTTGTACATATGCATATGTATACCACAGTCTTAGCGTTCAGTTCTCATTGTCGCTAATCTATGGTACACGCGCGTGATCTGCATTGCGTTCGGCTACTACCACATCACAGACTTGATACTCGAGAATCATGGCTTATTGTACCGATGGGAACATGGCGCGAAAATCATGATGGGTATAAGCCTATTTGAATCGCTCTGTAACACGAGAATTTGAAACGCCTGGAATCCCGAGTGAAGCACACCTACACATTATAACGCCTTCAAAGATCGATACCGCCTCTTAACTCCATATCCATACACTGCATAGCACACCATAGCGCTCCAGCTAACTTAAGTACCACGGAACAAGAACTGCAAATCCTCAGGACTAAGGCGATCCATGGCAACCTTGTCATTGTTGACCGTTCCAGCAATCATGGCCGCCTTCTTCTCCTGCAGCGCAACCATACGCGACTCAACACTGTCCTCAATGCAAAGACGTGTAATGACACAGGGACGACGTTGACCGATACGATGACAGCGATCTGCAGACTGCCACTCGGCAGCGGGGTTCCACCATCTGCAGACATATTAGCGGACTGAACAATAGCAAGGGATAACAAAACCTACGGGTCGACAATGAACACTCTAGAAGCCTCGGTCAGATTGAGGGCAACGCCACCAGCCTTCAAAGACACCAGGAAAACCTCGACATCCGGGTTCGTCATGAAATGATCAATGCTCTTCTGTCGCTGGGCAGGCGTCATGCTACCATCCAACATGACCGTATTGAAACCGGCGCGACGAAGACGCCACTCAATCAGTTGCAACATAGAAGTAAACTGGCTGAAGACGATCGACTTGAGTGTCTGTTTCTTGCTTCGGAGCTTGTACAGATCATACACCAACATCTCAATCTTGGTAGAAGAAGTCCAGTTCTCCATCTTGATGCGATTGATAATCGATGTCTTCTTTACAGAATCCTCATCTTGCTCAAGCTCAGGCTGCTCAAAGTCAATAGACAACGCGATGTGACAGCGAGGACAGTCAGCCTCGGTTCCTGAGGCCTCGCAAGTGTCCATGAAGTCTTTGATACAAGCACGACAGAACTCGTGGCGACAATGAGAGCGAACAGCATCTTCAGCCGGTTCATCGCAGATATTACAGACATAGACATTACTAGCGCCTTCGCCTGCCTTCTTCTTAAGTAGCAGATCAGGATGGTTGGCGACTTGACGCATCTGCATAATCAGACCGAAGATATTGGCGTAATTGTTGAGCATAACACCCTGCGCAACATACGTATCGAACTTGCGCGAAGAGTTTGACATGATTGAGGTCGAGAAGTCACGCTCCACTTCACTGAAGAACTCGTTGTGGATGATGATATCCTTCATAGGAAGCTCCATGGAGTTAGTGTGGTCGCGCTTCATGCGTCGCAACATGATACGAGCAGTGATAAGGTGAAGCTTGGTCAAGGCCTCTTCTCGAAGCTCGGGGTCATCACCAGTGATGGGATTAAGCAACTCCTGGTTGAACACGGAAATGTGCTCGGACGCTCCATGGTTGCAGGCGACACACATATGGTCGTCGTTTGTAGCCCAGTGGAGCTTCTCGCAATCACACGAACGGCAGAAGTAATCCGCAAAGGGACGAACCTCCAAGAAGCGAAGGAGTGAAAAGAACTCTCCAATACGGTTCTGAACTGGTGTACCGGACAAGCACCACTTGTAGTCACTCCTCAACGCAAAACAAGCCTTGGCTACACCCGTGTTGCGTGACTTGATGCTGTGCGCTTCGTCCAGGATGAGGCGGTGGTAGTAGATGGCGTGGAGTGGCGACGCTTCCTTGATGATATCTTCTCCGCGGGACCATCCTTTTGTCTCTTTGCGATGCAGCGATTCCAAAGAATTGTAGGAGACCATGATGACGTCGTAAGACTTCAACTCCTTGACTGTCATCTTTTTGCACTTGGCGTTTGTGCCGTGATACACGAGAACCTTAAGCTTGTTGTCTGTGTACTCGCGTATCTCATTCGTCCACTGCATAAGAGCAACGGGTGGAACGCACACAAGCGTAGGTTGTTTCGCAGGGTAATCAGACATTATCAGGGAGACAGCCTGGATAGTCTTGCCCATGCCCATCTCGTCTCCGAGTAGACCACCCTTGTAATGAGTCTGTTCCTGGCGAATCATCCAACTGAGTCCCTCAAGTTGGAATGGCTTCAGTCGCCTATTGATTGACTGTGGCTGCTCTGCCTTTTGAACCTCAAGAACAGGAATCTTCTTCAAATCATCCCACATGGTGCGTAGTTTAGGGTGCTGCTGTTCTGCTCGCTCACGGTTCATGGCGCGCTTCCGCTCCCATTTATCCGCAATGTGCGCAAACCTAGCTCGTCGTCCATGTGCTTCAACCCTCTCATCGTGGGTCAACTGCTTCTTAGTGCCTCGAGCCACCCTGGCTGGCCTCGCTGCAGCAAGCTTTCTCAGGCGTGCAGCGGTTTTCTTTAGTGGCTCCTCGTCGCTGTCGCTTGGAAGCATCGCCTCCTCAAGAGCTATCAAGGACTCAAGATCATCATGCTCTTCATGCTCGTCAGGTTGGAACTCTCCACCATCAGATTCTTCGTCATCAATGAAGTCATCCTCTGTGAATTTGCCCTTCTTCTTCGCACTTGAGCGGGCAGAGCGACCACGCTTGACCGGAACATCTGGAGCTTTGCCTTTTCCTTTGCCGATGTAGGGAGGTGGCGAGTCCAGCTCATCCAACTCTGAAACTTCGTCTTCGTCTTCATTTTCTTCCATATCTTCGTCTTCATCCTCTTCTTCCGTCTTCTGACGCTTGCTTCGCGGCATATCCATTTCGTCCTCGAGTTGCATTTGTAGAGCAATCTCCGCATCCATGTCAACTGGGACACTTTCAGAGTCTGAGTCTGAGTCTAACACCATGTCGTGGGATCGTTTCGAAATCGATGCGCTACTTTGCGACGGCGTGGTGACCTTGTTGCGTCCACGGCGAGCGGGCGTCTTTCCACGGTCAACTGAAGCAGCTGGTGTAGTTGATATGCTCGTTCCTGGGGTTTCATAGTCTGAGTTTTCTAGCGAAGGTGAGCCAGTTGAACTCTCCTGTTCTGCCTGTCGGGCGTTGACACTGGAGAGCCGACTGCGAGTGGCAGGCGTCTTCTGAGTTTTGGAAGCGGGGATCGAGACTGCCTTAAGAACCCGGCGAGTTTGTGTAGATTCTTTGGGCACAATGGCTTCAATCGTATTGCTCTCTTGATCGGAGGAGTTCGGAACAAAGGTGCGAGAAGCGCGAGTGCGTTTCTGCTGGTGGCGACCATCCATTGCTGGGGAATCTTTCATTTCTACAAACATGTCAGCGCCACAAGCAATGCAAGGCAATTAACAAAGTGTTTGCCCAGAGTAGCTTGCACATACTAGCTGCAGGAACAGATGAGCTTGCGGGGGTGACATCGTTGGCGAGGCTGTTGGTTGACTTGCGGGTAGATCGCCGCAGCGCCATGGTGACAGTGATTACAGAAAGATAGGCAACTGCGACTGTGAGAAAAGATTGGAAGTTGTGGAAGGCGGGAAATCCGAAAAAGATGAATGAGCGACGGTGAATCTCGATAAAGGAATGGAGATGTGAGAATGAGTGTGACGAAGGGTGAATGGCGATATACCCCTGGCGCCAATACAAAGGATCGATCGCGCGTTCACGGGATCTGAGTGGCAAATTCAGGGACAAGGTGGCAACACGGCAAGGAAGTGCGAGTATGGCGATCTTTTTGTGTAACAGAAGAGGCGAAATGTTCTGATTATCCCCTTCAGCCGGTAAAGTCTCCACAACTAGGTGGGGTTCTGCGACGCGTCTTCGTCATGAGAAACCGCGAAAGCACGTGACTGTTGCCTATATCGCTCTTATACGGACTAGTGTCATCCCTCAATTTCCCTGCACCTCCAAGACCATCAGTCGTTTGTTTGGACAAAATCACTGCCTATTCATGATACAGTATGAAGCACATCGCCTATATATCAGTCTAGGCTTTGGAAAATGGTACGATTGTGACTCAATCACGAAGGAAATGAAATGATTAAAACCCTCCCTGTTGCATTGTTCAATTATGAGTCGACCATCAAAGATAGCTGATTTAGAATATTTGAATGATTGAGTATCTTATATGGTAGCCATAGATTCGAACTTTTGCGATCTTGTGTGTATGAGAAACCTTTCATAGTCATATGCTGATATTTTAGAACTATGATATCCACATGCATGATCACGTGAGGTATACGTTCTGGGTCATCTATCCCTTCTAGTATCAGTATAGTCTTGCGACTATGCGTTTGCTCGAAACCAAAGTACACAGCCACTACGACCACCCAAATTTTGGACTCATCGTTAGTGATTAAGGACCGCCTCATTATAGCTATCCATCCTCAGTTTCATGACCACGTGCACAAACGACAACTCTTGTCTTATTCCCTGCAAGGCCGTCTGTACTTGATAGTAGAACTTGATCATCATTCAGTGTCTTCATTGTTTCAGATTGGTCGAGTTCTGAGAAGGCATGCGAGCAAATACACGATTACGAAAGAAATCCAAAATACTGTGTGGTTTGCGCGGTAAGCATACCACGTCCCATTTGTATCATCCATTCTCATAACTTCTAGCAACCATGTGTAATAGCTAGTGGTCATCAAGAGTGTTCGGGACCATCCACGGGTTGAAAACGAACGAGATGTACTCAAAAGATTCCAGCGACGCACTCCGTACCTCCGACCCTTGATTGATGAAATCAACGAACCGTCTGTCCCAACAACTATATTACTGAAACACTTGCAAGGAGACCTTCTATAAGTGTCTGTCGCAAAGACTCTTAATCGGCAGGAATTGAAATAAGTGTCGCGATGCGTCCTTGAGGCAATTAAGACTTTACATGAGGATGGGTTCGTGCACGCAGGCCTGACGCTAATTTTTATAAGCTATGGACTGTATGTGACTGACGAGAATCTTGGACGTCAAGCCAGACAATGTGTTTGTCAATCTGCAGGAAGGCGACATACGATTTTCTGAAGTCCAACTGGGCGACTTGGGTGGATGTTACCCCGCTGACTCAGAGTGGGTTACATCTGGCACCGTGATGGGAACGCCAATGTGGACGAGCTCAGAGATTCTCTTGGGAATGTTATAGAACACTGCCGCTGACATATGGTCGTTCGGTACTATAGTAGGTCGCAATCCTACTACTATTGTGGGTACAAATCAAAGCTGATGTCTTCATAGCTCATCAGTCTCATTTACGGTGGACGCTTCAACGTTTTCAGACCCAAGGGAGTGGCACAGGACGACGAAGAGTACTCGTGTGGGGTTATCGAGAACCAATTCAAATTCTTTGGTCCTTACCCGGCTAAAATTGCTTAGATTGTAGACATAGAAGCGGCTCCATCCATTCTTTACCTCGTACAATCGATTCCACGGGAGAAGAAAACTCCGTTCATACGGATTACTGAGAAGGAAGTAACCAAAAGAGGCAATGTCTTCACATCCGAGATGATGAAGCTTGACTGGAGAGACCGCCCAACAGCGAAGGAGCTGCTGGGAGACGATTGGTGGAAAAATGATGAACGACACTGGTTATCACAACGCTGGGCAGGCGTGATCTTCTGATTGTAGAACAATAGCGATGGTAGAGGAGAGCGACAGAAAGGAGTATATAGATGGGTGGGGAGAGCGAACAACTGATGCAACATGTGATAAATAGTGGCGAAGTAAGCCTCGACACTTAACGGATGCTATAAAGCCGGAACTAATAATCTCAACTCTTTGCAATCATGATCATGCTAGAGAGCGATATCAGACACCCTAGTATAACTCCCCCACCTGTCCTAAGGTAATTGTGGTGTGTACTAGCGATCTCAACCTACAATGCAAGGTAATGAGTATTTTACTACTAAAAATTGTAGGCTGATCTTGGAATCCCAAGCGAACATCCGCCACTGTGCATTCTTCAATACAATACCTAGTGTCACAGCTCACAATGAATCTGGGAACAAGGTTGATCGTTACTTTGGTTTGAAAAGCATAAGTTAACTATTTACGGAAGAATATAGATGATCTATATGTCGTGATATGAACGGCTGGGAGGAGACTAAAAATAGCCTTTCCCATACCTGATGTCTCCACCAATGCTTAGCAACCGCTGGCGCAGTTCCTTCCACCTGGGCATTTCTAAAGAAATATTAGCAAACCACTCCTCAAGCACACAAGAGGGACAAGACTTACGTTTTTGCAGGCGTACCATACGTTTCCATCCGTGCAGCAGCCAGCAGCCTCAGGGCAGTAGGTCCAGCTGGTCTCTGTAGAAGCCCGCTTAGGAACCGGGGCCTTGTCGGACCTGAACTTCTCAGACCTATTTCTGCATTCCTGTAATCCGGAAGAATTAGCCTCTAGAAATTGCATATCTTGGAAGAAGTTCACTCACCCAGGCGGCGGCGGAGGTGGCCCAGAGGAGTACGAGGGTTGCAATCTTCATGGTGACGGTGTTTGGTGGTTGGAGAATTAGGTTGGTGTGATTGTCTGGTGGAGTTTGAAGTGCTGGATGAAGAGTAAAGAAGTAGATGGGCCTTGGGTGAAGCCCTTCTTATGGTAGTTGAACAAAAGACTCACTAACCATAAAGAGTAGGATCTCTTCTGTTAGTAATGTGTTGGTTAGCAGTGTCTATGAGTCGGGTTCGGCCCTACTATGGACTTATGGATGAATTAGTTTACATGTTGCCGTGTTTCCCTAGGGTTTATAGGACCGGTCCTCGTACTGGACCCCTGTTTTCAGGGTACGGCTTCATAAGGCTAAAACAAATGGGCTAGCTCGAGCGTCACTACATACTTGGTGGTGCGGTCGATCAAAACAGAGGTGTATACGAAGACAGGGGAGGGGTGTCAATAACTTTGAGGCTAGCTAAGGATTTTACTTATTTTCTGGAAGATTTTCACTTTAGCCTAGGAAATTAGCTCAGAAAGAGGTCGCTATGCATATGCCCTTAGTTCTGAATATTGTTTCAGGCTGGGAGATCACCACAATATGCGGGCAGTTTCTCCGCAACCAGGAACACAAGCTTTTCTCGACGGAATAATTTAGGGTAAAAGCAACACAAGCTCCCTACTTCCCCTCCCTTAGTATGACAAGCTTCTAGGCATTCACTACTGACGCTTTCATCTAAATTTCTCGGTACACTAACGTGGTCTTCCTGGTTCACCGCTATTTAGATGTATGTCCAGCCTCTGCTTTATGGTACGAGTGCTTCTTTTCTTCGAGATAAGGCACGAGAGCTTTACCCATTTCACAGTAGCCCAATAACAAACAAACCTGTCTTTCCGCACATGAAGCGGCCCGTATCATATTCTGGATTATGCAGACCGCTTTCATGCGTGGTGCGCGGTGCGCAGTCCAGCCAGTGCGCGGTCTGACTTGCCCGCTGATAGGGCATAGAACAACAATTCGGCCCCGTCTATACTGAACTCCGTTTAGCCCTAAGTGCCTTAAAGTTTAGAGCCGGAGTCGGATATTAAATGCTCATTTTACCAGGAACAAGAAAACGTGGGGAAAGAGGCCCTAGGTGTGCAGCTATACAGCCGCCAGGGCCCCGAGAGCACCACGTATCGTGTGCAGCATTCTTTCGATGTCACTGACTGTTCTGTGGTTTGAAACATTTGAAACGGCGAGCTGTCACCACCAACACGAAGACACGGAAGATGGTATATAGTCTTAGTGTTCTAGTTTCAGTTCCCTAGTATATTCCCGTGTTCTCGAAATACCAAGGGATGATGGATATCCCAAGTCCGACGACCCGAACCCGAACGACATCATCGCATGAAGTTCACCTATAGCGCCCAAACACAAAGACGGTCACGAACTACTACAACACTAGTATACAAAACTAGGAAAAGCATAGACACGTGGGAAAGTTAGGCGACCGTGAATACCACCATAATACCTAGTTCTTCGCGCCTCTATACGGAGCTTACTACGGCCCGCTTCGTATCTCCCGACTGTCGAATCTTGAATCAGGACATCAATTCCCAAATCGACGTTTTGCAATGATTTGTTTTTGGTTTCAAAAGAAAAAAATGCCCATTTTGACATTTTGAACAATATAGGGAATCCATGGTTGAAACCAAGCACAGGAAAGAGGTGTTGATGCGCATTCTCATACGGCGCTTTTGCACGCGGCGCGCACAGACCACTCAATGGCTGCAGATGGCGAGACAGGGCATGACGACTTGAAGCTTCGGGTCATTCATCCACCCAACCACAACATCGCCATCACGACACCGACAAGTCCTCGAATCGTCCATCTCGCTCGAAATCGCCGTCCCGACGTTATCACCTTTCTTCGGGTACCCATAATAGCTAGAGTCGCCCTGTCCCGAAAGCGCCGTTAAACAAGCTATCCGCCTCCAAGCGATACCGAAGCTTCAAACCGCCCAACATGGTCAAGCCTGTAGTTTCCGCCATGAATGCTTGGACATGGTATGTGCGATTCAGGCCTGTCTGGAAGGAAGATGAGGAAGCTAATGTGTTGGCAGCATTGTCGTGTCCATGTTCGCGATTGTCATTCTGTCCACGCTGGGAGCACTGTTTAGAGTATGTCTACCCTGCAGATGCGGCCGCACAGTATCAACCATACTGTCGCGCATCTCTCAGCATTAAGAGGAATAGAGGAAATAGCTAACATGCGATTTATAGGGAAGTAGCAACACGGTGATGGGCGGAGAGGAGGACCCCAAGGACGGTGGCGCGGTTGCAGGCGCACTCTTTGGGGCCGTCTTCATATACATTGTATGCTCTCACCATCACGTAGAGTAGCGCGACTTGCTAACTGGATATAGGGCTTCTTCGTTTTCTGCGGATTGCAGGCCCTCCTTCACATGCGCGAAAGCCGTCGTGGCGCGATAAGCCTTTCATGATTTCGGGATACCACGGAGCATACGATCGTAGGATAATGCGGCCTTTGAGAAAGATCAGAGGATCGCTAGACGCGATGCAGGAAGGTCAGGTTGATAATCAGTGACGTACCTGTTGAAGAGAGATGGAAGTATTTGTATCTTGTAACATGGCATACGGCGTTTGATGGATACAGGCGATTTCTGCGATTTGCAACAAGACGTTTGATTTAGTACAATACATGCTTTTTTCACGCGCGTGTGTTGACCCTCTGCATTACATCCCTTTGGTACCAAAACTGAGCAATACACGACCCAGCGCCAGCAATGCACACTCATCTATCATCAAACCATGTCCTCATCACGTGGCTCACCACTCCCTCTCCCACAATGGCTCGAGCGTCTTGCTCATGTACGGCCCGTCCAGCCAGTACCCAAGCTTCGCATAGTAACTGCGGACACCCACACCCGAGATGACACTAATCTTCGTACTTCCATGCTCTTCCCTCGCTATCCGCTCCGCCTCCTCCATCAAAAGCGTGCCATAGCCCTGATGCTGGAACCTCTTTGGATCTCTCGCATGGATCGGCACCGCCGACCCATAAACATGCAACTCGCGCACCAGCGACGACGGCTGGCCCGTCAACTCCGGCCGAAATGTATGTTCCTTTGAGCACTGTCGCAGACGCAGCAGCGCAATCAAGATATCCTGCTTGGGATCCTCATACGCGAGAAACGTTTCCCACCCGCCGTTAGCCGTATAGTCTCTACGCACGAGTTCGACCTGGTCCGGACGAATCTTGTGCTTGACTTCGTTGATACCGACTTCCCTTGTCCGCACATCGCGACACGAAGTACCGAAGTCCTTCATGCGGGCGAGTGCTAGTTCGCGCAGATTACCGTTTTCAACTCCGGAAGTCACGAGGGGCATGGGGATGTCGCGCTGCACGCGGTAGATGCGAGTCCACGGCGGTACGAGAGCGAGGATGCGGGCGACGATGTCGATGAGGGCGTTGGGGGTGTAGTTTTTGTAGCGGCCTGTTCGCCATAGCTCGTAGAGCCCCGTGCCGCGGATGACGAGTGTGGGGTAGATTTTGAGGCCGTCGGTGCGAAAGTCTGGGTTGGAAAAGTACTCGACGAACTGATCGAGGTCGCGCTCCATGCCTACGTTGGGTAGGTCGGGCATCATGTGCGATACGACTTTGAAGCCAGCGTCTTTGGCGAGGCAAAAGGTTTTTGCTACGGCGGCGACGGTGTGGCCTCTGTTTGTGTCGCGGGCTACGTCTTCGTAGAGGGATTGTACGCCGATTTCTAGACGCGTGCATCCGTATCGTAGCATCGATGAAAGATGTTGGTCCAGGCAGTAGTCTGGTCGCGTTTCGATTGTGATACCGACGCACTTGATATTGCTCATTTCACCGGCTGCAACGGCTTCGTCCACATCCTTGGTTTGATATCCAGATAGGGCGTTGTGCAACTGTGATATGAACTCATCTCGGTAGGACTCTGGGAGTGACATGAATGTACCGCCCATGATGATGTACTCAACCTTGTCTACACTGTGACCTAACGACTTGATTTGATCAACACGACCACGAGCTTGCTCATACGGATCATACCGCGCTCGGATGGCGCGCATAGATGTTGGCTCATAGCCCGTGTATGATTGAGTCGAGTATTCAAAATCCGAGTCTGGGCCTCCTGGGCAGTATACACAAATGTTGCCAGTGTAAGAAATGTGCGGGCAGCGATGTGGCTTGCACATGACTGCCACTACTGCAATACCTGATGATGTGCCTTTTTACATAGTCAGCCCGTCTCTCTTATCTAATATCTCTTGTTTCATCCCAACATACGGATCGGCTTTGCAATAAGTTTTGGTAAAATATATTTCTTGTAGTGTTCTGGCACGGCGGCAATAATCGCCGTAAGCGGCGGCTGGCTCTTCAAATAATGCTTTTTTGCAATCTGACCGCGCAAGGAATTCAAGTTCAAATCTTTCTTTGGTTTTGTTCCATCGGCCTGGGATTCGTAGTCTTGGATGAGCGCCGACGCAATATCTGCGCATGCCCGCATGTAGCGCTCATTCTCGGGTGGCAACTTTACATTCTTCGGCAGCCTTCTCTTATTTTGTGTCTCTGTTACCGTCATTGTCGCCATGATGGGCAGATTCGTGTTGTCTGGGGTTCGCAGGATTGCGATGGCGAATCTTGAGGGTTGAGCCTCTCTATGTGGAGTCACGGGTGGGGTGAATTTCGGTAATTGCTAGGCTGTATTTAGACTAGCGAATTTCGCTTCCTGCAAGTGATGTTGTGTAGGTTAGTCTCTCGATTGCAATATCAACATCATTATTTAGCATATTGTTCATACCTAAAGGTGATATTCAGACGCTACAAAAATGCACTTAAATCACTAACATGTCGTGATAACAATAGCAAGGCTTGGTAACAAAACGTGTCTATCATATAGCTAATACCAGACAAGAAAGACATGTCCGAGTCAACGTTTCTTAGCAACATCAGATCATCCATGTCCTTCATTCAACTCTCCTGCATGCAAAGCTAAACGAGTTTCGGTTCACTAGCTCAGAATCTCTGGTCATTCGCAACGACACCACCATCTAGACCAGGGGTAGTAGCGACAAGGTCAAAGTGGCATCTAGCTACGAAGCTGATGTCTTGAATAAGTATCCTTTTCTGTACCCAAAGCTAGATTGTTGTGGAGGGATGCACTTCATGAAAAGTGTTCTTAGCTACTATCTAGTCTGTACCCTGTTTCTAATTACATTCATTGTATTACTTCTTACACTACAAGTGTAACGATTCAGAGTAGAGAGTATCATCCGAAAAAAAATGGACGAGGGGTATCAAAGCGATCTACCTACAAATGTACCACACCCCAGCGAACGTAACAACAACAGCCGCCGACCAAGGCCTGGACAGCTCCAACTTTTGCAACGGCCCGATTACTTCTTTAATCCGACTCAAGGCCTTTCCTTGCTCTCTTTTCTTTGGCAATCTAGGCTTTAGACTTCACCCCCGCCACCTTCATGACGATGTTGAAAATCTTGACAAAAACATTGACGACGAGCCCAAGAGCAGCAGTTGGGACAAAAATCTGCAACCACTCGTACCACTTGACCGGTCGAACATCCGTCTCTATCCAGCCTGCGCCCTTCAATGGCTCTCCACTGTCGACATTAGGTGTTTCGCCATCATCTGCAGGGAAACGGTTGTTTTCGACAAAATACTGTAAGAGGTCATCCTTTTCGCGCCAACGAAGGAGTAGCCAATCCGAGAATTCCTTTTCATCATGGACTGGGATGTCGGCGGTGGCATAGCGGCGCCAGTGCATGTTTACTGATTTTGGAGAACGACCTTGGAAGTAGGTACCACGGAGGGTGAAGAGATCTTGACCGTATTGGCCGACGCTGGTAAAGATTAGCTGTCGTATAGACTCGTAATAGAATGTGGACAAGCTTACGGGACGCCTTCATAGGCTACTGTGCAATCGTACAGATACTCGACGGAGCCCTTAAGCTCTTTCAAGCAAAACAATAAGCCCGTGCTCCTTGGTAGCAATGCATGCCTCAAGTCGTCAATCTTGTTCTTTTCTGCCCACTTTTTACTTGCCGCTCGGCCATTTGAGCTGAGGTTTGTGCCTTCGGGAAAGATGAGCAGCCACATTGGGTCAAGTTCCTGGGAACCAGACAACGGGCCGCTATGGCTGGTGGTCAACCTTTTCAGCCGATGCTGAAAACGTTCCTTATCCGTCGACCACTTGCGCGAGAGGAAAATGAAGCCATATAGCCTCATACCCCAGCCTATGACGGGTATATATTTCAACGACTCTTTAAGGATAATGTAGAGATGGCCGTGCATCGAAGCCGTGTAGGCCACCCACCAGAGGTAGACCCAGTCGGTGTAAATCTGGAGATTGTTAGTGGTTGCTGGCGGAGAAGCGGGACGGGACGGGTAGACGGACCTGGTGGTTGGAAATAAGGACTAGTCGTTCAGGAAATTCAGACTCCAATCTGCCATCCTTTGTTTTTCTCAGTTGTCCCCTCATGCTCTTATCTCCACTGACTCGCATTGTAACTGGAGCCCACCAGTAGGTCATGGTGGTGACGACGATGCCAAAATGCTGCTTGGACATGGCCATCCATGCATAGAAGAGGTTCTTGCTGTATAGATACAAGGGACAGCCGAAGTACTGCGTGATAGCGATGCTGGAACATAAAGTCAGCATCTTGTGGGAGCTTATCCGCCATGCATGTATACTGACGCCATGATGCTCCCGGCGAAGTAGGCTGCGAACAAAAACATGCGCAGGGCCTGTGCAAAGGCGCCATGCTTAATGTCGCCCGCTGGATGTTGGGCTGGCTCGGGGTCTTGTGGACGGGCAGGTGTTTTGGTACGCTGTGCTTTTAGCTTTGCGATGACAGGTGGCTCAACGGGCATCTGCCGCTGTCTGAGGCCTTCGATCGACATGGTAAGGTTGGGAGGAAGCATGTGCAGACAGTTGTCAGATAATTCTTTTGGCTCGGGGCAGGGCTGGTGCAGCGAATGTACATAGGTGTACCGAGTGGAAGTGGCCGGATCGCTCAGATGGGCGCGTGAATCGTGGTCTGAGCATGTGACGGGGAGTCGTGGCGTAACGAGGAATGGTGGACATCCAGGGATCGAGGTAGCGGTTGCCTGACAAAAGAAGGTGGAGAGAAGGAAGACGAGACAGGTGGGCAGGCGGCAGCTTGGAGCATGTACCCATGCTCATGGTGTCGTGGACGCGCAGGGCAACAGGCTGATGCCGATCCACCTCAGTCCATCTGAGATGATGGCACCGGGCCAAAGATAGTACCCCACCTGTGCAGGGATTGCCCGAGCGCTGCGGGACGCTAGGCTCTCCTTCACTCGCATCCCATCCCACGTTGCCGACACGTTGTTTGCACGTGAAGGTGGAGATTAGCTCTGCTATCTCCGCATCGCGACTATGCTACTACCCATGTATCTACCTGCATAGTATGTACGTTCTTCGTGGTAGCTCTACATCCACTGCTCGCCTCTCGCGGCCCAGCATCGCCATGACTGCTGCTCCTACAGTTGCCCTCGTCATCGCCCAGTCATATGGCACCCACCCGCCGGCTTAGCCTCTGCGCACCGCATCGCACACAACTACAGCAGTACTCTTTTCTTTATACACGGCGCCCAGAAGATGCACATATCCCAGAGATGCCCTCTGCCGTGGCGGCTCCTTGGTTCGCCCACGCAGGTGCGTAGCTTTTCTTCGACACCCCGCCGTCGCGAGATCAAGCACATTTCTGAGCTGCCTCTGCGCACAAAGCCGTCGTACATACAGTCGCCCAACAACACGCTCCTCAGCCTTCAATGGCCATCACCGCCGCGAAATATACTTGTCACCAAGAAGAAACGCACGCCCAACATCACCGAGTCCGTCATCGAATTTACGTCGCATATCCGCTCCACCTACCCCGCCATAAACGTCATCTTCGACCCAGAAACAGCAGAGGAGCTGCATGAAAAAGTTTCCTTTCCCGTGTATACATACAAGAGAAGCAACGGCGTGCCGCAGCAGCTTTCGGATAAAACTGATCTGGTCTGCACTCTCGGCGGAGACGGAACGCTGCTGAGAGCTAGCAGTCTATTCAGCCATTCTGAAAATGTGCCTCCCGTCTTGAGCTTCGCCATGGGCACAATTGGTTTTCTGGGTGAGTTCAAATTCAAAGAGTACAAGCGGGCATTTCGAGAGGTGTACATGAGCGGTGCGCCAGACACATACGCAACGCTATCTGATTCCTTGGGCAAAAGCCCACCACGTTTGCCTTCGTCGCCCGACGATCCTCTAGACAAACCATTGAGCTATGCCGATATACGCGGCAAGGCAATGGGGACCAACAGAACGGCGCGCATTCTCCTTCGTAACAGGCTCAAAGTCGGTGTTTTTGGGCCCGACGGGAAGAGAATCGGGAGCACAGACGATGAGGGCGATACCTACGCGTTGAACGAAGTCACATTGCACCGCGGCGGAAGTCCACATCTCAAAGTTATCGATGTATACATCAATAATCGGTTTCTAACCGAAGCCGTCGCAGACGGCATGATTATTAGTTCGCCTACAGGCTCAACCGCATACTCGCTTTCATCCGGCGGGAGCATCGTACACCCTCTCGTCCCATCAATCTGTCTCACTCCCATCTGCCCGCGCTCCCTCTCCTTCAGACCCCTAGTCCTACCCGCCGAAACACCCATTACACTGCGTCTCGGCGCCAAGAATCGCGGCCGCGAAGTTGAAGTTAGTATCGACGGCAGTACCATCACCGAGAAACTGGGTACGGGCATGGAAGTCCGCATAAGCGGGGAGGAAGTCAAGCGCGATGCTAGAGGCTGGGAAGGCGGCGTACCCAGCATCGTCAGAGGCACAACAGGCAAGGAAGATATAGCCGAGGATCATTGGGTCGGTGGTCTGAATGCATTGCTGAAATTCAATTATCCATTTGGGGATCAGGATTCTTGAAGTCAGTCCCCCAATCTAATAAGTTGGCGTCGAAGCAATCTTAGAAAGCGAGATACACCACATAAATCCAGCATAGCCAAAGAGAGAGAAAAACAAATTTACATAAGCTACCTCTACTCCATCACCTGCGTATACCTCGTCAAACTCGTATAATCCTTCTGCGGCCCCTTGACCTCATACTCAACCTCCCACCAGACCTCCCTCTCCCCCTTCTCCCCTCCCTTCACCGCCACATCCCTCGCAAAAGCCCATGTAGCAGCATACAAATCCCTTCCACAAAGATGCGTCTCTCTGTTCTTCGCTCTGACTACTTCATCATCCCCTGCTAGCTCTCCCATTTCAACAAACAAGCCCCCAACCCCCTGTCCATCACTTCCTACCCCACCCTCCTGCCGCGCCTCACGCATCTTGTCGTCGTCGAAGAAGCGTACGGCGATGAACTCGGTATCCGCAGGCGTAGAACCAGGGCATAGTTGGTACACGTATTTTCTGCGCGCGGTGAAACTGAGGCCGGTAGTTGTGCTGAATGTGCCTTCTTCAGCATAGAGAAGGGTTGGTAGCGGGATAGAAGAAGAATGGGTCATGGGGGTGAATGTCGCAGTGCCGGTCACGGTGCCAGAAGGGTGGCTGGGGAGCTTGGAGGTGAGTTTGCGGGTGAATTTCCAGGTCGAGGTGGTGGCGAGGTTGATGAAGATGGATTTGGGACTGGAGAGTGGGGGTCCGGGAATTGGTTCCTGGGGGGTCGGGTTTGTGGATTCGGAGGGTAATGGTCGGGTTTCACGGATTGGGAGGTTCTGTGTTGGTTGTGTGGCGAGAGAGGCTTTTGGGTCTTGACTTGAGAGTAACATAGCGTTGACGCTTTGTAGTGTTGCCCGACTTGGATTCAGGGCTGCGTTGCTTGTGGTGATCCAGCTCAGTCTCTGCTTAATGAATGATTTATCCATGCCCTTAGCTTCTTTCGCTTTTCCTGTATTGATTGCTCCGCTTTCGTCTGTATAAAGACATAATATCGCCAGTGCAGCTCCAACAGAGAGATCTTTGCCTGTGGGACAGCATACTAGTATTTTGTCTCGTGTTTCGGGGGTTTGGAGAGAAGAGAAGAACGGTATGAGATGAAGAAGCTGAGTGCGAAGGTCGCGTGACCCCAGCTTACCAGTCTGACATTTCAGATTAAGGTAGTGTTTTACTCCCGCATCTTTGAGTGCTGAAGTTGCAAACGGCTCGGGTGTGCAGCTGACTACAGTTTCAAAACCCGCCAGTTGTACGTCTTCGCTGGATGAGATGTACAGCTGTAATGTAGGCTTGATCAAACTCGCAATTGCACCACTGCCCTTTTGTTCTTTAATGAGTTTTGCAATAACCTCTGGAGCATCTTCTTCGTTCACCCTCATAAGCACATCCTTGTTTTCCCAGAAGAGTGACGGGGTAAGTCTGTGTGACCACGCCTCGTGGTCGTCTGCAGCACCCTGGATATATCCGCTTTCTGATGCCTCGGCGCCATGAACACGCCGTGACGCTGTGCAGAGGACTATGGGATGGAAGTCTGGAAAAGAAGGAGCTGAATCCGGAAGATAAGATTTTTGCGTTATCCATATGGGTCGGAGTGGCTTTTTCAGCTTACTACGGAGAAGTGGGATATTGGGTTTGCAAATGTCCTTTCGTTCTATCAGCTACTACATCCCGGCATTTCAGTAGCCTAGGGAAACATACCAAAAACTGTTGTACAAAGCCATCAATTCTCTTCTCCATCTGCGCATGCTCGCTCTCCCCCACAGCTTGTGGTGGTGTAAAAAGTCTCATCTCTTCTTTTGCCTTGTCCCCACCAAACACCGCTCGATTCATCACGCAACACCACGTTGGAATCGTCTTACTCAATGCATCTGGCATACTCTTTCCCCTCCTCGTACTATCCACTACCACTGCACCACCCCATTTCTCTACCACATCGAGTAACTGCAAATTCAGCCTTCGCAGACTGAAACTCCATTCGCCCATGTGGCCGTCTGTACTCTTAAAGTAGACGGATCCGGACTTCAGAGATGGCGGAATGTACCAGCTACCACAGCGCTCGTTTGCTACCAGAGGAAGCTCATAGGCCGATGCAACAGATTCGACAAAAGCACTGTCGGATATTATTGAGGCGAGCCGGTTGTGTGTTGAGAGCGTCGAACGGCGCAATGATGAGAGGGTGCTTGATAGGTTTGGCGTGTTGGAGAGATGCGGAAATATAATATCCGCTTCAGTTAACGGCTTGGACATTGCTGCTCTGCCTTTCTATCTTTCCGAATGCTAACCTCCAGTTTGGTCAATCGAGATGAGTTATTACCGCTCTTTACCCCGCATCGTGTTGAGTTTTGTAAGGAAAAGGGCGTTCTCAATCAGAGAGCTAGCATTTGATTGAACCACATTTGCTAAGGCTGTCTGACAGAATTCTTCATTTCCGGCGTAATGGTAAGAGTCGTGCGTGGGATGCTTGAGCCGGCGAAGGAGACTCGATCAAATGTGAGAGGCTAAGCCATTTATGACTAGTGCATAGGCTCCACATACGGACGCGAAGTCTGGTCACAGTGGGTTTGTCAGATAGCATCCGTTCGAAAAATGTCGAGAAGTAGTTCACCTCGTATCTTATTCGACGTTTGGGTAACATTCAACAGACTCGACTCATCCTTCAAGTTGTCCAGGTTATCCCCTCGTCCCTTGAGCTATGAAACCGCGATGTAGTTCGTCGGCGTAATTGCCGAGAAAAAACACCACATGGAGAAACTAACAATGGATCAGAAGCAATTTTTTGTGAATCTCACTTGATAATATTAGGACTGGATGCGAATGGATCAAAAGAGGAAGGACAGGAGACGAAACTGTAACCGTGGTGTCCTCATTGGATTGCGGTGATATGATTCATCGTAAAAGTCTGGTAGCATCAATCTAAGTTGGATATGGACACGAGCATACCGCTGACCTGCGAGTGTGGTATTATGCTGACTTGCTTCAGGTGCCAAAGCTTACATAATAGACTGAGAGGAGAACAATGTGAATGATGTCGGCAGCGACGGAGTCTTCGCCCGATCCTCTACGCATGGCCACCATCAATCATCCGAGAGTCTCAAAAAGGTACGGAAGTCTACATAAGCTTAAGGATTCGGCCGAGTGCAAGGCTTGCGGGGCCATAATGCGGAGCTTGAGTAAACCAAGAGCCTTTCGATATTGCCGCTAACACCAGATGGGACTAAACGTGGTGCAGGGCGGCAGGTGTCTCCTATTACCCGACATCCGGGAGTTTCCAAACATCTCGCCCACTCACATCTCGCTTTTGCAAGATTGCTGTCATCACCTTATACGACCAAGGTTCCTATGGTTGGTTGCGACACTTTGCAGCGCATCCCAGTCTACGAATGATACAAACACCGCAACATATACTACGGCACCCCAGTAATAGTATCACATTACTTTCCAGTCCAAGTCACTCTGAGGGAGATGCCCCATTTCCCCACTGGCTATCTGCAGCCGCCCCCCCCCCCCGATCCTCACTGCCCTTCGTATAGGGAAATTCTGAACCGTGGCGTAGTAGACAAGTCAAAACCAATCTGGCAACATCAAGGGCTAGCCAGTCGTTTGCTCCAGGCTACGACGCCCTCCCGTTGGTGCATGGACTTGATTTCTCGTTGCACATGGCACCCACCCTTGCATGGAACAACTGCCATGGTCCGTCTTCCAGAAGTTTGTACAATGTGCCGTGTGTCAGGATAAATGAAATTCTCAGCAGTGTCCGAGATCTACCTTCATCAAATTGGGTAGTCATGTGCACGGCAGAATGTTTCGAGAAGGCCGTTCAGCCAAAATATCCCGGGCCGAATACATGCGCTTACTTCTAGTACGCCAAACAACGCGCTCTTTCTTTCAACACCTGATACATCTAATGCCATGGGCCCATATAGCTTCAACACGCGGTATGCAGGCTCATCACTGCTGCGTTATCCGGCGGCTCCGAGTCGTGTACCGCACAATGCAAGTACAAATTTACATGTACTCACAAATGAAGGTAGCTACACAATGTCCCAGTGCTTCAGTTTGGAGTGGTCAAGCCAGGATTGTGGAATGATAGATGTGGTCAGTCGAAGCCATCTTGTTGCTTGATATGCTCGGACATCGCCATCATTCCCATAGTCGATTCATCGGAGTATTCGTAGATGAGGCTGAGATATTAACGTCGAGACCGCGGGGTAGAGGCTCGGGAAGCCAACATCCCCGCAGTTCTAAAGTCTCTCGTAAGACATTCATCTATTGACCCTGCTAGTCATATGTGCCAATCAAGGACGCATACACAGAGACAAATTAGGCACCATTTGCGTTCCAAATCTTACTTTGGGAAGAGACATTGAGAAATGTTCTAACACTGTCTCATCGACGAAGTATGAGATGGCAAGGCACTGTCGCTCCAACGAGGCCCAGCTTATCAAGAGTTACCCAAGTGCCAAATATTGACACCACTGCAAGGATGGTATTCTTGCATCCTACTAAAGTGCCACTTTACTACAGGTATACTTGGTATAGTATCATTCCCCACATGATATACATTCATCTAAATCTTATTTCTTGAGGGCTGATCGCCCAAACCTGACAACTGCCTCTTGTCAATCACCCTCGGGCCTGCTTTCCGATGGACGAGTATCCCAATTCTCGGCTGCCAGCACATGAGCTGTATAAGAAGGAGGGTTGTCACTCGAATGTTTCAGCATCCAAACTACCATACGCTCTCTTGCATTCGCACGTTCTCTTACAGCCACTACCATGAAAGGTCTTCTCTCCGCAACCGTGGCTTCGGCCATCTCTGGCGCTCTTGCGTTTCCTTCTCCTGCTGAGCGCCGCGACATCGCTGCCCGCCAGGCTGCAGTATGCTCTTCTCCCGTCAAACTATCTGGAAACCCGTTTTCCAACCGCAGCCTCGCTGTCAACAGTTTTTATGCTGCTGAAGTCAAAGAAGCTGTTACCAAAATCAGTGACTCGGCACTTGCAGCAAAAGCGGCCAAGGTAGCTGAAATTGGAAGTTATTTCTGGAT